CGGTACTTTGAGGACCATCTTTGAAGCGCAGCTACTGAGTCGGTCAATATTAATTTATGATTCTATTCGATTATATAAAGGTGATCTGGCGAAAAAATGCAAGAGGAAACTATGAAATCCCGGCGAGGAAGATGTATGGAAAGAGATTGTAAAACAATGTGAAGGAGATGCCTATACAGTTTTCAGCATTTCTAACAACGGTTTAACATGGTTTAACTGAATGTTGATTCATTAACTTGGACGTTGTTCTCTAACCCTATTTGAAGGAGCATTTGGCAAAACTAAGCTGTCATGGAGAACATACTATTTCGTGGGAATCTAAGAATTATACTAACCCTAAACCAAACTCTTTTTTGTTAGACCACTTTGAAAAACTACGTTTGTATTTGCTGCCTACTTTTTAACAAATAAAGAATTAACATTGTGATTTCAACTACAGCCTCAGCTTAACTGGCTCCAATACCGATTGCTGATGGCACTTGTAGAAAGGAAACTTGCTGAGAGACATGGGAAACGAAGGACATGCATGGTGTGGTGATAAACTCGGAAAGGGTAATAGAGCGTTCGTTCCCCACCGCAGATACCTGCGGTTCTGAGTTTCGCAAGCGTTTCAACATCATTGTGGTTGTATTTCGCTACGATTGTCTTTGATATTCCACACCGAGAAATTTATTAGCCTTAATATTAGATTTTTATTTTTATCCATCTTACGTTATTTTGTAGAGCACAAATAGTGCAGTGGTAATGACGCCTTTCAATACGTGTAAAGCCGTGGTTCGACCTCTCACCGGGCGAACAAAGCTTCCCATTCATTCGAGTTGAGAAATAAATGCCAAATTTTTATGGGATTTTGCCTTCTCGGATCCACAGAAACTGGCGAATATCCGTGATGAAGATGCCTTCTTGGATCCACAGAAGATGGCGAATACCTGTGATGATCTGGTAACGGCCTAGCGCGGTTATTCCTCGATTACAGGGAGAGTCGACTTGACCATCACTGAAAGACATGAAGATCAAAAAGATAAAGCGGCGGCCGAACCGAACCCAGACGCAAAATCCGAAGATCACCGTGGTACATGGATGTCATAAAACGAATCGGATGCAAGAAGTTTACACGTAATGATAGGCTGTGTAAAGTAAAATCTAGAAAATTAAATAAACTGCCTTAAGTTACCACGGAGTTTCTCAGTATTTGGGTGTCTCTAAGTAGCGTAAAGAGTGGTTAACCCATGACAGGATGACATCTAATTTTTCGTAGAGAGCACATGGAACAACGCGTAATTTTCCGTAAACATTCTACGAGCCACATGTGATTTATGTCGTCCTCTCTACCCCTACCCAAATATTAGCGCTTGATTTTCTGATTTTCTCTCCTTTCCAGGAATTTTCGAATGTCGAGCAAAAGCATTTAACTTCTTCATCGGTAGCTTCCTTATGGAGATTGAACAAGAAGGCGGTGATGATTCTTAAGAGGATAAGAAGTCCCTTATGGTTCCTGTAGAAGAGTCGCAAGAAAATAAATCGGATAATGAGGTCAGCCGAAGTCTAAGACTATTCTGAGGTCACTGTTAACAAGTGAAGGAGTGTTATTCTCCACAACCACTAGCTGTTGAATAACCGCAAATCTGTGTTTAATCTACCGTTATTACTCTAATTCACAAAATTTATATATTCCTATAAAGATTGAATATATTTGAAAGATATTTCTATGAAATGTATATGACTAACATTTGGTATCTGATTATAAACAAGATGAATAAATGCTGACATCTGAAGGACCAGATGTGGGAGCCGTCAAATGTTGAACAAATGGAAGGATTCATTGGTCTCTGTCTCCCGATGGGAAGTGTTAAACCACAAGTATTCAGGGATTTTGAGAGATGCCATAATATATATGGAATTGATCCTGCTCGTAGTAACAATAAAAGTCAGATTTGAAAGCTCGTCGGCACACCTTCATTTGATTGAAAACGCGGTTTTTCGTGGACGAACTAAGAAGACCAGTCCACTTAGTATCTTCCCAATACGAATAGTAAGAAGGCATACAGGACCGGCAAAGAGGTATGCGTTGACGAGTCTATCGCTTAGAGCGAGTGTTTCACTTAACCAATAGATGCCACACAAAAGGCACACGCGTAGATTAGATTTGTTAGCACAGTTGCATGTGGTCCAACTGGTGTTTTTGACGGAAGGAAAAACTGCCTTTGTACTACATTCGCAGCATATTCATTTCAACTCATTTTATACTATAATTATGTTCATCGTATAGCGAAGGGAAGAAGAATCAAGAACTTCAGAACATGGTCATTGAACAAGTGCTCTTAGCCCTTAAGTTATGTCAAAAGAGAGCTATGAAAAGCTGTTGAGTACTTCCCCTCTAACGAATAGTGCAAAACTAATGAAAGGGATATTGTGTAGTATCAGTGCACTAGTCGAACTTGGCAACAGAAATGGAAAGATTACAAACGCAACAAGAACGTCTGTATTGACAAGTCTCTTGTGCGTTCTAGATAGAGCGGCATTATGCCAATCTCTTCCATATAAGAGGCTAGTAGGACATAGAAGATCTGCAGTGACAATGCTCGGAAAGCACTGATCCATAAGTTGTAGGGGGAACTCTGGTCGAGCTTGATTCAAATGAACAGAGTCTTTACTCTCAAGTAAAATAACAATGTCGATGAATCGACGGTGAAAAAAAGTGGAGACTTTATGATTGGTTTTTACAAGCAAACGGAAGGTTGTTATAGCACCTATTTTGCTGGAATGCTTCCTAAGCAGGTGAAACTAGATGCAGCTAATATAAATAAAAAAAGGGCAAAGCTGTTGGCGTTGATCAACTTCTGAGGGATGCGCCACGCATTCTACGTTATTAAGCATCGTTTGGAGGTGATTGAATGCATATCTGGCCTTTACAACGACTCGCTGTGGCGTACCGATGTATTGAGCCAGTGCTGCTATCCTCCTAGACAAGTCTGGCGCCCATTTGCCGACCCGGAGGCATGAGGGGCATGGTGGGCCATGGGCACAGAGATCGATTCCACGTGTGTGTTGCAGGGCGCCTTCAACCACTGCGCCACACGCGCTTTTAACCAATATAACAAGTATTTTCCATGCAGCTTCAAATTCAAAACAGACATAGCTGCAGGTTGGAGAACTGTATATTATTATTCTAAACTGCAAAGGTTGCAGATTTACAATGATTGTAATTCTACGTAGATTCTAAGTAAAAAATATGTGTTGTAGAGATTCAGGTAGCGATGACTATAGAATGTGGTACAAAAAGTGTTGGCTGCAGAATTAATGATTGTATAGCAGCAAAAAAACATTTAGGAAAAAAGCTTTAGGTGGTAAGTAGCCGATAACGAATCATATACAATGCTGATCAGTTTGTCAAGAACTCATGATTCACATGAGTCATGCCACCGCCAATATTTGAAAGAAAATTGGGATATAGCTGGAAGATGATGGCGTGGAAATTGAGCAATTGTTATGGATGTGATATAGTCATTGTTTTGTAGAGCACCAAGGTATAGCTTTCTTTGTGTTATCTGAGTACTTTGCATTCCGATAGGTGGCATAGAAAACTAACCCTGCGTATGATAATGACGAAAAGTAGTACTTAATACATGATACTTGAACGGCCTGCCCTCACTGGTTGTTTGGGCCCCAGCATAATCTCCACTTTTCGTAGATTTGCTGGTTAAGCCATTATGGTTCCCTGGAATCTCGAGGTCAGTCCAGCCAAAGTCCCCAGGTCTTCACCACCATAGGCAGTCGCAGCCTTTGTGGATCAGAAAGAGATTTGCAACCATGCTACTTTGATATCAGAACGGTGGTGGATCCTGGTATCGGTTTGCTCCTAGCTAGGCTTCCTAATGGAAATACCGTGCTCCTTCTCAGCTTGGGAGACCTTGCCAGGGGCGAATCCCCCGCTGTATATTGCAGCCCGACACCCTGGAACACCTCCCGGCCACGATGAGGCAGTAAACCGTTGGGAAGGATGAAGAGTAGTGGTGTTCATTATTCGAATGATCGTGTTTGATGTTACCGTTGTGTGAAGTACAACTCTTCATCCACATAGTATCGCACTGTACTTCTACATGAAGTGGATGCTGCTGTCAAGGTCTATGTAGAAATCGTGCGTAACGCTCTACATGACTTTAATGAATCCAATGATTAGTAGTTAAAAGTCTTTGTTCAACATCTTACTGTTGAATAAATGTTTAGTGGACTAACCCACGTCAGTCTGCTCTTGGGCTCTATAATAACTAAACGAACCGCGAAACATCAGCTAAAGTCCTCGGTTTAGCAGAACTACAAGAACTTCATGACTATTGCGATGTTAGTACGAATCTGATTCTAACGATTATGGTCCAGATCAAAAATACGACCTCATACTACCGCGCTATGCTAAAGATTTAGTCCATTGTAAATTACATACAATGGTATACTGATGTACCAGAATCAATTCAAGGATTAGGAACCGGAAGGCAGAACTCATCACCATCCAAGACAAATTAGTAATATTAACATTACAGTGTTTAGAACAACAACACCTGAACACTAGTCCTGCAAAGTCCATAATGAGAACAGTATTTCAATCGAGGTTTTTGGAACCATACATTACTAATCCAGACTTAATAACAGAATAGAAATTAAAAGTTGACAATGATGACTAGCATTCGTTACGGATTCATCTGACTAGCATGACTTTACGCAGATGAATAGTCTTGTAGAAATTTCGAAAAAAATTGAGCAATAACATGTCACGCGCCAATTTACAAGTAGCAGAGGCATATCAATCTATCTACAAAATAGAATTACACAGCGTTGATGGCACGCTTACTATAAAACGTCCGGAAAAATTCAATAGCTGTCTAATCAATCTCAATCGGAAATATAAAAAATTCCAATGACAATAAGACTAATCAGTAGCAATTAATTGACAACTGCGATAGTACATGAGTGCATAGATATCATCAGAAATGTCCATTCATATCCTACCACAGCTGGGTCTCCCGTACTTCACTAATGATTAGGCTGGCCTGATTCAGCGCCTATAAAAACAGTAAACAATTTCACAGTATTCAGCAATATAATCGAAAAGTTGATTATCAAAAATCCAGATGTGAACCTTCAAAGTCTCCAGCGTCTCTTTCCTTCGTTGGGCCATATCAACAGTTTCGGCAAGTAACTCTTCCAACAAATCTGGTTTGTACAATTGACGGACCAGTTCAGATTGTAAATTATCCTAAAACGACTAGTTGATGCAAACAGAGACTGTCTAAGTGACACTACTGTTCCACTTGGAACCGTTGTGGTTAGTGAAGATTAGAGCTAAACAAAAAAAAAAAAACAAACCTTGACGTAGTTCACCAAAAAGTGCATGATAGCCTTAGGTACACTATCCTGAACATTTTTACGGACGATCATGAAGTATCTGCGAATTAAGCGTTCTATAAACAAAAGCAATATAAAGGCTTTGAGAGATACAGAGTCGTAAAAAATGACCCTTAAAAATAAATAACGCTCACCAATAATTAAATAGTCCTTTCGTTCATTCTGAGTCAGTTGTCTAGCAATAGGTTTCTCAGGCACCTCTGGGAGAAGATGAGTTGCTTTTGAAACTTCTTCGGCTTAAAATATAAACTAATTCTTATAAACAGTTAAACTATAATCGCTACAACTCCAGGCCAGATTCGAACCCCTCACTCTTTCCGGGGCTCACGTGTCATCCACTGCACCATGAAGACCCTTGTTTTGCCTTTTTTTATAAACATTTCAGCATCATTGCGATTGTATCCTACATAATACCTTGCCGTGAAAAAATAATGGGCAGTAAATAAAAAAACAAACACTGCGATTTCGAAACACCGATTTGTGGTCCTCAGATCGTTCCCGCTGACCAGTGATTGTTGATGGCAACGTCAGCGTAAAAAATTGGCTGAGAGAAAGGCAAGGCGAGGGCCTCAGTGCTGCAGTGGGTGACACGTGAGCCCACGGAAAGGGCAATCGCGGGTTGGGATCAGGCCTAGCATCCAAGCTTTGCAAATATCTCAGCATCAATGTGTTTGTATTCCACATAGTATCCTGTCTTAAAAAATAATGGGAAGCACATTATAGGTTAAGTATTGCGGTTCTGTTGTGAATAGAAGTATAAATTCGAAATGATTCCAATGTACTTACGCGATTCAGTAACAACGGATTTTCCAAACCACCAAGATGTTCTCTTGGACTCTCCATTGAGGAGCGGTTTCTGAGTACCATTAGTGACCATATCACCGCTTGACTGCTTAGAAATAGTGTTAACCACCTACAATAAGATATACGAGAAATATGTGATCATGCGATTAGTCAAAAAGTGGTGAAGAGGCTACAAACTGCATAGCCTAGGGTTATTACATGGACACTAATTTCAGCCGCTGCTGACGTTTTACTTTCTAACACAAACAATGAAATGATAACCCGAATCACCTCTCTGAGCGTGTCGTAATTCAAGAAGCGAACAGATTCAACCATATGACGATCGGAATTTAAGAGAGTGGTACTTGGGCACATTGCCCTATGCTTTTCATGCGTGCGTACTACAGAGTGAGCCTGACAAGACAACATACATCATATCAAAGCAACAAAACACAACACAAAAGTGCGAACATAGGGACTCAATGCTACTTTTCGCTAAAAACATTTCAAGCAAATTAAACTGTGGAGAGTGAAAAAGAAAAGCCACGCGTGTACACACTTAATAGACAGAAAACGCGGTTCATTTAAACAATCGCAAACACCAGGTAGCAGGTAAGAACAGCAACCAGCACAAGGGGTCAATAGTGTTGATAAGATCCTCTCCGACAATACCGAGCCAACCAGAAAAACTTACCTGTTCAGCATGAGCACTTGACGCACGCTCACTGTTTGAAGATGTTCGTTGTCGAGATCGACTCCTGTCCGAGATAGTCTCTTCGGCATTCACCAGCGTCCTATTCGCTTCTCCCACAAATTCGGGATGTTTGGTATTTATGTACGCTAGCTCAATCGCCACTTGGTTTGACACCTATAAACAACCTTCTCTTAGCTCACAGATCACTAAAAATACGAAAATAGTTCGCTAAATTACTAATAAAGGATTTTATAAATTGTAGTAATATACACATTTACCGTACCATTTCGTTAGTTGGACGTAACCGACTCTTCAGCACTCCACTCACAACTTCGTTTATCTTATCATACAACCGAGGGAATCGTTGCATTTCCTGCTACAAGAATAGATGATCAATGAAATATGTGCTGTTTTAAGTTCATAAAATCCATTCTTTTATAATCACCTGTGTTGTGATACCGCAGTGTTTAACCATCCGTTGCATTTCTTCATGAACAAGTTCTACACACCTCAAACTGGGTTCTTCCAGTCGTTGTATCTGTCGCTTAACAAGCAACTCAAAAGCCACTTCCGGCACAAAAAGCGCGGGACGAGTGCCCTGGAACATTGCGATTTTGTGTCCGAAAACAAGAGAAAGACTTAATGAGCCTGAAGAAATCAACTATACTGCGTCAACGCTTGTTCCCGATGATGTTCAGAGAACTTACGGTAGCGTTCCTAATTGCTGTCAAAATATCCATTTCATTGAGATTCTCAAGTGGATTAATACATTCCAATGATTTTCCGAACGTTTCGTGGAAAATAAAGCAAATACGGGCACCACCGCAACTTAAACATTCATAGAAACATGATCTATATAATTGGTGAAATTTCAAAACTGAGAACACGTGAAAGAAACTGACAGTTCGGCCGTTTCAATATTTCGAGAAGTCCCTTCAATAGTAGAAGTATAAGCTGCAGCGAATCGCGTAATGATTTGCAAAAGTGTTCTACTCTTGTCGTCCTAAATAAAGAACGTCGTCACAGGTTGGGAATGGTGTTAATCAAAAGGATTAACATCGTAAGGCTTACTACTGGCTCTCCAAACGCCTGAAGATCAGCTTGACACTGAGCATGCATAATTGACACACGAGCTTTCAGTGCCGGTAGGCAGTTACGAATATGATGCATCAATAGCTGAATGAAGTAAAATGATTCTCTCAAAAGACAAATACAGTGAACTAAAGTGAACGAGAATATCTGCGAATTCATGCAAAACAAAGGAATATGTGAAGAACTACCGCCTTAGCTTCCCATAACACTAAAACATACTAGATTCAATTTCTTTGCAAGATAAGGAGTTCCATTCCGACTGGCAAGTGTAGGATATTTCCGATAAAGAAAGGACAACTCATCCCTTATCGCGTCAGCAATTGGTTTCTTATCGATAATAGCTTGCTGAAATAATACATATTTCTTTTAAACGCTGCAATAAAATAGCCACGATTTTTACAGAGCAAATTCATATTCAAATATGTTCTTACTGTAGAACAAATGATAAAAGTCGGTTGAGAAGAAAACGTGATAATCTGAACCTTTCTGAGATTATTTCAACTAAAAGCTATATCAGAATTTCAAATACAGAAAGCGATTTTATCCTAAAATTAAGAAAAAAAATTACAACCTCAACATAGGTTTGTGATCAGTTTATCTTTAGTCACGAAATCCATTATTTGCAATTTATATATGAGAATTTTTCATTTCAGCAATAATACATATTTCAGAAAACTAGCTGAGAGAAAGGCGAAGAGAAGGACCCGCATGGTGTGGTGGTGAACGCGTTAGCCACGAAAAGGGTAATAGCGTGTTCGATCTCCGCCGCATACACCTGCGGTCCAGAGTTTTGCAAATAACTCAGCATCATTGTAGTTGTATCACACTGTGTATTTTCTTTTCATATTTGTGCATCCATGACCAAAAAAATTCCACAGATGATAAAAAATGTAGTGAATCGAAAATTAGTGAAGAAAACAAACTTGAGAACGATTTACAACACCAATGATGCCTAGTTTCACGGGAACAACTCTGCCCATCAGCACATCCATCGCATCCGTTCCTTGATCCATTAAATCCAGCTTCGTTAAAACTGCTAACGTTCGTTGTCCTTAAACAATAAGAAAACTGCCTGCTACAAAATGCCAGTCCGTCTACTAGGCCCGGAGATTTTGTTCACTCACCTTCAGGATCGACTTCACGTGCCATTTTAATAGGCTCAGAAGTTGCAAAATCCTGATTTGCTGGAGTAACAGCCAGTATGATCGATGAAGGATTGGAGATATAGGTAAATAACATCTCACGAATTTGTTCCTAGCAGAAAAAAGAATTCAAGGATTACCAGAAAAGGGATTGAAATTGAATCACGTTCAAGTTGAACAAAAACTGGAAAAACAACCTCGATATTTGGAGGCTGATCACCAACAGGAACTTTAGTGATTCCGGGCAAATCAACCAGAGACAAGTTGACAACATTCTTCGAGTATATTTTAAGTATAATTGGTACAGGAGAAATGCCCTAAACACGAATGTAACACTAACTGAAGAAGTAACAATGCTATGCGCTAAGAACAAAAGTTCTTCACTTTATTATAACCCGTAAGCCTGTTCGTCTCGGTCTCTATTTCTCTTCGAATTTCGTCAAAATCTGTAAAAATTCTGCTGCCAGTGTGATCAAACATTGCCCAATCGTCACTGACAGTGCTGCCTAAAGAGTTTCGTAAAGGTTGGAGATGAAAAGAGAAGAGAAATAAGTCATCACTGACCGCCGGATTCATTTCCTATGTGTTCGTCACCCGTTGGGGTATGTATGAGGTGAAGTATGAGCGGTCTCCGAGTTACAATCCCCGTCCCACGAGGTAAGAAATCCCGACCAACAAGGCTCTCCAACACCGAGCTCTTTCCTGCACTCTGAGAAGGTTAGTGATAAAGAAGAATAGATAAAGAAAAGTGATGAAAATGACACGCAATAGTGAAAGGACTGGAAAAGGAATGGACAAATAATTCCAATCTCATCCAATACTCTAACGGTTTTTAATGTAAAACAAAATCATTACTTGTGAACCAATGACGACGATCTGTGGAAGTTGGATTTGATCCTCCCGATGACCGAGAGTGGCAAAAACGTCTTGTAATTTATTCATAACTGGTATTAGGGACTCCATCTCTTCCTGAAAAACGCTCCAGGTCTAAGCAACTTTATTACTGTTATCACAAGGTAGTAAACATGGATTAATGAACAAACGTATAGAATACCCTCAGAAATATGGAAAAATGCTAGGACTTCTAAAAAGGGGAGAGGAATACCAGTTATAGGACTGAGAAATGAGAGCCAAACGTCCATAAATTTCACTAGTGGAACGACGAACTGATATTTAAGAGCATCTGTTTTCTTTTGAAGTAGTACTTTACCCACGGCCGACCTTCTATTAACAACGGCACTGATCAAATAATTCGTTATATTCTTGTTGAGCAAACACGAGACGCTATTTTTTTCTTTATTTACGAACAAGCTAACGTTCCTGCGGACTTCCTCCTCCTCAGAGCTTGGAAAGGTCAACTCGACTGTGGACTCGGACCACGAAGACGAAGACTTCGAAACGTTGCTCGAATGAATATCTTTATCAAACTCGTGTGAGCTCAACGCTTTAAAACATGCCGATTATCTTTCTACCGAGGTTAAACGACGGCCGGTTTCAAAATTATGCGATATATGTTCTCCATAATACAACTTAACAACAGTAACTAATAACAATAATAACAACTTTCAACTCCCGTCTACGATCAAAATCGAAGTAGGCACTTAGAGGCCACTCCTTCGTATCCAAAAGCAGTTCAATTTTGACTTAAAACTCAGACCTGCTTCCTTTCTCCTTTCTGGAACAAGTCAGCAGTCTTTTCTTTCAGAAAGCTTATATATAATGGTTGCATAGTGGGTAAACACAGTGGGCCAACCACTGAGTAGTACACCAGCAGTTCGTTGAGCCTTACAAAGTTACAATATTGGGTTAAAAAGAAAAGTAAAACAGCAACTAACTACACGATAGTGCACAGAAAAACAAACGCAGCCGAGATCGATGAACCGATTCGAACAATAAACTGGACAATGGATAGAGGGACGCGGTGTTGATTGGAGCAGCGAATGGTATCTGAAGCTCGTTATAAGGCATGCAAATGAAGAAAAGCAGTTGCAGCCTTGACATCGAAGTGTTAAATTTAAGAACAAACAGCTGTAAGTCGTTCTAGTCTTTGAAGAGTTGCACAATATTGGAAAAAGCAACGATAAATTGTACTACTGCGAAACGGTACTGTAAAAGCATAGCGGAGCATGTAGCGCGGTGGTCATCGACATCCTGCAATACACATGGGTTGGGCCTTTCATCCCTGCGGAGTCGGGAGATTGGTAACAGACGTATCTGGGAGGATAGCAGCACCGACTCAATACATCGGTAGGCCACCGCGAGGCATTTCATGGGACAGATATGCATTGGATCACCTCCAGCGATGCATAACGAAGTCGGATGCATGGCGCACCCCATAGGGATTGAGAGCTTTATTCTCTTCTTAAAACTATTTTTTCGGTACAATGTTAAACTCCAAGCTGGAGGTGGTCTTTAAATGCCAAAATGCTATGTACAGTGGATGTTTGATTCTCGCAGTACGGTAGCCAAGACTAACTGGTTGACTAATCTCTTTGACTAACTAGGGCTCCTCCACTGATCCTCTCAACAGAGGATCTCATGCCAATTAGTCGCGAGGCATCGTCGTGCGTTCCCAGGTGGCGGATAGGGGCTAATCGCGGACCAAAAGCGACCATATGGTTCGCTGAGACGCAGGTGGATCCAGGGAATGGACTCCTTGTTTCTGCTGCTCCCAGTTTTTACATGCCCTCTGTGAATGAAGGGATGTATTAATGCATGTGTGCGTGGGTGTGTTCCTTTTTCTGTGTATTGTATTCTACGAGTCGATTTGTGCAAAAACCTGTAATAAAGTAATAGGGAAGTATATGGGAGGTGATTAGGAGTCGCCTCCAACAAACACGCTCCATGTTTACTCTGGGAGGCACTAGCGACCTACCAGTGAGCGTACCCGAGCCTCCACGTTCTGAGCCCAGTAAACAATACGTGGGTACCAAAAAGCTAAACACATTTTAATAAAACGGACGTCATTCCACTGACCCCGAAAGGGCCCCCAATTCGGCAGCGTTGGGTAGAACGAGTACGGAGAGGATGCTAAAATCTCAGGGCTATTCTAAGCTGCTTAAATCGTAAAGGACTATGGTCTGCACGATCTGTACGTGCAGTGCACGCACACTTGCATCTGAGTCCTCGGCAGAAGATTTGATCGTGCAGGCAAGAAGGATACGGTACGTCGTCATCGAACTCGCCTACACGAGAAGGTGCCACCGAGCTCCGGGTGCCTGTGATGTTGGTGCTCAATAGCGCCTATGACACCGGAAAAGAACTGTTTCTGGGCACATGCAACACTAGAGGAGTCGGTGACGTCGACGTTCTCGTCAACACGAGTTTGGCCATAAACCTCGATTCATCCGAACAACTAACAACCCGAATCGGACGTTCACGATTGAAGAGATGTTGATCCGTACCGGTTTTGACAATCTTCTTCGTTTACGCACCGACATCGAGCTGTAACGAAGACGAAATCAAAGTAGATTCCTCGCCCATGTATTACTCTTTGGGGCTGCTCTCCACGAAGTAATTGGAGTATTTGCAAAGAAAACGGCTCTGGAGAATGCGAAACCGGCGAAACGTCAGCTATTGTATGCTAATAAATTCTATAGTATCAACTTCGTGCTCGCTTATCGAAGAAAAACAGTGAATATCAATCAATCAGTGAATATCAATCAATGCCCAGGTTAATAGAAAGTCGGTCTTGGGACTTGGAGAAGTTCTACAGAGAACACCATAGATTCCTTAACGTCACAGTTGGAGATTTTAACGCTAAGATTGGGCCTTGGAGAATGTCTGAAGAACGCCGCATTGGAACCCGCGGATTAGAATGGAAACAGCCGGGTCGGCGGCTGAATGAGTTTATCATAACAACAAAGACCATAACAACATGGTAACAGCCATCACCAGTCATGGTAACTCGCAATTCCGGAAGCACAATTCTCAATGGTGGGCACTGCAGTATCTCAGTGAACAGTGCTATAACGAAATAGAACATCATAGGAAATCGAAGGTCTTGTCTAACCGATGTGCAAGATTTCATTCCTCGCGGAAAGGAGAGAAAGCCGTTAAATTCAAAAAAGGAAAGTCCAAAAACTATCACAAACCGGGACTTATTCAATTCATTAGTCGGCTGTTGGGAAGACACCGTTCTAGATAACATCGGCAAGGAATATGATCATTAAACATCTTCAGGTTAGTGCTATGAAAGCTTAGAGCTCGAAAATCACCATGGGACATCTTTCTCCACAAACTCTAGAGCTGATACAACAGAGTGGAATCGCACGACCTATAAGCAACTGCCGAGCTTGCAAAACAATGCAGACAGGCGATAAAAGAAGATTTTAAACAGAATTCGTCGTTTCCTCTCTCAGCAATCGCGAGGTTGTTAAACAGCAAAACGACGAATTCATGATCCAGTGCTGAGGTTAAAAGAAAGCCGATCTTGGGTGGTATCTTAAGCAGAGTTAGCAGATATTGCCGAAGCTGTAGAGACTAGAAGAAGCATTCGCAAACCCCACCGAAACTTCGCCAATTACAAATCGAAGATGCTCACGCTCAGCCTGAACATTCACATCTGACGCTCCGACGCTCAGCCTGAACAGTTACATTTTCAAGAAAGGCAATGGAGAAAGTTATTCACTATTATTCCTCGGATTCCTTCATTAGCCACGTCCTCCTGTCCTCATATGAAACGATGGAGGATGGAAATATCGTCCCATCAAATCTTCCTTCCAAAATCCGACGTATTATTTTGTTAGTGAAGAATCAAGCAAGAGCACAAGAGCAGCAAGAGAACGACCTTCCACCAGTCATCATAAACACACTGACTCAGCTTATCACATGTTGCCTGTCACAATACAAGGTTCCTGTTCAATATCAGACCAGAAAGTGTGTAACTGTTCAAAAAGGGTGACCTCCACAATACCAGCAATTGTCGCCTAACATGATTGCTGTGTATCGTCTAGAAACTCATCGCTTGAGTCGTCCCAAACAGGATTGACAGAACACTGACGAAGAGCACCCATGTGAGCAAACAGGGTTTCGACAAGTACGTAGTACGATGGACAGTATATAAAGATCCTTTGTCCGTTATATAAAATTTCGAAGGAAAAATATCACCGTTTTATAACGGTACTGACATCGATGTCAAGAGAGATGTTAGGCAAGGCAATATCATCTCGCCAAAATTGTTCACCACCATCCTCGAGAACGTCGTGCGATCTTTGGAATGGGACAACATGGGACTGAAAATCGAAGGTGGGCAATTATACCATCTTCGCTTTGCTGATAGCATCGTTCTTAAAATACCAACCCTTAGCTAGGCGGAACGAATGTTTTCCGACTTTGACAACGCCTGTGGAAAGACTGGTCTTCAACTGAATCACCCAAAAACAATGTTTATGAGAAATGGATTGGTTTTGTGTGCCCTTATTCACGGTTAGTGGAATTATTGGCTCAAAATGCTCTATCTAGGTTGTGAAATCAACATGATGAGTGACGTAGCTCCACAGCTGAGCAGGAGGAAGCGAGCGGATTGTGGAGCTTTCGACAGCATCGAGGATATGATGAGTAGAATAAAGAAATCCCAACTATATGCCCTCCTTCTCGACTCTACGATTCCCTTTGTCTCAACATATGCGTTAGAAACCTGGCTCTTGCGTTAGGAGGATGAAAGACCAGTCAGCGTTATTGAACGCGCAGTCGAAAGAACGATGGTAGGAGTATCCCGTGTCACACAAATAAGGTAAAGGATCCGAAGCTCCGACCCATGTCAGCGATCAAAAGTGGGTTGTGTATGCCAAATTGTGGAAGATAAGGTGGGCGGAACATGTAATGCGTAATGAAACCAATAGAAAAGAACCACTAGTGATTTGATTCTTCGCGATGTCAAACACACTGTAAGAAGACAACGGACTCGATGGTCGGAGAGCGAGCACAACCCCTGAGTTACCCTTGAATGCAATAGATAGAAAAATGGAAGATTTATTGGCACGAGCTCGAGTCATTCGACGATCAACGAGGCGACAGGTGATGTAGGTGACGTGGCGCTCGTATACAAGGAATATTTAGCACTCTGAAAATGTGTTCATACTAAGATGGTTGTGATCCTTGATTGGTTTATTCTTAATTGAATTTCCCGATTGAAATGTCGAACTTTTTCTCAGCTCGGGTGACCTTGCTAAGATATGGAACTGGACATCTGTTGGATGCGTGATACCTACCACGCTGTGGAGCAGTACCATAGAGGTCTTTTCCGCTAGCATACTAGTATACTGTGTAAAATGTATTGTAAATATTAACTCCTACCTTTCTAATTTTAACCTCTTTTAATAACTCAAAAGTTCGACTTTCTATAAACCTCGACATGATAATCGATATATCCGTAAATATGTTCCTACGAACTACCCTTTTTAGCTGATGTGAGCTTGGTATAGATGTTCTTATTATTGTTGTTGTTGTAACAATGGCTGACGTTTCGGCGACTTTGCCTTCCTCAGAGCCTTGCCATTGGACCACTAATGTGTTGTTCACGAGGAATGGTCATCCCTCGTGAATAAGAACATCTATACAAACCTCGCGTCGGCTAAAAAGGGCAGTTCATAAGAACATGTTTCAAGTGCTCTTTCTCAGATAATAACAAAAACAACCTTATTTGAACTGCATTGTTGATTAGTTAAGGCATATCTCAAGTCTGTGAAAGCTGTATGGATACACTTTAGGTACTGAAAAAGAAATCAAGGAAAGTTTGTGTTTAAATTAGCTTTCTATCTTGGGCAACCTATAAATTGCTAGGTGTGAGACAGTGGAAATAGCGTTTCGGTCACGAGATCTTCTTTTAAAATGGTTGAGCGCGTTTTTAAAATGAATGTACGATTAACCGACAATTATTAAAACATCTAGAGCGAGATTCTTTCTAGGCACTCGACCTGTTCTTTTTGGGATTCTCAATCTTGAACAGGAGCAACAGCTTTAGAGCCTGTTATTAGCACTCGTGTATCAGTGAAACGTGGAATATTTCAGAACGAAGTCATTGTGGGTGTGTTAGAATCGGCAATGGCACTAGTAGCGAACTAAGGGCGGAAATATGATTGGAATAGCACAAGTATGAATTGAGCACGAAAAGAAGTATTTTAGAAAATGTTCGAAGCTACACTAATAAACAAATCAACGATATCAAAGTAACCCTTTCGCTCGTTTCGCACAAAACCGCTTGAACGTCAAGCCCTGCTTCGTGACGCCACGTTTCACTACAGTCTTGAAAAGGAATGCAAGCCGTCGTTGCATGGGAGAAGCTTTAACGGGTCCCGCTAGCCGGATCGATAGCACGGCCCGTGGCTGCCCTGCGGCCACACATTCTCAATCCACCCCACCTCACTGGGAGAGTCTTACTCGGACGATTTCACCTTTGATGCTGTTGTTCTTCAGAGTACTGTCGTGCGTGTCACTGTCATTGTTGGTCCATTGAAAATCGTTGTAGAGTCTCTGGCCAGTGGACGTAGATGTTTCATGTGAATTAATCTTATATTATCTGAAAATCTGTGGCCTTCCTTATGTTTAATTTATTTCCATACTTTGCCAAAATGTAAGCTTTTTATTGCTTATAATAAAATACAGTGATGGTCAACAGTCTTGAAATCTCTACCGTCTGCTATGATCATAGCGTGTAGAGAATCGCTGTAGAGCCCTCAGCAACGGGATCAAATGCGAAATGAGTTCAGGTCGCTGCTACAATATCGTTAGCTGGAACTAAAGGCTGTTGTGTTCAACTCTTCGACAGCTACCCGTCTGTATAGAAGCACAGTAGAATATTACATTATTCTTCCATTTCCATAGATGTTTGCAACGACGAAGTTCCTAGGCGAAAAACAACGGCACTTTACCTCTCATTCAACCAGAATTTGCGTTATTCCATTTTTTACAGATAGAAAACGTGATCATTACCAGAGCGATTAAACTGGATTGGTGGTGAAAAGTACTCGTTATCTGTGACGATATTTCTAATGATTTCACATCGCAGTAGCAGAACCCTTTCGAGTCTTAGTATCCAGAGTCCACTATTAGAGTAAATGACCAATCAGCGTCTTGAAAATACTCTGGAAGAGCATTTCCTGTGAGCTGATTCCACGTGGAAGATGGAAGACGGATTGACGCGGTTACGTTCACATTTGCTATAAAGCTCGCTAGAGGCGCAAATTTTCGATTAAACTCCTACCTCTTTAAGCTTCCACAGATTTTTTACATGGTATGGTAGAGAATTTTGTGATAGATCGATATGAAAAAAGTAGTGACTTCGCTAAAAGGTAGAAGCAGTGAAATTTAGCCTAATGGAAGCTTTAGAGTTGACGACAGTTGGTTGACAACAACCAAGCACATTTCGACATACAGCGGCCGATCACCATGGAAGAAGACAGACTGGGAATGCGCATTCTGTCAGAGACAATAGAAATCGTGAAGGATGAGAAGGGATTGGTTGGCATCTCGATAGGTACATATTTATTAGAATCAATCAATCAACCCACCAAATGAATCTTTTCTTGAACTTCATTTATTTGTTTGTCATCGTTACGAAGTCACACAGTTCCAAAAAAGAAAGTCTTTTCAAAACCATCTGTGACCTGGGTACGGCCGGCGCAGTAGATGCACAGCTCGTTTCAGGTGGTGGCTACCCCTATTGTCCCTGTGTGTATGTGGTACAAATATTCGACAGGTCTCCAGCAGAAGCTGATAGCAGGTACACTTCAGTTGTTTTAACGAAACATCTACGTTAACTGGTCGACGTTAAGCCTTGTAAATTTGTTATCTAGAAATTCACACTTAATAAATGTAAAACCAAGCAACTGAATACATGCGAAGTAGTCACTACATAATGTTAACTTCTCATTTGCTACCTACTATAACTTTCACGGTAGGGCATCATGTCAAATACAACCAAAGTGAAACAGAGATATTTGCAAAACTCCAGACCACAAGAGTCTGCGTGGAGATCGAACACGCTATTATCCTTTCCGAGGACTAACGCGTTTACCACCACACCATGAGCGTCCTTTGTTTCGCCTATCTGCCAGCAAATTTTAGCGTGTTCGACCCCACCGCAGACACCTGCGGTCCGGAGTTACTGCATATTTCTAATTTTATTAACTATCGAAAAGAATCTCCAAAAAAATTGTAATAGTTATCAACCCTTATCATTGTAACCTTTGAGCGGAATTTTAATTTTTCTGCGTACAGCATTTTTTGCAACCTATCATTTGTCTTGATTAGTGGCCTTTCCAAGGAAAATGTAGAACAATACACAGGCCATTTTATCACTTGTCTCTGCCAACGGTATTGAATGCTTCTAGCAGCTGACAGTTAGAGATTTGACAAGCTTGCAAAAAAGAAAGCACTATGTGTCGTTGACGTCATCATCATGTCCTGTGTATTGTTCCACCTTTTCCTTGGGAATTCCTTTCCTACTTTTCCTGCAGATACGCTGCCATTTAAAGAGGTCCTTCTCTGGACTAAGTTCTCAATGAGTATAAACTGGTAGATCAGCAGTCAGTATACAGAAGCCTTCCTTCATCCTAGCAATCGTACGAAGGTCTTTTCACTGTGAACTGAGCCACATCTCCAATTGCGGAGTACTAGCCATGGGTTCCACACCATAACTGTGAATGTGCATGTGGCCGCTTTAATGCACGACTGGAATAGCTTTAGACCATATTTCCCTTCAGCATCTATACATTCGCCATCGTGGTACACTTCTAAATAACACTGATAATTTACCGATTACAATAGTTGAGAAGTTGAGAACTTCAAAGGCGTAGAAAAGAGACTTGGCTCTATTGTTCAAACTTCGCTTGGTTTAGAATTAGAAACAGAATCTAAATTCGCTGATCATTCAAGGGTAGCGCGGCAGGTGCAAACGCCAACCAAATATTTGCGAACATGTTGTGCTTAATGAGACCCTGCTTGTTCAATTGTTCCGGTGTTCGAAATGCAATCAATCTTCACCAAGAAAGCGAGGCGAAGAAAAAACACGTTTTGCGGGATCCAGAATATCGGAGCGTCACTTAAAACTTTTCTCTAAGTGGCAAAGTTCTGTAGCTCCTATTGCTTTTTATGTCAACCAATAAAATCCATTTTTAGCCGGAGTATGTCGGTATAATTTTAAAAGGGGGCCATTATTTCTCTACCGCCTCGACCATGTGTTATTCAAAAGGTCGTGAATGTGTTTAATAAACATAGTTCATAGTGAACCTTACGAACAGAGCTGCAGTAAAAGGACCCTTCTCAGCCGAAATTTTTAACTCCTAAAGTATTACATTTTGTTTGGTGATTATCGATCATGGTATCGAAAAACTAAGGTCGACGATCGTGTTAAGCACATGAAGTTAAAATTGTGATTTGTTATGTATGTGTCGTGGAACGGACTAGCAAAGTCTAACGGGACCGCGGTTGAATGGTGGAGGAGGTTTTGGATTTTGTTCACTTCACGTGCACGGGTTTAAAATGTTCCAAAATCATTGGCAGATACATAGAACAACGTAAAGGATACGTAGAGTGCGGGAAACAAAATCTAAACATTAAAGAAACTGAATTATACAGGTAAAAGTATAGTAAAGGGGCGGGGTCATCATTTGCGGGGACCGTGTGGCCGATATGAATTGAGTTTCGATCACAGCGAGCACGCCGAGAAAGTGGGAATCGTTTCCTCACCTGTCCCACAAAACTAGGCCAACCCTACCTACATTTATTTCAGTGCATACGGGCACATGGTGCGAAAACAGTAGCTGCTTTGAGCTTTAAACCAGTATTTCCTAGCTTGCAAGAAATTTGATTATTTCAAATAAAACTGTCAGTGTCTGCAGATGTATGCCGACAGCATACTAATTCTGTCAAATGGAATTCTAATTTTCTGCGGCACACAAGACGTATTTCTTCCCCTTTGCTCCGTTAGAAGTAGCATTTCTAATGCCAGATGGGATTCAATACGTGGCAGACCAGGATGACCTCGGGATCCCAGGAAACCAGCAAGTCCCCAAAAAGAGAGAAAAAATGAAGATTATGCTGGTACCCGCACAACTAGTGAAGACGAACTATCCAAGTATCCAAGTATCCAACGTGGTTCAACAGTCCGAATTTCATTGAACTAGACACGAGGATATCCACCAATGTATCGTTGATGTTTGTAGTTGCTGTTCTTGCAATAGAAATATTAAAAGTTTTACATTTATTTTTGAATTCCTTGAAAGTTACAGTTCTAAAGAACTTTAAAAATGAAAGATGTGTACAAATTATATACACTAAAGCGATATAGCAAAGTTTTTTCTAGTAGTTAATGAAGTTGCAGACACCTTAATTATCCTAGTTATCGAAAAATTATCGGCACTTGTCAAAAATCTTTGTGGTCCCTTAAGATCGGCTTTCTATTGGGAAACTCAAAAATGGTCTGAGTATTTATTTATGTGATCTTATAAACTGATCTTCTTAAGCTGACGCGACGTTGGTACAGATCTTCGTTGTCGTTGTCGTTGTTTTTGATGTTATTGATCGATGGCTGACGTTTCGACGACTTCGCCTTCCCCAAAGCCGTGACGTTACGTGGCATCACGGCTTCGGGGAAGGCGAAGTCATCGAAACGTCAGTCATCGATCAATAACATCAAAAACAACGACAACGAAGACCTGTACCAACCTCGCGTCAGCTTAAGAAGATCAGCTTATGAGATCACATAAATAAATATATCAACTATCTATGCCGAGGTTTATAGAAAGTCGGTCTTTCGGGTCTGAGTATTGTTTTCTCAATCAGCTACGTTTTGTTTTTGAACCTCAAGCTTCATGCCTTTGTGTCTGGATTGTGTCACACTTTGAAAAGCAAATTTTGCATCGCATTTTAAGGTCAACGTCCTAATCCTTACTTTTTTTCATGTTCAATTTAGGTTGTTAGAGTGGAAATTTAAAAGAAACACTCGAGCGATTTTTCTCACAAAGTCGAGCTTGAATGTAAACCAGCGTTGATTTCTGGCAGTTTAATTTTATTCATTTTAATTCATTCGACCCACTTGAAAAATCTAAACGATGTGGATCTGTACATAGTTGCTGGACGCTTTTAGTAGAATTGAGTGTAAGAAGCTTCAGCACACTTCATCTCCATTAAGCAACTCGAGCGGCTTGAGAATTTTATGGCGCATGTGTTGACTAAGAGACAAAGACTCGTTATCACAGACCAAGGTTGTACGAGGACGAAATATTAAAACAATTTCAAAAGCGAAATTTGGATGATGTCATCAGCTACACCGTTGTAATTCCTGGAAAGGCCTTCATCGGAACATCCATGACCGATATCAATCAATCTGAAGGAACAAAGTCTCATGCATGGCAATGCTCTGTCGCTTAAAGAACAACCAACACCGAAGCAGTTTCAAGAATTTAAATACGAAGCTCTGCTTTGTCCGATTTCTTTACCGGAACTCTCAACGATAAACTACTGCTTTGCTTAGGATGTCTCAAACAGAGAGTAGTGTTGAAAACGACTTCAGAAGATTCACGGTCTAGAGAGGCGTGGAAACTTGCCATTTTAAGCGAGTATCTTGTAGACAAAGATGTGTATACGCCCGTGATTTTTGCTCAAGGAGTGGAAACAACCGTTAACTTAAATATACTTCCTGTACTACTTGAAAATCAATGTTAAAAATCGATATTGTTTGTTAAACAACTTAATAATATTAAATGTGAGAGCTGAATTAGCGCAGTGGTCAGCGATGCGGTCTATCAGGAAGCAGAGTGCCGGTTCGACCCCCTCTCCAACGCTCTCCTGCAATTCGCGTGGGAACGTCTTAGCTAGGCTATCTCCAAGATTGTAAGGAGAATCAACTCGACCACCATACTACGACATTCATAGAGAAGACGAAATCCTCAACCAGTAGTCAGCACAACATGCGAAATTCTCGAAGACCTTTGTAGATGATGGATGTGAGCAAAAGAAATCGAATGAAGGAAATGCTGAGATCTGCAAAGTAGATGTAATGGGTTGGATCATGTAAAATAAGAAATAAAAAGAATACTAACTCAGACTAGAGTGCGTTGGCGTTCTTCATCTACAGTAATTGCCAATAGTTCCACTTAGGATTCCATGAGAAGTATAGTCGAAGTGTGTTAGAAGGTATGGAAATCAAAGTAGAGGCGTTTACGATAACCTTTGAAGAATTATTGTCTAGTTTGCTATTGTAAAATTACACTAAAGAGTCCTTAAGGGATAGTATTTGTTAGAATATGCTCACTCAGATGACCTAACCTTGCAAGACATACGATTTACAGCACTTTTCCAAACGTTTCTTTCTTTTCGTGAATCAAAGAACTGCTCGAATTCGCTTGGATGATATATGCGTCCAGATGGAGATTGGGAATCTGTTTTCGTTCTCTGCGTGCTAGATGTTAGTCTAAGGTGCTCTTCTATGGAATTCTGGAGAGCCCTACTAAAGTGGTCTCAGATCGGCATCACAGAGAATCGTAGGACCTTATGGATAATTTGAAATTGAGAATTTTTTCTTGTGATCAGGTTTTTTCCAAGGGGCCAATGATTCCTGTAGAAGCAGCGACTCCTATGCATATTCGACTGACCGATTGAGCACCATTTAAGAGGTTGGCCCGTTGTGAAAATATTCACCTTAGTGATTACTGGAAATAGATATATGGCAGTGATAATGTAGTAATGTTGCTTATAGCTTTCGACTTTTTGGTGATTACGATTAAAGCTTTTCAACCATTGCCAACTATTTTTAAACTTAGAGTCATTTCTTCCAGTGTTTTTGCTTTGATAGTTTTTTGAAAAACCCTAGGAAATTCGAGTACGTTCATTTGAAGGATTCGAGCAGGAGATGAGATAGTGGCGGTAAACGGAATTTCTGTGAAGGGCGAGCGAAAATCGACAGTGGCTCAATTAATCCAGTGCAGCACAAATCCTGTCAAGGTATATCTAGACTCTCTGTTGAATTAAAAAATCATTGCATGTAAAACATGTTTTCATATACACCTAATCGGAGACACGGGTGATGTAGTAGTACTGGTGCCATTCAATACGTTCGAAGCCCTTGTTCTATCCCGCCACGTCTTAGTTAAGTCTAGTTTTCTTCGGGGTCATGAAATTGGAAATCACACTCGTCTGGGACTTGCTCGCTCAGTTCAATCAACAAAAGATGGGACCCGCTAGTGATGGAAATCTGCTAACCCCTTATCATGGTTATAACAAAATTCCAGAGAGAATCAACCCGACCAGCATCCAACGTAGAGAAGACCGAATGTTCTTACGAATATTTGAAGACCTTCGTGGATGTGGGTACGAGATAGCGAACCAAATAAGTGATGTATGGAACCCATAGAATATGTGATGTTAAGTTGTGTAAAATGAAACGGAAAATGAAGTAAAATAAACTTGGCAGCAGTGGGCTCGTCTTTAGCATCAAGAATAACAATACTCACTTGAATTTTCTACCACTATGAAGAATCATGCAGACTCCAACACTTTTTCTATTTCATTGGTACCGGTTTGACCGGTTTGGCGCATCTTTTCCCATGAAATCCCAAGAAACGTATGATGACCTGATATCGACCTTAGGTCAACGCAATGACAGCAATGCAATTTTCTGGGGTGCAGAAGTGGTTCCTAAGAATGAGCAACTGCTTTCTTGAACAACACAAATGCAGCTTCAAAGGAGTTTAAAGTTATTTTCATGACAATGCTTAATGGAAATATTGTCGAAATGAGGGTTTTGTTTATACACACTTAACAACCCATGAAATGAATGCTTTGTTTCAGAGAGGCTGTTTAGGATATTTAATAAGCCTAATGCAGTGGATTCGGACGCTAATGGCGCAGTGGTAATAGCGTCGTTCAATAGGCGTAAGGTCTTAGTTCGACCATACCCTAGGCCACTAGGGCTCCCTTCTCTATATGGCCAAGGAATTGCTGCTAGACTTCTCTGGGAAGCTCCTTCCGGTCCACAAGGCTTTGGAACTCACTAGCACGGCTACGTCAGAATTGGGTTTCGGATGGTAAGAAGCTACTCGACCGGCATTCAACGACATGCATAGAAAAGGCCAAAAAAAATTTCAAAGGGTAGCCCCATTTACGCGCGAATTCGAAGACCTTCGTGGACGGTGGATGCGAGGAAACGAATCGAATGGGAAAATTTCTAGGATCTGCATGATATATGTGCTGATGGGTCGTGTAAAAAATAAGATCGATTAAATGGAAGCTATAATGACGACGAATGCATGATTGCAAGCATATCGTGCTGTTTTATCACAACAGACATCATTTTAGATCACCATCAACAAATTGGAGGCTGATTCCTCAAAAGGAAAGACGCTGGATATTATTATGAAAAAGATCAAACATAAGGTTAGACACCCTTCAACACATGTGATCATATGATATTGTGATGCCAAAAACACTTCAGATTGTGGAGTTCATGGACACAGATTCTGCAGATGCGTTGGGCCTCTCGAGAGCCATTCTCTGCAATGATCCGTTGCTGAAAAAGATGAAGGTCAGCGATTGTGCATAGGATGTTCGATCTTCAGTTTTTGCAACTCCTTTTATAGATCCTCGAAGACAACACTTTACTTTATCGGAATATGATTGGATATTTCGAAGATCTCTTCTACTTACAGGAAAAAGTTAGTTACTACCAAAAAGGTAATGAGTTGTGAGTTTTTGTAGCTGTTGAAGTGGGCTGAGTTATGGACGTCTTTCTTCACTTGAGTGATGCGTTGTTTCATCCTTTTTGTGTGAAGAAAGTGATTGAGGTGCAAAGGTCTTTTGTTAAAAAATGAGCTACTTCGTGTTTCATGGCAAAGGTGTTTCCACAGAGACTTTTCCAGTGCATTTCTAAGTGAACACTTTTTAGCGTTATCTGGAGAATAAATGCAAAGGGAAATGAATAGTTAGAGAAAAATTTCCCTGACTAACTAGTAGAAGCTACCTTAGGATTGGTGAAGATGATTTTTTATTCATTGAGCCTTTTCATATTATTTTTATAACCAATTTATATAAGAATACAGAGGCATTCAGTTCTGTATACAAAGTGCATTCTGTTTTAAAATCCATTTAAAAGGAATGAAATGATGTTCCCTCACTGATTTAACATCTCTTAGAATTTGGGGATATATTCTGTGAACTGGCGGCCCACGAGGCACATGCTAACGCTAATGAGGCGTTCAGCGAATTCGGTGTCGCTCATCGTCGTCTAAGTAAAAAACAAGTAAGTGTCCTTCGGAATGAGTTCATTTCGAAAGGAGCCACAGATGACTACTTTTAAAAATGTTTAATTTGCTTCATTCTGATGATTTCTCTCAACAGTTGGACTGAATCCTAATCTAAAGTATTCCAAAACTCTACACTGCAGTAGTGTTAGTTTCTGTGTGAAAATTCAGGAAACAAGAAAGTACTCATTGCAGAGCGATTCCTTGAACAACCTGCGACCACTTATCGCCGACTTTGTTACTTATGTCGACAAAGTTGTACCCGATACCCAACTCACTCTGAAGAAGTACGTTCTGTCCTCGACTCCGAATGGTACAGTGGAAATAAACGCATGAGTTGAACAAAATTGCTTGGCTTTTTCATATCCGAAGGATTGAAGTGTAGTAATCTGCGTACATAGGAGACGGGAAGTACAGTCATAGTGATGCCGATGATCATGAACACGGTGTTGGTTCGATCCCATTCTGAGCTTACCACGCCAATCATCCCTCCTGGGCCCGGAAATTGGAACCGTTTTGTCCGGAAAAAATTACCTTCTGCAATACAAGTGGAAACGCTCCAGAAAGGACCGACTCGACCAGCATTCAGCGACATTAAAGATGAAAAGAAAATCTTCAAGCAGCAGCCGTAGCCACACGGTTGGAAGGCCTTCGTGGATGATGGATGCGAGGAAACTAATCGGCTGTGAGAAGTGCTGCGGTCTGCACAGTCGATGTGAAAGACGGGTCGTATAAAAAGAAAAATCTATTTGTAGGCAGTGTCAAAACCTCAAGAAATAGGTATACGGAAATATCATATCTTCACTAAGCAAATGCGTAGAACACTTTGGTATTCTATTTATTAATATAATTCTACTCAACATATTGCGAGCCGCTCAACGCTACTTTCTCTCAACCTCTATCCATTGCGTTTAATATATCTTCGGCTGCTGCTTGAAGATTTTCATTTCATCATAAATGTCGTGGAATGCTAGCCGAGTCGATTCTCCTTGGAGTCCTGAGACGCCCGGGCTAGAATGTTCCCACTTGGATTGCAGAGAGTGCTTTCATCCCGGACAAATCCGCTATCAATTACCCGACTCCAGGCGGATGGGGGGCTTGGTGGGCCCGGAGCGGGGTCGATCCGACAACGTGTTCTTGATAGTGGGCGTGACTACCACTGTGCTACCCGTCTCCTTCTCGTTTAGGGTACCAGTCATCTTTGAGTAGCACTTGCCACATTAGTCGGCTTTAATTTTTTAAAGACCAGAAATAATAACTTTAATTCGAACATTTCATTTTGGAATTCTACCTAACTTGTAGGCTGACAGGGCACCGTAATAAAACATCTGGAGCCTCATCAACACCTTCTGCGTTAAATTCAGATATCTGGACGTCAAATATGAATACTTATCGTATTGCTTAAAGCTGAAAGAAATGGACGATGAGGAACTGGAGTACCACACCCTCAACGAAGGACTCTATCGCGTAGAAACTGGAAATTATGAGTACAGGTATGTAAGTCACTAGTTCAAGTGTTTAGAATGATGGTTGCCTTAATTGCACAATTCATTAGTACAGCAAATGCGTAGCAATGACTAAAAAGTCATTCCGAAAAGAATTTTGATACTTTCTTTCAAGCTCAGCTGGATTTATTAGTCGATACAAACGTGTGTAGTGCCTGAACGTTTCCAAAAAGCCCTAAATTTCGCATACTTGGTGTCTATGAGATTTTTCAGGCTAATGCTTCGCTGTCGCCAGGAAGCGAGGGAAAAATTCATGCAAATGCGAAATGATGTTATGATCAAAATTGAATTACTCGATCAGAAGCACGGTAAGTAATGTTTTGTAGACTTTGAGCGCAAAGGATAATCAACAGAGTTTTGTGAAATTTTCATTTTGTACCTTCCTATAAATGCGCCATATTACTGGCAATGCAGACAATTCATGTTTCCCGTCTTTTTTTCTGCGGTAAACACTGTTTTGTTTTTCAGTCTTATAGCAGCTTAACAAGGTTCTGTCCACTTTTCAGTACGAGATATTGCGCTACATCTGGCCAATCTCGCCTCTGTTATGAAAAATTGCCTCGCAGAATGCTCATCGTTACTTCAGAACACTCAGAACTCGCCTGTTGAAATTGACATCACACAAGTACGACTTAGTGCCATCGTATCTTTGTTCTTCTGCGGCGATTGCTCCAAGAGAACAATTTCAGGGAGGGACGGAGTTGGATCTACACGAGAATTCGACCGAAGACTGCAATGACTCTGCTAATGAATTCACCGAAGAGCCACTCATCAGCACATCACCACATGGCGAAATGGTCAACGCAGTCAATCTCATTGACATAAACTAGTGATGACAGCAACAGTGTTAGTGAATAATAATAATAATAAAAATAACAATGAATATAATAATAATAGTAATACAACCACAACGTTGCTGAGATATTTGCAAAACTCTGGACCGCAGGTGTCTATGGTGGGGAACGAACGCGCTATTATCCTTTCCGGGGAGTAACGCGTTCACCACCACACCATGCGGGTCCTTTGTTTCGCACGTCTCTCAGCTATTTCTATCGATCTTTTTGCCACAGCAATCACCCGTCAGCGGGGTTGATCTGGGGAGCGCAAATCGGCATAGAACCCAGTTAAGCTATGGCTGTAGTTGAAATCACAATGTTTAACGTTTTGTTTTCTGCCTTCTATAATTTTCATGGCAGGTTACTAAGCGAAATACCCCCGCTGACGGGTGATTGCTGTGGCAAAAAGATCGATAGAAATAGCTGAGAGACGTGCGAAACAAAGGACCCGCATGGTGTGGTGGTGAACGCGTTACTCCCCGGAAAGGATAATAGCGCGTTCGTTCCCCANTGGGGAACGAACGCGCTATTATCCTTTCCGGGGAGTAACGCGTTCACCACCACACCATGCGGGTCCTTTGTTTCGCACGTCTCTCAGCTATTTCTATCGATCTTTTTGCCACAGCAATCACCCGTCAGCGGGGGTATTTCGCTTAGTAACCTGCCATGAAAATTATAGAAGGCAGAAAACAAAACGTTAAACATTGTGATTTCAACTACAGCCATAGCTTAACTGGGTTCTATGCCGATTTGCGCTCCCCAGATCAACCCCGCTGACGGGTGATTGCTGTGGCAAAAAGATCGATAGAAATAGCTGAGAGACGTGCGAAACAAAGGACCCGCATGGTGTGGTGGTGAACGCGTTACTCCCCGGAAAGGATAATAGCGCGTTCGTTCCCCACCATAGACACCTGCGGTCCAGAGTTTTGCAAATATCTCAGCAACGTTGTGGTTGTATTTCGCTTAGTAACCTGCCATGAAAATTATAGAAGGCAGAAAACAAAACGTTAAACATAATAATAGTACTATTATTAGTAGTGATAACATGACAACGTCTAAGTAACGTTAATCTTTACGACTTTCCGAACTAGAGGATCACAAGAAGCACCTTCAAGAAGTCAAAGAGGGAGGCGATTGATAGCCCTGCACAATTACTTCTTCCGAACAAGCATATCATTGCAAGCTTCGCGAGTGCTAGCTGGAGATGTACTGACACAACTGACTCGCCTATGACTTCCCCAACACACTCTACCTGCTCTGGATACAATTTCCACAATTAATGTTGAGAGCCCACCTGCCCAGAAAACCGTTCTGGACTGCGTTGACGTGACAAATTTGCTGGATTTGATGGAATGTCCCAAAAATGCGGGCTATACTTTTTGAAGCATGGACTTCTCTTCTATGTGCCGTACATATTGTTGATTTTATGTTTGCTTATTTTTATATCAATCTTCTTCATTTTCTATCGATTTCCTAGAAATTTTGCATTTTCTTTATTTTGGCTTCATTAATGTGTGCTGGAATTAGACTACTAGAATAAGAATACAAAAAAGCAAATTTTATCAGTCTCTTTTTTGTAATAATTCAGATTTGGACATAAAGCTATGGAGTTTTTTCAGTGTATACATTGCACCTGGGCAAAATTTTCTGGTAGAGGTGTGAAGGGTGCTATGGGACCGCTTAAATAATCGATGACCTCTTGAAAATCTCAACTGTTCACGTATACAACTTCTCCAGAACTGTACAACTGTACAACTAAATGGGTCTATTAGTACGACACCATTTCAATTTTCAGTAAACCGCAGGCATAGGAAGAAAAGCTCGACAAATGGACTGCACATTAAGTGGACGCAAATTGGAGATTTCGTCATTAAGGAATTTGTTGTGCGCTTTTCTCTTCGTATTAAGAACGATCTGATTCATTCTCGATCGAACTGTGATGTGCTGTGAAGGAGAACTAATTTCGCCCTGTGCAGAAAGTGGAAAGAGTGATTTTCGAAAAGCATATTGCAGAAGAAGACTATGAAAGTTCCGAGCTCTGCGGTGATTTTTTCGAGCTTTACCACACTTTCAGTCCTCTCGAAATCATCAAATGTGAGGTGTAAAGATTGGTGTAAATTGGTGTAAAGATAATGACGGCATACAAGAACTGGAGCTGTTGAATGAAAACGTTCGCTGTCTTTTGGTCCATGAATTGTACAAAATCAACTGCCAAACTATGGTTCATCTACGCCAAATACCAGAATTACCACTGGTGGAACACTAGGCTTCTCAGGAATATGAAGAACATCCTTCATGAGAAAGCACTAGATGAAAACCACATACAACTTTATGGTATCCGGAGTTCTAAGCTTTTATATAGGTGGAATAATTAAGCTTATAATGTATTGACGGGGCGCGTGTAGCAAAGTGATCGGAGGCGCCCTGCAATACACATAGGATCGATCCTCTCGTCTCAAGGCTCACCAAGCCCTCCATACCCCCACCGTCGTCAAATTGGCACCAGACTTCTATGGGAGGTTAGCAGCACTGGCTCGATACATTGGTACGCCACCGCAAGTCATTGCAAAGGCCAGATATGCGTTCAATCATCTCCAACGATGCTAAATGAAGTGGAATGCATGACGCATTCCTCAGGGATTGAACAACGCCGAGAGGTTTATCCCTTTAATGTATTGATGCAAGAGTATTAATTTTAGTGGTCCATACTTTGCAGGAGAAATTTTAGGGAAATTAAAATATTTCATGCTTCTAAACTTGGCGTTCTGTGTTCGAAAATACATCTCCTATGTTGAAGGAAGGGAACATCACCAAATATGTCCAACTTTAGTGACATCATTTTATGTGACTTACAGAGTATTTCTTAGGCATATCACTCTTAAGGTGATCAGCTTCATCGATGTGATGTATCATAGTTCAATGGAACGACCGACCAAATAGGCATAGAGTTTGGGATGCCGAGGATTCACATGCAAACTTGCTAAATTCCAACGTTCGGTGATGGACATCAGAAAAAAAATCCGCTGTCGAATTACAAGTTGCAATTAGTGATTTGCTAACCGTCGCTATGTAAAAGTCAGAAAGCTTTGATAATAAGCATATGTTGTCATCTAGACGAAGCAAAATGTACTTCTAAGACGAAACACTAAAGCACAGATCAAACAGTGGAGAAATGAAATCCTACAGACAATTTCGGCCTTAGGAAAACTCAGTTTGTGAGTGTGTCAACAAATCAAAGTTGGACATTCGCTTGGGACAAAATGGTCGAAAGCTGTACACCCTACATTCTCATTTAGCAAGCAGTTGGTCGAAGAAATAATTAAGCCCAGCAGATATGCAAAGTTCTGCCTAATCGTTAAACTGCGATAAGGAGTGATCTGATTAAATACGATAATATCTTGTAAGACCTGTCTATCCTATCCTGTCCTAATATCTGTTGGAGGTGCCCTACTACACACTAGCAAATTTTGGATCGATCTCACGTCGGGGGCTCACCAAATAGCAAGAAGTGGCAAGACGACCACTAATTCGCACCCTCAATAGCAGCGCTCGATCGCACCTGATGTTGAGTGTTTGTGAGAAACTTTGTAATAGGCTGGCTAAGAGATGATCCTTGCGGAAAGCATAGCAGAAAACTTGAATAATCTGACAGTGACTATTTCGGAATATTTGAAATTTTCTTTCACGGTGGGGGTGGAAATATCACAATGGTTAGTGATGCCGTCGATCAGGAAGCAAAAGCGCTAGTACGATCCCCGCCCCTACACTCTCCTCCGAACCACGTGGGAGCACCTTAGCTTGGCCATCTCCGAGAGCGCAAGGATAACTCGCTCGACCAGCATTCTATGACATCCACGACCAAGAGAAAATCCTCGAGCAGCAGCTGATACAGCACGCAAAATGTTCGAAGACCACTGTGAAGAATGAATACGAGGAAAACGAATCGAATGCAAGAAGCGCTGAGTTCCCCACAATAGACGTGATGATGGGTCATGTGAAGTAAAAGTAGAAACTAAATCTTTCATGGTGAGCACTCCGCTAATATCGACTACCTTAAATAAGCCTTCCTTATAGTTTTCAGACTGAACATGGGCTCACACTGAAGATTTTAACCAAGTTTGACCGTTTGTTGACTCATTGGATCGACTCGATTACATTGCAACATGTAGTGAGAAATAAACCTTACACAAACGATGTTTGGCGGATTGACTGCGAAATATAGCGCTTAAACACTTTAATGGCCAAATTTTCACTAAAAAATTTGCAACGACTGTTTAGCACTCTGCAGCAGTACCATCAAAAAATGCCGAGCCCTGGAGGATCGATCGCAACAGAGGAGCGCTGCCACGAAGTTGCCGAAAAGCGTCGAAATATCAGCTAAGTCATTCAGAAATTACAAGCCAAAACATTCAGTTCTCATGAACGAAAGCATACGACCACGCCTTGCACAATAAAGCTTGTTGAAGACGAACGTGTTGGGCTGCTACATTTTGCCCCATCCACCGTACTCATCGGACTTCTCGTCAAACGATCAACCATTTTGAAGCATCTCGACAACTACTTCCAACGAGAAGTCTTCAACAGTCAAGCCGCTGCTGGAAATTCGTTCGAAGGAATCATTCACCTCCAACTGCTTCGAAATTGCTCCAAAGCAGAATAAATAGATTTGTATATTACTGGAAAAATCGTGTAAATTCCAGTGTTATATTCAAGTTACAACACCTCAAACATGGCGCTCAAAATTAACCACTCCTTTTACGGAAACGTAAACAATGAAAATAAATAGCCTGTCGTTAAGAGAAATTTGAAACCCGGACGAGGTCCACTAATTCCACTCGAACTATTTAATTTCGATATAATGTATATAGATCATTACGTTCGGCGTAAGCGAAACTCTTAAAGATCAGAGTTACTGGCTTCATTCGTCTAAACGCTGAAGCTTGTGTGTACGCATTAAACAAGACCGAGCACTTCGAATGTTCCATCGCAGTCAAGCCAGACAGCTGAAGTGCTTTGCTGTAGTTAATGAGCGAAGGATAAGACTTCCAGTGTAAGGTATTTCAAGCTGAACACTTTTGTTCTGAAGGACGTGAGCTGACTAATGGTCGTGAGCGAGTGGATGAAAACAAAAGAAACTACAGGGCCATCAGCGAGTAAAAGATTCCGGTCACTCTAGTAAGCCAAATGCTTGAGTCAATTCGAATTTGGAAAGTGCTTTGGTCTAGAAAACTTCATAATTAATCTGAGAATTTTGTACCTTTAAAAGATTCAGACAATATAACAGTCTGCGGAAGTGGTAGAAACAGCCGAATTTTTATTTCAGCTCTGAATTATGAAGTATATACAAATTTCAATGCGTTTGTATCCTCCAGCTCAAAGCGCTTGACCTTCCTCCATAGGAGCTCCTTACAGATGATGTCGAGCAATTCGTGACGTTATGTTTTCAACACTGTCGATAATTCCAATGATGAGCGGCCGAAGTCTGGAAGACAGAGGTTAAAAGGGGTGACATTATGCGGTGAACACCGCTTAAACTAGCAAAAAACGAAACCTGGAATCTATAAATAGCCCTTTGTTCAGTTCCCGCTCCGTTTTCCACCGATTTGATGAAATTTTCAATTTTAATGCATGTCCTAGCAAATTTAAAACAGAAAGCAGAATCGATAGGCCTGGTTTGTTCGTTTTTGTATAACATTGTCTAAGAACTCCATTTTAACATTCGAGTATCCGAAGTTCCGTTTTCAAGAAAACTGCGCTAAAGAGGCCGCGTAGGACATCCAGATATTGGCCATGTGGTATTTTCTTCTCAATACAGACACGCTATCGGAAAAAAGTTCGACAATATAAGAAGAACCACAAGTGATACTTGTGACGCGGTGTCATTCGAGTTATATCGCGCAAAATATGGATTTAGTGGCTTGTCGTATAGTTGCTAGAGCTGCCCTGCAACAAATAGTGCGTAGGTGGTTTGATCTCACGCCCTAGACTAACTATGCCTCTCATGCCCTATTGGTCAACAAATTGGTACCACGATATTCTACCTTTTATTTTCTGCCTATTACAATTTTCACGGCAGAGTACTAAGCGAAATACAACCACAACGTTGGTGAGATATTTGCAAAACTCTGGACCGCAGGTGTCTACGGTGGGGAACGAACGCGCTATTGTCCTTTCCGGGGAGTAACGCGTTCACCACCAAACCATGCGGGTCCTTCGTTTCGCCTGTCTCTCAGCTAGTTCTATCGATCTGTGCCGTCAGCAATCACCCGTCAACGGGTTTGATCTGGAGAGTCCACATGGGCATTGAACCCAGTTAAGCTGAGGCTGTAGTTGAATTCACAATGTTCACCTTTTATTTTCTGCCTTCTATTATTTTTATGGCAGGGTATTAATTTTTATAGCTGAGAGAGAGGCGAAATGAAGAATCCGCATGGTGTGGTGGTGAACGCGTTACTCCCCGGAAAGGACAATAGCGCGTTCATTCCCCACCGCAGACACCTGCGGTCCGGAGTTTTGCAAATATCTCAGCAACATTGTGGTTGGTACCACGATAGTTTGGAAGGAAAGAAACATTGGTTCCATAGGCAGGTCTGTGGAAGTCATTTTACAGGCCACTATGCACTCTAACACTTTTTGTACACTCAGTGGTCTCTAACTCGTGACGCACTCTTAAGGAATACATCAACTTCGGACGCTTTATGCTGTTGAACTGAAATAACCATCACTCACACGTCGCCATTATTCGATCTCCTTGCCGTTTCCAGAGCCTCCATTGCATACTGCTTGGTCATGTCGTTCACCTGACGAATGTATCGCATTGATGAGACCATTTCCTTATGACCACCATCTTTCGTCGCATAAAATTAGTGTTATAAAGTTCGTCAACGTATGTATATATATATATATATATATATATATATATATATATATGTATATGATATGTATAGATATAACGCTATATCGTAATATATGTATATTGATAACATCTATTAATGTATTGACATCTATATACTATATCTTGTAGTATACGCTTACTGCCGTGAATGTAGGAGAATGTGCTAATTCCACATCAAGCGGCTCATACGAAATCTGACCACTTTTCCTATACTGGTCGATGACTGTCAGCATGCGCTTTTTCGGACCATACGCTATCCCCATTTCTTCGAAATCCTTGAATTTAAACGCCTTTCAAGCACAGATAGAAGGGAATGTAGAAAATGCAGACCTTTTCTGTGAGATCGAAAAACAGGTTCAAGTCTATGTTTTCAGATCTGAACTTTTCGGAAAGCCGAGAGAGATTCATGCCTTCCAGAAGGTCGTCCAGCGTTCGAGGTCTTCTAGTTCGTGGTGATTCTGTCAATATATATATATATATATATATATATATTCTTTACGGAAATACGAAGCACTGCAACTACATATATCACCTAACCATTGTTGAATCCAGAGGAACTACGACGTGTAATATTATCCATCAGCAACTGCTGAATCTTCAGATCTTCTCCCGCCAGAGCTTGACAGTCCTCACCACGACAGTTTCTCAGAAGGGGATCGCCTCCCTATAATACAGTTATCTTCGATTTCAACGTGTTACATCATAACAAACAAGTAAAAAAGACTGAATTTTCTTCAGCTGCCTGTGAAGCAATACCATACGCACGTATTCAAGCAGACTACATATGGTAAGTTCGTGCCCGGACGAGCATGCCTCTAGCATAGGAGTCATGCCTTCAACATCAGGAGCATTAGGATCGGCCCCGGCTTGAAGGAGCGCATCCGTCACCTGAGTGCAAATTCCTCTGGATTATCAGCGTAACAAACTGTCCAACTCAAATAGAAGATACTAACCACATTCTGACTGCAACTGCTCGAATAATGCAGTGCTTGCCGATCTTGGCTGTCCGCCCTATTTACACTAGCTCCTCGTTCCAGTAAGAGGCGTACCACCTGTAATCTACTCACCTTGCTCAACAGATTGAGAGAAATTGAAGACTAGATGACTTAGAGTCGCCGAAATACTTAGTCTTTGCAAAGTTATCATTTGAGCACAGGTTGTTTCAGCATCATATATAGCTAGATCGAAAAATTAAAATTCTCGCTAATCAAACCAGTGCCTTAAGTCAGTCCTTGAGAATGTTGGTTACCTGTAGATTCCCACAAGCTGATGCCATCATCAACGCTGTTTGTCCTTTGAGATTGCAATCATCGAGCTGGAATACATCTTCAAAACTATTTTATTGATACTTCTGTCTAGATACACTTTGTACATGTGAATCCATCAAAGTATCGCAATCTCTACGTATTGGCTCAGGTTTGTTCGATTTTTCAGTACTTCGAAAAGAAGCACTTTAAATGCTAGCAAAGATTGAGAGCACTGTGCTTTCTAAACTGTAAAGATGCACCTTCGGACGATTTCCTAACACCACTGTGAATTTCCCCCGATTCTGTGAATTCAGAAGAATTTCGATTTTCAGGATATTGGGTGGAACATGTGTTACTGCTATTTTCGAAACATTGTACCTACCAAATATAGCCGAAGTAATCACTCGATGCACTTGCTTGAATTCTTGGATGGCACGTCTTCACTGGTTGTGAGGGTCGCAGCATAATTTCCATTTTTTCGGAGTTTTGCTGGTTTAGCCATTGTGGCTCCCTGGAGTCCCGAGATCAACTTAGCCAAAGCCTGCCAGAGGAGGTCACCGCCAGAAGCAATCGCCGCCGTTGGGGACCAGTGGGAGATTTGCCACCATGCGACTAGTTTGAGATACCAGTACGGTGGTTTAACCTGGTATTGGATTACTCTTAGCTAGGCTTCCTGATGGAAACGCTGAACTCATTCTCAGCCTGGGAGACCCTGCCGAGGGGATGAATGCCCCCGCTGTACATCACAGCCCGACGTGCAGAAATACCTCCCAGCCACGATGAGGCGGTAAACCGTTGGGAGCGATAGATATATAATTCATGGATGCTGGAATACCTCACGACTATGAAATTTGGTGATTCTCGTTAAGATCACCATTAGAAACTCGCAATACCGCCGGGATCAATAATGGTATGAACGCAGTGCATAAGAGCAAATAAAGAGCCTTGATACAATGCAAGGCTTTTTCGTTTCCCTTCCAGACATTCTATTTGAAACAACGAGCAAAATTTTCACAGCTAGATATAAAAACCAGACTAGCTTCTACTCAACTAGCGATGCAAAAGAAACCGGAGCCAAAACTGAGAGCGTGCAGTACTGAAACGAGGAGAGGTTAGGTTATCTCATACCTTGGCTCCAGCATCTATAAGTGCGGTGCAAACATTGTGGTGCCCAAGGTAGGCGGCATACAGAAGTGGAGTCCACTCCGAAAGATTCTTCGCATTCGGATCAAGTTTTTTGCTCGCAATCAGAGCCTGAAGGCGTTCTTTCGCAAGCGTCTGATTTTCATTTAATGTCAAATTCTCTGCACGGAATATTCCAAATATATTTCTAAAAAAACTACTGACATGAATCACTGTAACATCGCCGATGCTCGCCGCTGTATGAGCGTCCATGCGAAAATTATCCTCTTGATGAAGAGGAGGCATGGGTTTCGAGAGAATCTCGGTCACAAGTGCACCATCCGTGTTGTCCTGCTCCCCTGAAGGAGAGACGTACGCCACTCCAGGCCGAGCGGACGAAAACCGCACTCGAACAGACATCTCTGGAACGTCGTTCAGCAAATGCCATACCTAACTCGTACTCACAGATCATACGAAAAATTCGGCCGCTAATGAAACAGATCTAGAAAATTAGCACTACGACCAGTTAGTGACACCAATATTGAACTATTTTACTTCCGATAATGGCAGCAATGTCTCTTCGATTGTAGACATGGCTTACCTTTCTTCTCAAATGAATGTTGTTTAGGATAAAGAGCACTTCGATAATATGCCAGTCTTAACGAGCAAACACAGTCAGAAAGAAATAATTCCATTTCCATGAAAATGTGAATGAGATTCTAAGAGAATTTGAGGAGTTTGCACTTATGCCGTTACTACATTTGGATGCTCAGCACCGCGAAAATACTATGCAGTAGATCGAATGAGGACGACATCTGCGCATCCTCCCCATTTCAGCCGTAAACTCGAAGTCTACGAAAGTGCATGTCTGCACTTCCCGACAGGAAGAATCATTGTTAGAAACACTTGAAATAACAAAATGCTCGGGCATAAGCTGTCCCATGTAGGCGGCCACACCGTAGTCATCGTATCGTCGTATCGACTCTAATACAGAAACAGGACGAAACTAACAAATCTCTACAACAACGTGTGCACTAATCAATAGAGACGAGATGTCGATAGGGAACGACGGCCGGAGAACCTGTTCCTGCAACGCAGCGACATCGCTGCGCGATGATGCATCCACGGACTGCACAGCGAGACTCCCAAATTCATCACTTTTATTCGAGTAACACCTCTTGGAGGAAATGATGATCAACAACAAGAAAAACAACTCTCAACAATATCACCTACGTGAAGACGAATAAGTACATTGAGGTAGTGTATATAACTAACTACACTGAGACACGAGTTCACCAAGGACTCAGCCTAAAAAACATACCTCGATGAAGGAAAGTTCTATGACAATATGTCACCATAACACAAAAATGCCTAGCAACAAACAGCTCCACCGACAAGGCAGCGCGGAAAAATGTAGCAGTAGAAAGACGACTAGAAATTTAGCAGTGACATTGGAAGAGCAATGTATAACTATTCTCACCAGTTTACTGATTAAATGCGAAAAAGGAAAGAAATGAAGCAAAGTGGCGAAAACATAAAAGGTGATTTATCATCAAAGGCCTTCACTTTTCTTGTTTTTAACCATCTGCACGAGATATTTGAAGCGACGAATACAAGCACTCTTCGTCTTTGTTGCAACAGCAGTGGAAATCTAAGAATGAGAAAAATCAACGATTAAGATATAAGCATAGAAATGGTATATCTCTCAGAGAGCATGACACTAATTATAACATGAAATCAGTAATGGCTTCGCAAAAATCGGTACTTTATGCCAAACCTTGAAAGCCCTACTTGGAATCGAATCTAAACATTATACAATACTGGAAAACTGTGGTCTGAACGTTACATCTCAATAACTGGTTTCAAAAACTAAAATACTTATTATGACGACTGAGTTAGTGATTAATTATTTATTCATTTATTTCTTGTCTTACATGACCCGTCACCACACCTACTGTGTGGATCGCAGCACTTCTTGCACTCGAATCGTTTTCCCGGTAATCACCATCCACAAAGGTCTTCAAATATTTCGGGCATTTTGTCCTGTAACGCTATGTGCCAGCAAATGTACTACCGATTGCTGCAGAATACACTTGCTGCCAAAAGGCAGATCATACTGGATGACGGGAATCAACCAACATCCGTCCTGTACACAACAGCATCGCCGAGTAAAGTTCTCCATTCGATCGGTGCTCTCACCCCACTGATTCAGCTGGATGCGAGAATGAACACGCATATCGCGACAACGGTCAGCTGTCGACCGCTGGCTCAGCCCAACGCGGCTCTGAAAAGAGAAAAGGCGCCGATTGAAATTTTAGCCGAATAAAACTTTTTTGTACCAACCCTCGTGTCAGCTCAACCATAAAGCTAAAGAAACTCTCGGCACTCATCAATCTGTGAGGTATGCGCGTTACATCCGACTTCATCGAACGTCGTGGATTAAAGAGAGATTTGCCACGATGCGACTAGCTTGAAACCAAGACGGTGGTGGATCCTGGTATTGGTTTACCCTTAGCTGGCCTTCCTGATAGAAACGCCGGACTCCTTTACAGCTTGGGAGACCTTGTCGAGTAGACGAATCTTTCTGCTCTATGTAGCAGCCCGCTACCCAGGAATACCTCGCAGCCACGATGAGGCGGTAAACCGCTAGCAGGGTATAAATATATGTGTGTATATTTATGTATATACATATATACATGCATATATAATGTACTCAACAGCACCCAGTAGAGAGAGGTCTCATCCTTTAAACGCACAAAAGATCTGGGAAAAATAACACAATAATATATAATAATAACAATAATAATAATAGAATAAGGTAATGATTTACCACATAACAACATAACTCATCGCAAATCACACCCTTTTGCCATTTACTCTAAATTGCAGAGAAAGGAATGTTACCTTATCCCAACGGTCAGGATCAGATGCAGGGTACGTTTTGATAGCTTGTTCCAGTAATTTTTGTTCTGTCATGGTCCAAGTGTCTTCGTTTGGAACAGTTGTTCCTAGATGGTTCTGACTAGTAGCAGGCAGTTTCACATGCATAGCTTGCACAGCTTTACACTAAAAAACACTATCATCGCATGTACATTCATAATAACAAAAATTTACAAAAACCAAAGGATCTAAATGTCTTTGCTTCCACAAATTAATCCACTAACAGTAGCAAGTCTCAAGGACTACCATAATAAAAGACACAAACTGCATCAACTACTTTGTAAAAATGAGACCCACTCGCTTAATAACTTCCTTCTCAGTTTTAATAGGCGTTGACTTGTTCTTACGGTGCTCATTTATATAATCGGCTATGACAACCCATCTATCCATAGTTCCAGGCGGATACGTGTTTGACGCCTGAATCAAAGTTTCTGTAGAGAACAAATGAGGAAATGTTTAAAAAATAAAAGGAACTTCTCGAAGTCAAAACGTACCTTTACAAGCAGTTGTATTTCTTCGTTAGTCCATTGGACCTCATTCTTCTCCGTTCTAGTTTTGTTGTTCATTGCTGCCCTCTCATTTTCCACATTAACCCTTATACCAGCCTGATCGTGACTTTATAAACTATGCAGCTCGATATAAAAACTACAATTTGATTTAATAAGCAAAACTGCTGACCTCTGCTTTCGATATAGCCATCAAAATCTCTTCTCGCAGTGTCATCTTTTCTATAGAATCACATAAAGCGGCCATATCAGAAACAGGCAGAGAAAGGCGTAACTGGAAATGGAACAAAGTAAGCATAAGACATCAAAATTACTTGGTATTTAGACACTTGGGCGGCCCGTCTTCAATGTTTGTGCGAATCTCAGTATAATCTCCATCTCCATTTTTTCGGAGTTTTGCTACTTTAGCCATCGTGACCCCTGAACTTCCAAGATCAACCTGGACAAAGTCTGCCTCAGGTCTTCACCACCACAGGCAGTCCCAGCCCTCGTGGACCGGAGGGAGATTTGCTACTATGCAACTAACTTGATACCAGGACAATGGTATTGGTATCCTCGTATTGGTTTAGCTAGGTTTCCTGAAGAAAACGCCGGAGTCCTTCTAAGATTGGGAAACACTGCTGAGAGGACGAATTCCCCCGTTATAGATCGCAGCTCGACACCCGGGAGCACCTCCTAGCCACGATGAGACGGTAACCCGTTGGGAGGACAGAACAGTAAGACATCAAAATTAGATAAAACAGTAGCAAACTTACTCTCTCAACGCGCTCCATCTCGATAAGTTTCTCAGAAGCATTGTCTGACCAGTGACCAGCAGCCTCCGCAAGTTTTTTGAATCGCCGACGCTGCTTGGCCGCCATTTTCCTTGCTGCTTCCTTCTCCAACCTTCTATTTTCCTCAAAAGGTATAGTCGAAGGCGATAAGTACCTCAAAGATAACGCTATTCTTTTTCAAACAAATTAATGCCTACTCTTTCTTCCTTAGCAATCTTTTCTTGCTCAGCTTTTGCCTTCATTTCCGCCTCCTCTTTCTCTCGTTTTATCCTTTCCTCGGTTTCTGTTTTTTCTCGTTGTTTCTTTTGTCTCTCCTCTTTGGCTCTATTCTTCAGCTGAATTCATGGCAATAAGTTACATGTAGAGACACATTAATTGTAATTAAGCTGACAAACCTCTTGGTCATCTTTTTTAAACTTTGCTATTCTAGGGTCCTTGGAATAGGCTAATTCAACAAGTTTCCTAATTCGTTTACCTTCTTCTTTCCTTCGCCGTTCCCTTTCTGCCTTTAAATATAACTTTCCATAAGAAGTACCAAAACATTGACCATGAATACTTATCGACCTTCTAAAATTATTACCTTGTTTAATTTTTCTAGCTCCCTTCTCTCATATCGATCTTCACCTTTCTCCTTGTCTTCTTCGTCCAGATAGGAAAACTCTCTCCAAGACGAGAAATCAAACCAAAAATTGTAAAAAATCTCTACAGCCGACCTCTCGGAATCGATTTCGCCTAGGCATGGCACAGGCTGTTTAGTGGACCATCTGCACTTATGAAAATACAGGATAAACCAAGAATTAAAGTATGGATAAAGAAGAACAAAGACTAAAAACAAACCGTGAATTGCGCTCAAACACTGGAGCCAACTCCCTGAAGAAATTTTCGCTGTTAATTGATTTTTCACTAGGTATAAAGTCGTCAAACATGGGATCTACCGAGTCATACGCCTGTCGCTTCGCTTCCGACATTCCTAGCTGTTCGTAAGCCTACAACTAGAGAATATAGACAACTCTTCCTACTCTTTGTTATTAAAACAGTTCAGTTAGTCAAAAACGACTTCAGTTGAACCATCAATAGACAAATTAACAGCAATTAACTAGTCACGAATATAATACAGTATAAATAATATAATAATATAGTCTACTATAACCACAAAGATGCTGAGATATTCGTAAAACATGGACCCTGGGCCAGATCGAACCACGATTACCCATTCCGGGGGGTCGCGTATTACACACTGCATCACTAAGTCCCTTGCTTTGCGTTTCTCTCAGCCAGTTTTCTACCTTACGGTGACATTAACAATCACCCGTCAACGGGATTTATTTGTGGAGCACAAATCGGCATTGAAGCCAGTTAAGCCGAGGCTGTAGTCGAAATCACATTGTAGGTAGCAAATAAAAACTTAACATAGTACAGTATACAGAATATAGTTTTTCTGTTTGGTTATGGAGGTGTTTGGCTGGATAGATCGCGGTTAACTTGACCTCTTCAAGCTCTGAAGTTGGCCGAAATCCATCGAAACATCAGCTTGTTCGTAAATTAAAAAAGTAATACTTCGTATTTGCTCAACAGTAATATAGAGAATTAATCACGAATGAATTTCTAGCAAAAACATTTACAAAGACGTGAAATTAACCTTCGTTATGCAGGTGAAGTAGTCCTCTCCAGCAGGTAATGGATCTCCCCTGTGTTTTTTTTTGTCGGGATGGTGTTTTAGAACCTTACCGCGATCTTAATCACTCGTCTCACACTCACGAACAAAAATATCGACTTCAAATAGGAAAGATATGGAAGGGGAACCCACAGCATGACCTAATTTCAGCTACTGTTGCCTTGAAGCGGAGCTTTGATAGTCCTAAAACCTTATAGTGATCTTGATTCTTGATGTCGTTTGGATCAAGTTTCGTCAAGTATTCCTCGTAGTTCTCATCATCGGGATCGAACAAAATGGAGCGATCATCACCCTCGATCTGCTTAAGCAATGGCATTATCATAATCTGGATCTATGGAAAATTTAAAGCTTCACATTACAAAATTAGAATAACTTGGAAGAAAGCTCACTTCAGAAGAACCTTGAGTTTCGTACTTCCCGAGAACTGGCCACGTGCACCTTCCTAGTGTAATATTGTCTCTAATAACAGAAGATTCATAAGAATGTCCAGCTTCCTCTATTCGCTTGGTTCGAGGCAGAAACCCGTACAATGCGATGGCCAGCGACACGGAGTCGCGATCGGACATCCCCTGCAAACCATCATCCAGCATTTCATTGCGGCTAACGTTCCGACAACTCCACTTTTTTCAAGACCGCTAGAGGTTCAAGTTCGGTGTTCACTTTCTTTCTTGCAACGTGTGTCTTCGTAGTGCTGTGTTCCACTCGACTGGAATCGACTCCAGGCGACTACGAGGACCTACGTCGCAATAAAGAAGAGCTCTGGATGTCCGATATGAATCACTACGGTTTTGAAGAACGCGATAGCACCGAGACCTTAACCACAACAAGGAGTTCTTGTTGACAAATTGGTTTACATTCACGAATACAACAAAATATCGATTTAGGACGAGGTTAGATGAAGGCCAACTTTGAAATACATTATCCAGCATCTGCTCTTGAATATATAAGCCGTATGGGGACAAGAGATCGGGGGATAACCAGGAAAACTAGAAAGTACAATGGAATGGAGGTGAATCCAACCAGTCCACTGTTTTTGTTGATAGCCATGGCAGGATGTGTGGTTGACGGCTGTGCGGGAGGCAGCGCTCCATCGGCGGGAAATTCAAATCGGGTACGTTGCCACTTCAGTCTCCAATCGTTTTTTGGATTATCTTTCTCTGAGTTTCGTCTTCTTCCCATCACTAAGAGCCACTTGCATCTTCATATTGTGTAGGTGGTAGTGCATTCAAGCCTTGAAGATATTGTTTAAGCAATATGATTATCAGTCCATTCGTATATCCTAATCGTGTCATATGTACTCGTCGCCTCGTTTTTCACTTTGCAAAGCTTACCTATCCGTCTATATCGTTAGAAGAAATGCTTCAGTATGACTGACACTAAAATCAAAGGAAACATCAGCTTGAAAGGCTCTGCTCAACTGGTGCAAGAGTTTTTCCGTGAGTTTACCACGTAGGGAGCACATTATGATAGCACTGGCTTTCACAGCTCAAGTACTTTTCTTTCAGACTATGGAATTAACAGTATTCTTTATCAACGAGGTTTGTATCCTGGTGACACGTTCAGAAGGGAGAAGAAGTACGGCCTGACATTGCTAGTCACAAACGATCCGAAGCTGCAACAGTTTCTTAATCCTCTTCTCAAACAAGTCGAATGTAAGTTTATTTGGATTTGATCTTTTGTCTTACAAAATTCTATTGATTCCTTGTACTTCTTTGTCCACAAGAAATCGGTCAGAAATGCAGCGATCTTGCCTTTTAAGTTGTCCAGTGACCATGAATTGGCGTCCCAAGGCTAGTTAGAAAATGTTCAGCTGCCGCTAGTGCTTTCCTAATGCTTTCCTTTCCTTTCCTAATGCGTATGTATTTATATATTTGGATACTTTGACGGCCCGTCCTCACTGGTTGTGCGGGTCTCAGCACATTGTCCAATTTTCGGAGTTTTGCTGGTGTAACCATGGTGTTTTCCTGGAGTCCCGGGGTCAGCCTGGCCAAAATCTTCCCCAGGTGGTCACCACTACATTCAGTTGCCGCCCTTGTGGATCAGAGGTAGATTTATCACCAAGCGACTAGTTTGGTACCAGGACGGTGGTGGAACCTAGTATTGGTTCACTCTTAGCTTCCTGGTGGAAACGCCGGACTCCTTCTCAGCTTGGGAGATCCTGCCAGAGGATGAATACCTCACTGTACATCACAACCCAATATCCAGGAACACCTCCCAGCCACAATGAGGCTTTAAACCGTTGGGAGGGCTTTCCTAATGTAGTGTGTGTAACAAATTCGAGCTATCGACGTTCGAATTGACTGGGACACAGTTTTACTTTGGTAGAGCAACGGTAGTGATGCCGTTGTACACACGAAAGGCCTTTGTTCGACCTGCCCGCGGCCAACCAAGTCCCTCATCCCTTCGGGGTTGGTGAAATTGGTTCCACAGATTTATCTGGCATCAGTTCGCTCGCTCAATCCACAAATCAATTCTCTGTCTGTGATGAACATCCAGGAATGCTCTATCACAGTTATCCGAGGATTTCAAAGAGAGTCGATTGAACCAGTATTCAAAGATATTCACAACACGAGTTAAATTCTTCAAGCTGCAGCCGAGTCCACATGAAGATCCGAAGACCTTTGTTGAATGTTCATGCGATCAAACGAGTAGAATTTTCCAAATGCTGGGTACCATACAATGTTGATGTTAGGTCTATAAAATGACTACTTTGCAGTTTGGCTGAGCAAACGTAAATTAAAGCGATTGGTTGTTGTGATTTCGGAAATCAAAACTAGAGAGGTCATGGAACGATGGCAGTTTGACATACAGACTGAGGACATGAATGAAGAAGGGTTCGTCGTATGTTTTCACTTATTTATTATTCATGTAAGCCTCTGTCTTTGCTTCTTCTACATTTCCCCCAGATATCGTGCACTTAGAATACTTCTTTGTATATCGTTCTTTACTGATTTTTCAAGGAATTAACAAGCAATAACCACAATGGTGCTGAGGTATTTGTAAAATTCCGGACCGCATGTGTCTGCGGTGGAGAACGAACGCTCTATTACTCCTTCCAGTGGCTAACGCGTTCACCACCATACCTTACGCGTTCTTCGTTTCGTCTTTTTCTCAGTTTTCTATCTACCAATATCATCAGCAGTCATCAGGCAAAGGGTTTTGATCTGGAGAGCCAAAATCGGTAATGACCCCCAGTGAAGCTGAGAAAACTAGCTGAGAGAAAGGCGAAACGAAGGGCACACATGGTGTAGTGGTGAGCGTGTTAGCTCCTTGAAAGGTAATAGCGCGTTCGATCCCCACCGCGAACACCTGCCGTCCGGAGTTTTGCAAATATTTCAGCATCACTGCGGTATATTTCACATAATACCCTGCCGTGAAAAATTACAATAGGCAGTAAATGAAAAGTTAACATTAAAACAAATCACAGTTTTTCTCCTTCATTTCTTTCGTACATCTGCTATATTCCTCATCCTGTCATCCATCCTCAGATTGTCCTCTTTGAATTTTATATAACGAAATATACAACGCTTTTGGCCTCGCAATACCTTCTGGTTTTACATTGGTTTATATTCACTGGATTTTAGAGAGAATTCGACAAGACAAAAGGATGAGAAGAAAATAAAGCAGGAAATAGCTGACGTAATTCGGTGAGTTGACGTTTTCTACCGTCAGTTTCCAGATCACGATGTATTCAGTATTTTGTCTTAGAGTCATTTTTGTTCAATAATGCCGTTTTTCTTAAGGTTAATCGGTATTAGGAGTGAACTTGACATTCACTTACAAATCATCGTTTATCGTTATCATACAACCATCCAACTGAATTTTTTTCGTAAGATACAAATTACGATTGCTTCTCTAGAAAATCGTCATTTCGTTGTTAACTTATTAGTCTTGTGGCACAGTAGAAGGTCAAGAGTGGAGAAAACTCTCGGCGGTGAATTCCTGGGATTCCATCATGCATTCGTTTACATTAAGCATTGTTGGGGAGGCCTACCGACATCGAGCCAATGCTGCTATCCTCTCAGAGAAGTCTGGTACCAATTTGCCGACCTCGGAGGGATGGAAGGCTTGGTGGGCCACTGGCGCGGGGATTGATCCTATGTGTGTTGCAGGGCATCTCCGACCACTGCGCCACACGGGTCTTTTTTGTGACACAGTAGGAATCAAAAATTACGTTACATTATATTGGTAGTTGCGGTTCATGATCTTTCAACGTACATGTGTTTTACTAAAAATTATTGGTAACAATCTCACATGTGCTAATCAAGAGAATACTGAAAGATTAATAGTTTCACGCCTCCCACTTCTTCTCTTGAGCAGCGCATTCAAATTAAGTTCTACAAATATTTTTTGTCCTACGAAAAAACTCTTGTTTTGGTAATGGCCAATATTAGTCGTCTTTGTATAGATTTGTTTAGTTCATTCTTTGTAGACAAATCACGGCCTCAGTAACATTTCTTCCACTACTCGAGGAGCCGTGCTCTTTCGACGTTTTAATATACACTGGAAAGGAAACAGAAGCACCTGAAGATTGGGTTGAAAGCAGCGCATGCCTCATAAAGAATTGCGAACAGGTTTACTATCATGTATTTTTAGTGTTTCATAGCTAATATTTAGTTATAGCTCTTCGAAGTCATTTCATTTGTGTTGCTCCACAGAGAAACGATACAAAGTCTTTAAGCACTACTAGGTAAAGGTAAAAAGGCAGAAAAGAGCATCCACAACACTAGCCGAGATTTCGTCTTTTCTACGATTAGGGTACTTGCCTTCTGACACGCAGACAGATCAGCGCTGCATCCAAAAAAGCAATGGAGATTACCCTCGGTCTCTGCTCTGATTCTTTATCAGATCAAGAAGGATGATTGTACCGCTTTTTTTAAGTGATGCATTCTATTGTATCGGTCAAAGATTCTAGGAAATTCTGACCGATGGTTTTAGAGCTAGATGTCTAGAAAACTTACCACTGATTCCCATAAGAACTGTTCTTTGTCTTTTCACACACCATATCTCAGAATACAAGGTCTCTGTTCAATGGAAAACGAATAGAACCGTCTTGTTGAGCGATAAGAGAGACCTTCATGATGTCGGCAACTATTACACAAGCTAACTACTACTTGTTGTCTACTATTCATTTCTATTAGTTTGAAAACCCTTAAATTCGGTTGAGACAGAAAAGACTATGGAGGCTTGAAGCAGGTGATTTCCTATATGAATCCCCATAACTCTACAATTTCACTATTCTCTAACGACAATGTCGTTTACGTGAAGAGAGATTTGATGAGGTTACAGAGTCCAGTCAAAATTGTTTACAGTCACGACCGAGGTCATTTACGAGAAAACCAACCGTTGGAATGGGATAAAAGGAAACTGGGGGTTTGGAGAACTAACAAGAGGAATAAGTTTCTAATGACCAATAAATAAACGACAAAGCTTTCACCGCTAACCCATCCCTGAGGGAGGCGCCATGCATTCGACTTCATTGCACATCGTTACAGGAATTTTAATGCATATCCGTTTCACGCAATGGGTTTCGGTGGTTTGCTGATGTATGAAGTCACCGTTGCTATTCTCTTATACATATCTGGTACCAATTTGGCGACCTTGAGCTGGTGGAAAGCTTGGTGAGCTTTCGATACATGATCGAACCAACGACTACTGTACTCTAGTACACTACACGCGACATTCTTGTGTTGAGCATAGGAATAGTTGGACTTTATGCCCACCTTCGAGACAGCAGTTTTTTCTGCCTCTGGCTAGAGGAACTGCCTGCGTTATTGAACTTGGTAACAAGAGGGTGATGATGAGAGTACTCCATATGAAAGGAAATCGAGAATCCCGACCTACGTTGACAGTGAATGATAAAAGACACTTACATTACATTTGCCAAGATGTTAAAAAAAAAAGATACTGACTTCCAACAATTACCAATAGGTAAGCCCTGTTAGCAGTTGTACTGTGCGGAATATCTGGCAGATTTTATAGGAAAAAAAAGTTGTTTTTCCTTCCCGTCCAGCTAGCTAACCTCAGCAAGTAACCATAGTAGGCGACAATATCGAAATCGGATTCCTTGTCACCGACTGGAGTCACTAGACAGTTAAGACTGCTACTCTTCTCGTGTAAACAACGTATAGGAAGGGAAATCATTATTGGTATTACTGAATGAAGATCATGTTGTTGTCTTCTTGTCTATTTCAGTAGTTAATTTCAGGTTCAGTTGAGATCGTTTTCGACGGCAGTTCACAATGTAAATACTAATGTGCAGTACAAGGGAGACTTCTAGCTGGTGTCTTGTGTATCATTTTACGTATACCACTTTGAACAGCACAAGATGGAAGTTTTTTCCAAAGATTTCGTGCTACAATTTTACCCTAGAACGCTTATTGTTTCATCGCCTGTATTGTGACAACTCTATATATTGCTATGTTCATAGTAATGCACATGCTTTACATGATGTTTTTGATTTATCTATGCTATGCTTTTCAATGTTTCGTGCTCCATATGAGTAGTAGTACCTGTGAGTTCACCTTCATTTAGTTTACATCGCCCGTTAACATTTCCAGTATTCACCACTATCGGTGTCTTTGCGACTTCTTTTGAATTCAGTTCCACTGGCTCAGTGATTTTCCGTTCAGGTCGTCGGTACCTCTGATCTGCAGTCATTATCCCTTTGTTGTTCGTTACGTAATCCTCTGAGAATGATCCATGTCAAAGAGCACTGAAACAATGGCGTTTATGCATAGAAAGCAGAATGTTTTTACGCATGAAGAATTTCTTCAGTACAAACCGCCCACAAATTGAAAATGAACACTTGTCTGGAGAATTATGGTCTCGAAGTTCAATGATGCTTGTTTTAGTTTAAGCTATTCTCTTTCTCTAATGAATAGTAGCTCTTATTTTCACTAGCTCGAATATGACCGCAGGTCGGTAATCATACACCTAGATTTTTTGTACTCTGTTCCATCACGGAGTTACGCTACCACGAATAGATTTTACCATTCGTTCTTTTATTTGGGAACTACTCTCATATAATGCCATTGACCTGGGGTTTAGCGATTCTTAAGGGTGTGCTGTCAACAGATGGAATGACTTTGACAGGTCATACGGTGTGCTGTTTCGGATAATCCCAGCCAGATTTGTTTGTATCATCCGACTGAGGGTATGTTACCCATACTACCCTCATTTTCACCTTAACAAGTCGATGTAAAAATCTGAGATTGTGATGAACTCGGACGTTTTCGTTAGTGGAAAGTTTAGACTGCGCGGAAGGATATGGTACAGTGGTGCTGCCTGAACAAATTATAGGAATAGTGAGATCAATTTTTCTTGAGATTACCTTTTTCTAAACTAAAATTTTTTCCTAATAAAACTAAGGGAGACACATGTGCATTGCTAGTCTTACCAGAAGGTTTTGCATTGGCTCAACCCAACATTTCCTTGTATCGAAGATTTAGCATAGTATTTAGAATGAGCTCATCAATTTTGAAGACATCTATCTATCCGCCAAATAAGAGTTTTTATGCATATTAAGTTTTAACGACGTGTTGCAAGTCTTCTTACTTCTCCTCTTCGTTTTGTCTCGCAATCGTCTTACATGGAGGTGGGCAGACTTTGTTTGGGTTTGGTTGCCGCATGATGATGGGTCATCTTCCACTATTGATGATGTATTTTGGATTCTGCTCGAGTGCTCCTTAGAACCACAGGATAGTTGTGCTAGGGCGATGCCACGGCGACACCGACCCTTAATGGTCGTAGTGAGGTTGTGCACCTTGTGAAATGGATTCTTGAAGACCACAAAAATTCCTGTAGTCGTCATCTCAAAGGTAGTTTAACAAACTGGATCCTCACGTTATTATCAACTGAAAACCAATGCTTTGTACTTTGTGATTAGTAATTTCGTTACAATGCAAATATCAACAGCTACAGAACCTTAACATTTACATGAGTATGCATCTAATTCAATTCGTGCACAGGCGATCGGACAATGTGTTGGACATATTTTCTATCCTGCTATTTATTTCGCTACACAAAGTTCTTTCCTCTAAATCCTTGTTCACTTGGCACACTCCCCACGGCAGATTACTAACGGGCGTGGTCCTAGTAAGGCGAATTTCTACATTATGGTTGGCAAAAAACGACCTTGTTCATCGCTCCACATGGACTGTTATCACTGAAAACTGAAAAGGTATTAGGAAGTCTCTAATGCAAAAATGTGTAACAGTGTTATTATTAATAGCTATGATAATAGTAGTAATAATTTAGATACATGAGTGCTGTGGTAATTCGTTTTCCTTTCTACTGGGTGGGTAACATAGAAATTGTTACTGGTGAGGAGAATACTTAATGTCTCTTTTTCGGGGAGCACAACAGCCCGTGTGCGTTGAGCTCAATCCGTACTACCCAACGAAAAGGATTAGGCGTAGTCCCACACTGTGGCCAACGGAAAATTGGCGAAGTCACGAATTTGCTAATAACGGTTGAAGTAATAGGAAGTTGCAGTAGTGGACTGAATCAGCACCAGTTTCAAGTAGAGTAAGAAAATCAATACAAAGTGTCAACTCTTATTTACTGCTGAGTCTTCCAATTCTTTTTTCATGACAGATTACAATGCGAATTACAACCACAAGAATACTGAGATGTCTGAGCATCACTGTGATTGTATTACTAGAAAAGTCTGCTGTATTGTTGAAAGTAGAGGGGGATCAATTCGTATTCCCGGTCTTAATATACTGGTGGCGAGGTGAGTCGTACATGACTCACACATTACTGGACTACTTGGCCGAGGTGATGCATACATTACTCATCTTCCTGCAGTACATTTTCTCGCATGGAACGCGATTCTCTGTAATTTTTTGCGATAACCCGATAGCCCACCCAACGCAGATGTTGTGACAGGGGCAGGCCTTGTAAATCTTTATTGATGGTTTATAAATATTCAAAAAGTTCTTATCGAGGGCATTTAACAACTAGTAATTTAGCTGGTAATTCGCAGTTATTTAGATTCCGATCGCTGTGGTGAATCATGACTACCATATGGAAAGAATGGGTGCAAAAAACCCGGAGCTAGTCTCAAAATAACCTTCAAAACACTTTAAATACTGACAGCAGCATGGTTATATGGTGTACCATAGCATAATACAGGTCGTGCTTACTCCAGAGCGATAAAGCAAAGCGTCTTCTATGAGCACCGATAGGTCCACTAAGTTACTGCTCTTCTATACTCTCAGAGTTTGTATTGCTCATGGATTCGCTGTGACCATTGGAACTTTGAAAAGATGACAGGAAGACTTGCATGGTAGCAGTATTAATTGAGTTACAAGAGGAGACGAATTGAGTTACGGACGCTTTTTGTGTAGGCTCGTGCCACATGCACAGATGGTCAAATGGCACTAATTGCCGGTGTCATTTCTGAACGTCGTCGTCCTAAGATAATACGCCAGCTATCTCAATTAGACAAGATCTGATTTCATTACTAATCACCAGTGATGTGCTTCTATCCCTTTGTTTGTAAAAATGCTCATTTAACCAAAGAATCGTCTCCAGCCGCAAACTCACCTAGTTAACCCATAACTCCCGATGTGTTCATACTGGCCCGGGCTGGGGTACAGCATGGACACTATAGTGTCCATTTTTAAGTTGGAGTGCTACAGAATTCTTTTGCTGAGTTATGTATATATTCATCAGATAGCAAGTCCAAAGCAGATATAGATAGTAGAGAGGAGGTCACGAAAGCCATTCTCTACACTTAATGATTTGCATGGAACTTTTTTTTGGAAAAGTTCATTGGCCGGCAGTGTTACTAACAACTAGCCGTTCTTTCATTTTAATTATTGTGGTTATTGTTTCGAATATATGGACATAAGATGTACAGAAGTAGATTCAACATAAGGTGCAAAATACGTCCACATGCTGACAGCAATGTATTTGCCTAATGGACCATAGTAACACGAAGTAAATAGTAGCGTAGATATAACTCATACTTAGAGAATGATGGAGAAGTCTCTTCTACAATACTCTCACGTTCACAGCCTTTAGAGGACTCCATTTGCTAAAATATCATTTTTTTTATTATCAAAAAACCAGAAAGTCCGCAACCGACGAAAAATTGTTCGTATTCCACTCAATTACCCACGCTAAACATTGCTCGTCCGTTACGGGTTGAATGTCATCAACTGCAAAACTGGTCTTAATTTTTCCACGTGGGCTTCACCTTTCACCTTAAATATGGTGTGACTGTGCTGTGTACTTTGAAAGAAAATGCATTATCTTTGTGCATTAGCTATGAGTAACATCAGTTCTTATCATGTAACAAGGGCGTTTCTCAACCAGATTTCAACTGTTCAATGTATTAGAGCGTTCATACGCAAGTTCTCTAATAGTCGAAGATTTTCTCCACTGGGATGTTGCGGTATGCTCTAAGAATTTTACAACATAAGTTTAAGTGCGTTGTTATGACCAACTATACCTCACCTACGGAATTGTCATAAATTTCGTCTTCTTATGACAGATGCGACGGTAGGACATAGCACTGCGGATGGCCTTGTTATGTCCGTCGAGAGTTTGGTCTCCGATGTCTTCGTGGGTTGTAATTCCGTTCTCTGCAGTTTGAAAAAAATTTCTCTTCAGGTTAATACGTTAATTGAATATGGAGAAAGCACTGCCTTTGTCATTGGGGATTACCGTTTCTGAGGATGAGAAATTCCCTAGCAGTTGAGGATTTTCGTTAGGAACATCAGTATTGTTTAAAGAATCATTCCAGGTATTCTACCAAATTGTTGTCCTAAGTTCTAAAATATTAATAAGTGGAAGGTATAGGATGGTTAGTGGTGGAATTACTTTGACTCTCGGCGCAGCGAAGATGCTTCGAGCAGTTGAGAAAGCACTTTTTATATGTGCGAAAGGGAAACTGTCGAACAGAACCAATGAAACTAGTGTTTCGAAGCTTGATTTTCACTTCAGAACTGATGAGAACCCATTCTTAAGTGCAGTATATATTGGCGGACAGGCTGCTAGAGCCCGGTATATGAGTATGAGTGTTCATATAAAACCGTAATCTCGATGAAAGCGAAGAGACCGTTGTCTGAGAAGGACTTCGTCACTTATTTTCTCGCTGTAGAACGTGTAGCAATCATTGTTACGTGTCCTCATATGTTGTTTTGGTTCAGTCAGTGACACACTCTGCACTGTTTATCATTCGGTTTTCACTCATAGGGTCTCTTATCCTCCGATTGGAGGACTGTCTAGGCATCCAGATGAGTGCGATTTCTCGGGCTCTCTCAAGTTATCGGCATTTCCTTTTAAGGTTGAAACAAATCCATCCTGCTCTCCGTCTTTGGGGCAATGCCTTTTTCATGTGATTTTCCATATTCCTTGGTTGTCGTCAAAAAAAAGATGTCCTAATTGAAGGACATTCCATCTCTGTTTGCTCCCCATTGCATCATAGGTGGGTTTCCACGAGATTCGTGAGTATAGTCATCTGTTTTCAAAAGTGGTTACTTAGGCAAAGGCGGTTCTCATAAAAATAAATTGATCTTAGTCGCTCGTAAACGTTGGTTTCGGTAGTTTAAAAATATTCTAGTCAGTGCTTCGTTCTTGAGTAGCGTATGGTTATAATGTGAAATGACAAATAAAGATGGTGGGTTAACTTTTATTAAGCACTGAACTCCTAAAGATGCACAAAAGTATAATGGAAGAAGAAACCAGCTAGAAAAGCATTGTATGGAAATTTAAAGTAAAATTGCTATCTAAAACAGAAGATGCAGTAATGGATCTCCGGCCATCACTCTACTATAGATATATAGGTGATTATTTTGTCATTTGCTCCACACAAGAGGAGACCGACTAATATTTCGAGTTATTGAGCGAAAACTCAGAGCGCATTAAGTTTACTCGAGAGAAACAAAAAGAAAGCTGACTTCCATTTTTGAACTCTCGGAATAAAGTATCCGAAAAGGAAAATACCGAAATCAAATGGTACCGAAAACCAAGTAGCGGAAAACAGATGCCACCCGATGTGAAGTTTTTTTCTTTATATCGAGTCTAGTCTTCTCTTTTATTGCATTAATTTATTATTCGTACGAATCATGAAGTACGAAATCCTTGGAAGACGGCGATGCTGTTGCCATTCTGTTATCGTGCCACATTTTGATCACGTATTTCTTAAAGAACAAAGGATCTGCGTTGAGCGATCTCTTAGGGATACACCATGCCTTCGACTCCAACGAGCAACGTGAAGGTGAATGAATGCTTACTTGGTTTATATTAAGGCTGTGTGACTTAACTGACTTGCATGTCAGTGTGTCACCCTTTAACTTCGACATGATTAACGAAGTTTTTGGACGATCAAGTTGATGGTTTTTAAGGCATTTTTATAACAACCTCGTATTACCTCAATTATGCATGAAGCCATTGTTTGGTGAGTTCTTTTCTTTTCTCAGACAAAGACAAGTTACCAATATCCTGACCTCGGAGTGCTGAAAGGCTTGATTTGCACGACGTATGACCCAAACAGTGGCTACGTGTATGTTACGTAACACATCTAGCCGCTGTGTTATACACGTTGCCTTTATTCCTAGTACATTTTAATTCAATATATGTCAGTGGGAAAAATTTGTAATAATGTGGAAATTAGAGTTAGTTTCAAAACTCAAAATGGTTCGTTCGCTTTGTTAGCACTGTGAAATGTAATTCAGCACGTTATTGTGCATTTGGTTTCCGTGTGATCGCTTATAAGTAATAAATAATGGGGCAGTAATTGAAAGTCGCGGTCGCTGTCGGTCAAGTCGTCTTTTGTTGTGGCAAAGTGTAGCACACAGTGTCAGATGAGTCGGCAATTGGCCACCTTTGCGTCACTCAGCTGGAAGTCTCTGAAGACACCGGTGAGTGAGAAAGTTTGTCGAACAATGAAAAACATTCGGAATGAGCAAAACCGTCTTTTCATGCGGATTGAGTCTTCATGTCGTCCGATCACTGGGCACTTATTTAGAAGCAACCCCTCATTTTTCAGGCCATTTAACCTTTCAGGCAGAGGTTTCAATTACCTTCACTTATCCCGGGTCTGTCTTAGGAATCCAGGGAAAGTCAACTCGGCAAGCATTCATCGGCATTCATAAAGAAGCCAACAATCCTTAGCCATCAGCCGAGCCCACACACAATAAAGTTCTAAAGCCTTCGTTGATGGTGAATGCCAGGAGACCATTGCAAGTGCTGGGATGCGTACAGTAGATGTGAAGACGAGTCGGACAAAACCAAATAAAAAAAAACAAAATCGGATTTATTAGCTGAAGATGAGCACGGACTTCAGGTATATCATTTCATCAAGTCTAGGCGAGCACACAGTTGTCGAAATATTGGAAATTGGTGCGACCTCTATTCCTTCGTTAAGGAACGCTAATCTTCATAGGCTAATCACACTCTAGTCACCTTCTTTTCCGCTCAGCTTTCTCGGCATTCGTTTTCTTCAATTCTTTCGAGATGCCATTTAAAAATGTTGTTTTTCAAAGACTGTCGTCTGGGTCTTAAGTGTACAAAATTTTGCGAGAAATAAAACTTCTATCGAGAATGACATCAAACGAGATTGAAGGAGGTAAATATAAGGAGAAGATCAAATAAAACTCAAGAAGGTCAGTAGCTTCGAAAAGGCACATGCACTATTACTGAGAATTCTAAATGAAAACTGCGCTGCTCACTTCACGAATTTCTCGAAATCAAATAACCTCCTTCGACCGTCATCTATGTATGTGTTCTCCCAAGTGCCGTCTACCGTTTTGTTTCCCGTCCCAGAGGTCGGCCACTTCTTCCTAATATCAGCTTCAAAACGGTCTGTTCGTTTTTAAAGCAATCCTTTTTGAGCATGCCTCTTATTTTTCTGTGATTCACTTTTATGTTCACGTATTCAATCTTTGTTTTTGATACAGTCTGTTGTAAAGAACCCGAACTTTGGCCATAGCTGTGGCGAATCTAGGTGCTGGAAGAAACTGCACTCATAGTGTGCAGGTCTTTACAGAATTATTTTCACAGTTAGTCAAAGCTGAACACTTTTCTTCGATGAAATGTGGTTAGGGAGTTGTTCACATCTTAAAACAAGTCACTTTAGTTAAAATATTACGGCACATACTCTTTCTTAAACAAGCGTTCTAGTATTTTTGCCCTCGAAACCTAACGTTTCGGATGGAATGCTCATTTGGAGCCCGGGACGCTTGTAGCGCCGTGATTAGAAATATCCTTTGAATCTCATGGATCTAGGTTTGGTCTCGTATCATGACATAACCGTGACCCATGCCATCAGATTTGTGAGGCTTGAAGAGATGATGAGAACGAGACTTGAACGAGAGGATAAAAACACTAAGTTGCTATTACGGTACATTCGCAAAACTTATATGCATTCAATTATTTCCACGATGCTCAAGGTGGTCGAATTCGTTGCACTTTTCTCAGGGTTTGGCCAATGAGAAACTCATTACTCTCATTCCCTTTTATTCTGTGAACATTCTCTCTCTGATTGAGATGCAAATATGGAGAAAAATGTCTGTACGACAATTAGGTCTGAGTCGTTTGGTAGTGCTTAAAATTGCCCCCAATTGATGAGGCGTTGCCTAACGGACACAAGCATTGCATAAGACACGATTGACCGTAACGCGTCGAGTTACATGGACATAGACGAAAGCAGGTGGACGCTGGTCACAGATTAAGGCGAATTATCCAAGAACTCCTAAGCTCATTAAAAGGATTACTGCTTAGCCTACTATATTACGCTTTTTGTTTGCAAACCACATAGAATCTGCGGAGTTCAGTAGTGCTATCGGTTTTGATAGTGTTAGAGCTTCTCTCTAGGAACCTACTCCCCCAAGGAAAATGACCAAATCGCTTCAATATTGGGGATGCTGTTTATTGCGAAGCGAAGACTTCTAGGAAAATATATAATCTTCGTAGAGGGATTGGATACTTCTATATCATCACTACAAATCCTGTATTCCTAAGTCTTCGATTCAAATGGCGATAGTCAAAGTTTGTAGTGCTATCGAAATATCCACATGAGATATTACAATTTTGTTCGCTGGTACTACTCTGTGTTGTAGTGAGGGCATGAAAATAAATAGAAAACGGAAGCAAAATAATAATAGTAGCAATAATAATAAAACCGCGTTCATGAAAATGCTTTTTAAAAAATACATAGCAGCTTGCATTACTGCTTTGTGGCATACTGAGGATATGATTTTATATAACAGAAAGGAATTTAGAGAAGCATCACGTGCTCATGCGACTTTCTAGCAGTTGAGGCTTCATTTGAATAACGCGATGATTGGGAGCTCAATGGGGCGCGACAATGGGTCATGTAAATCAAAGTGCGTAGTGGGAGCGTTTATGGAGGTGTCGGATGAGACGGCAGATGGATCGGGACCACGACATCAAGCGGGAGGATTGGCGGAAGTCACGGATTGGTCTACTGACCGCTTCGCGACTCTCGTTCCGAAAGAGCGTGAACTGATGCGGAGCACTGGAATGCGCAGTTTCGAGTCTATCAGGGTTTTAGCCAAGGGAACTGAACAGAAGCATTCTCTCAAGCAAGAGAGTCATTCTACTGCTTTCATGTTGAATGCCTCAGAAAATAATCTGCTTACATTGTTATTTGGTTATTCAATTGCGTTATGTCCTTCGATTATCTCCGTTCGAGATGCTTCCTACCAGAACTGTTTTTGACTTTCTAGCCGCTATTTTTATCCATCACTTCTTTGGTAAGTTGGCTTTCTTACAAAGGGCAGATAGTTGGAATCTTTTCTTAGTCGCTGCGCAATATCGCTTAGTATTGTTCATAGATATTCCTGAATTAGAACATCACTTTGGAATAAAAATCCGATAAAAAGTGGAACTATTGTTAGTAAACCTAAATTGGTTGGTTTCACTCAAAATCTCTTAGTATTCTACTCATTTTTACAATTATAACTGATTTTTCAATGAGCGTAAAGACTGGCGTTGGACTTGCGCTAGCTTCATTGGTGACATTTAGAAATTGAGCATTCTTGCACGAAGAGGAGAAATGTTTGGATTCTTGGAATGTTCACGGAGGTCCTGGATGTCGAATCATTTGACCTCGGGAGCCGATGACGCAACACGAAACGGTAACATTTGTTGGCCCTCATCTATGTCTTGACTACGGTAATGCGCTTAATCCAATCAAGCGCCGCCCCGCTGACACCGGGCCCCGCCCGACGCGACGGGGTTCTCCCACCTCGAGAGGGTTTCGACATTCATCGCCATTCCATCATGCAGTTGCCATTCTCGGGCCCGTTCCGCTATTCATACATAGACTCTGATGGACAGGTACGTTTTCAACACTCATTTTTACTTTCACCTTGATTTCACTGTTTGCAAACTTTGCGCTATTACAATAATTAATCAAATACCATGTTCATTAAATCTTTAAGTCACAAAAAGCCAGAAATTTGCACCAAAAACGCCAATCCCGCACAATTTCCAAACAATTTTTTTAATAAAAAAGGCGATTTTAGAAATTGTCTACAGATTCGAATGCTGGAAGCAACAGTGATGCATTTACATATTGAGGAAATGTGAGATGATAGCAATGAAATAGCAAGGTGAATAATATCTAGCTTCAGCCAAGCAGCACGAACACGCCAGTGGAATCGCCAGCGTACCCTCCTCCGTTTACGTTTGTTCAGGAGCAAAGTAATCCACCGGTTTGTGTGCACTTGTGTTAATTTTGACTAGCTTGACAAACTGAAGCCTCTACTACTACGCAATGTTTATGCTTGGAGCACCGGTAGAACAGTGATTAGAGGTGTCCTGCAATACGTGGTCTTTGTTCGATCCTGCACCCTGTGCTAAACAAGTCTCCATCCCTTCGGGGTCAATAAGTTGGGACCAGGCACCAGCCTTACTTAGGAGACACTGACTTGATACAGTGGTAGGTCATCGTAAGTTAATGCATAGACCTGATATTCATTCAATTACTCCTACGGTTTTTGATGAACTTTAATACATTACGCAACTCTCATGAATTTCGAGAAGTGGGAGCCTTTGACGCTCTATCGATGCTTCAAAATGTAAATTTTATGCTTTTCCCAGAAAATATTCTCTTAAAACCGAATGAGGACTGAAATACGTTGTTCATAACTGTGTTGATGTGAGTTCATCATTGTTGTTCTTGGAGTATACTTATTTCTTGCAAAGAAATCGAAGACGTAGTGTGCTGTAGGTGAAGCGTGAAAAAAGGAAATATCGTTGTCGTAAACGAAGTCCGGCGACTATTGAGAGAGCTCGAGCAGTTCGTCGGGATAAAGTGAGTGCGCTTACAGTTTTTCGTATACCTGTAAGATTCTCATAAGAGAAAAGGAGAGAATCAACAAAACGGTCCAAACGACACTTGTGCAGGCGAATGCTCGTGAACGTCGTCGCATGAACAACCTGAACGACGCGCTCGAACATCTGAGGACGCTGCTTCCATCGGTTCCCGACGAACCGAAGATGACTAAGATTGAAACGCTACGAGTCGCCCAAGGGTGAGTTCTTTTCTGGGCTGCCACCGAAAAATCGAATGCGATGGTGATGTTCAGTCCAATGGAGGTTTGACATCAACTCTATATCGTTAATTTCACGGTGGCAACGAACATTTTCACTGGTGTAGAATCATTTAAGAGATGGACGTCAGATGGATAAGTTTTTAGCCTCGCCGGTGACATCCGTTGCCTACGTAAGCACTCGGATTCCCGTAGACACGCGCTCACTAGAGTTGTCTTCAGTACTGACAGAAGCAGCCATTGCTTTCCAACATAGCTTTTTTTGGTTTCTCGTTCTAATATTCATAGCAAAATGGATGTGAGCTGCCCTTTAGAATGTGTTTCGCAAATTTTTCTTGTGAAATTTCTAAGAAGTGAAAATTAAACTATATTTTTAAGTAACCCAAAGCAAAAAAGGTTCTTCAACTCAACTTTTCTGTGTCTCTAGAATCCTCACGATTCTCTGTTTCACTTCGTGTGTTGGAATACTAGGAAATTTTCGATCTTTAGGACTTTTCTCGGAAAGCGGAAATTAAAAGTAGTTTCACTAAGTTTCCTCTTAAGCGAGTTAAATAGTGAAATGAAGAATTGTGAGGATTCTAGAGACACAGGAAAGTCGAGTTCAAAAATACCTTTCTTATTTTGGGTTACTTAAAAATATGGAGCTTAGCACACACAATATGGAGCACTTATGAGTGTTTAATTTATCCGATTGAAACAGTTCTTGATTTTCGAACTGTTCGGAATTTCAGCTACATCACATTCCTGTCGTCGATCCTGGCCGACTCAGACGGCTATCGTCCACCGCTTGAGATCACACCTTATACGAGTCCGGCCTATCCATCTGTTTGGCCAACCAAAAATAAACAATAGATGCTTTCTCTTAATAAAATTTTCATTTTTCCGTTTTTTAAAAGCGTTTGCTTCAACCGCATATTTGAATGCGAACAGTTTTTTCTTGTATTAATAGATTCGTGTAAGATTCAACTGATCTGGTCATGGATTCGCTAAATGAATAGGTAAATAATGAATGATCTCACCTTTTGTATATTTAAAGTGCTGTTCAACTTTTCTCGTCATTGGGTCGTTAGATGAAAGGATAAATATTGAATCACATCTTTTTTTGTTTGAAAGTAACTGGCTGTTTCGGTTTATTCGTTAATTCTTCTTGCTTGCGACTGTCTTGGCTCTCCTCGTTCAAATTACTCAGCGTTTCGACGTCTTCGTCTTCTTCAGCGCTGATGATCCAGTTCGGTGGTCCACAGGGGTTCGTACTTTCGATATGGTGTCTTTGTCGTCTTATCGAATCGAATCTTCTCCAGTGCAGCACCGCTCGACTGACGCATCCTCATTACGCAGCGCTTTTTTATGCAGGAGGGTTTTAGAGTGGTTGTCTGTCGACTGACAATATTTCTTTCCATGTCGACAATCCATAGTCGGCATTAGAGTAGCTAGCACATAGCGAATAGCTACCTAAACCGGCTCTCACTTAACTTCAGCATAAATAATGCATTTCCTTAAATTGTTCAGCGTACACGAGGTCCTTTAAATACTTTAAAGTACGAACGAAGGTTGACCATCGGCTCGAAAAATCGGCTCTGAGGAAGATGAAGATCTCGAAACCTTAGCCAAATAATTCGTTCTTCACTTTCATCACGTGTCACGATGACTGCGTTTAGCAAGTCATTTCGATCTCCATTACTGCAGTGCTCCCTTCTTGAAAGATCGGCCAGTATTGTCCATTAGAGTGCAAGAGATAGATTGACCACACCATACAGTTCATGTCCAACGTGCCAATGTTTTGTCTACGGTTACAATCGGTAGTAGTAGCCAACTGCAGAACGGATTTTCCAGTCACGTACTAATGGTTGAAACACAACGAGGAAACGACAATGATGAAGAAGGTACAATATTTTAGAAACAAAACCGAAACAAGAACCAGCAAGAGAAATACAGCTTCTTGTTGGTGAGCGATCCAATGGACACTGCTAGGTACTAGTTGTTGCTACGGTTTAGTAATAGTTTCAGTAATGCTTCAGTCGAGCAGATACGCCCCGCACACACGGCATTGTATGCTATGGTACTATCAGTCAAGATCCAAAATTCTTGGGTACGAATATTCTACTCCCACGTCTAAACCACGGAAGCTGCTGCTGTAGAAAGAATGAACCATCTGACATATTCCTATGGGACCGATACATTCTTAGCGATATCCTCATCAATTCGTCAAATAACCCATCGAAGAGCTTTCTGAGGTCAAACAACGTTGGGTCAATCTTCTTCTGGAGTTATGTGAAAACTAAATCTTCACTCAAATATGTGGGCGCTTTCCTGTAGCATAATTTCGATCCTCTAAGCTTTAAAATCATTTCGGAATTACGCAACGATGTACGCTTGCACATCAACATCCTCATGTCCATTTCTGACCGAAAAGCAACTTCAACCCCCATCACGTCCCTCGAGATCACTGTCACTCACTACTTGACATGTAGATGAACGTACTGTTTTTACGATGTAGTCATTATTTCTGTGTTATAACAAGCCCCAAGAAATAGCTTTCTCAAAATGCTCAAACTACAACATCCAAAGCTTCTTTATTACAGAACCATGCAAAAGAAATTTATTTTGTGCTTTTACAATAGTATTAACCTCATGTCGAGACTAGAAGCAAGAGAGAATCCATGAATATCTATCCGTCTGCTGCTTCTATCAAGAACTGTCATAAATTGTTGCAGATCCTTCTTCTTTTAAAAGCTTCACTACTATAAAGGCGACCACATCATAGTTCCTGCACCACTGTTAGGACAGTGCCAAACGCCAACGGTGAAAAGAAATTTCCGAATAGAAACAAGGACGCTAGCGGTAGCCAGTTTGACCAAATTTCACCAAAAGTTTAGCGAAATGCTGGTTATGAGGTGACAGACTTAAACTACCATCTATTGGCAGATGGTTTGAACGGTAGCCATCCATAAAAAAAACTTAGGTGCTATGCATAGAAACTGATCCTCTTATTACTATCACGCAAAAATTTATGACTACAAAACAATTATGCTACATGGATAAAACCAATCGACATCAACCTGGAGCAAAACCAAGTCCAGATTCCCCTTTTCATCGTGCCGCTGGTGGTGTCTGAATGTACAAGAAATCCCCAAAACTATTCTAATCCCTTTGTTTCGATGAAGAATGGAACTGGATATTGTAAACATTGAACTATTTATAGATAAACGATAATAAAAATTGTTGCTCTGGCTGACTAGACATGCTTGCTGTCCTTTACTTATCCGTCAATTTCTTCTGCTTGACTTTCTCCAATTCTTCCAAGTACCATTTCTCACGCTGTTCAGGAGTGGCCAGAACCTATAAAATGAAATAAGCAATATTAATCACGCATGAGAAAAGAAATGTATAGAAAAGTAGAAAAAGACGATTTACGAAGTAGACAATAGATAAATGGCTCCTTTTCTTTGGGAAACTACAACTACTTTAAAGGCGATACTGCCGAAACGTCAGCTAGCGTTGTATTGTATTGTGTTTTTCTATGGAAGTAAATGTATGCTGTTTAACAACCTCGCGATTGCTGAACAAGAAAACGGCGCATTCATAGACTTTCAAATTCTGTTACGACGTTTAAAATTAAAAGCCTCAAAGAAGGTTTAAAATACACTATATACTTGCTCTGGGAAGAGGATAGTGCAGTGATAAGTGATCCCATCGATTAGGGAGCAAAGTCTCGATCCACTCCCAACAGTTCCCCCTATCCAAGTGGTAACACTCTCGCTTGGCATTCTCCAAGACTGCAAGAGGAACCGATTCGAACAGAATTCTGTGACTTTCATAAAGAAAATGTAAATCATAAATAAATAATTATGTAAATAATTATAATGTAAAAAATGAAACAAAAATTTGCTCTTTCGAGTATATCTCCAACACGTAGAATTAGATCCTAACATATCGTCGATCTGCATGCCTAACGAACATCTACGAATTGTACGGAATGCAGTGTCATTAGGACTTCACAAGTACGACGATGCACGTAAGCCGAACAACATATGAGACGGCTGCTTTTCCTCACCTTCTCAAATTTCGATACTTTAATCCAGAAAGTTCTATGTCCCTGTGAAAATACTATGTACTATGCCACCATTTATTTATTGCCTTCCATAATTTTTTTATGGGAAGGCATTATGTGAAACATAACCACAAAGAGGATCAGATATGTGTAGAACTCGGAGCATCAGGTGTTCTTTGAACCTGCGATTACCCTTTCTCGGGGCACACCACCTCAACCGAGGTCCTCGCTTTGCATTTCTTTCAGCCAGTTTTTTAACTCTAACGGTGCTAATCATCCGTCAACGGGAATGCTCTGGGGAGCATAAATCGGCATTGACCCAGTTACACTGAAGCTGCAGTCGAAACCACAATGTCTAGGTTTTATTTACTGCCATTTTCTCTTTTCATGGCAATGCATTGTGTGAAATACAATCACAAGGGTCCCGAAGTTTAAAGTTCTTCCTAATATGTACTAGTTTACAACGCAAAGATCGCCCATCATATATTCCTGTTCCCGATTTTAAGTTGGTGTATCTTGAAGCTAGAGAACTGAGGTTCGGGCAATCTCAGAGAACAAAAACAGCATTTCAAAACGGTCAAACAGATGGGTCACTAAGCATTTTCTTAAATATTATTCACCTTGTCACGAAGCTTCTCAAAATCTCCTCCACTCCAAATTTTTTTTACGAGATCTTCTGCTTGGTTGATCGAATCATCCAAACCCCAGAACAAGGGATGCTCTTCTACAGTGTCCCAAGCTCTTAAAAGGTTCATGGCCCGTCCATACTCGGCATCTGTTATGATCTGAAAACCACAGATTTCATATTAGTAGTGGCTCCAAATATCAATATGCCATCCGCGAATAAGTAGTAAAAGGATAAAACGAAACAATTGTCAGCACCAAATCATCTGGAGGGTAAAGTCCTGCAGCAATGTAACGTCCCTCAGAATTCAGGAAATTGAAGGTCGCAATGGCATCTTCCTAAAAAAGATACCTTCTCTCCTTAAAATACCCGGCCTAACTCTACGAATTTAAAACATATGAACCAAAACAATTACTGTGTCAGAAATCTCTAGGCCGATGGAATGTTCCCTTAAGAATGGAGCGATTTGAGCCCGTACTCTGAAGGACGATAGGTATCTCATTGTTTTACTTGAGATGGTAACAAAATGTTAAACAAAACACGAAAACACTATGAATGAATGCTTTTCGACCACGTCGATATTCAAATAGACAAGCGACTAACAGAAAACAACTATACTTGTCAATGTTCTTCTTGTCGCCAGCTCCAATAATGAGGATGTCAATCTTTGGTTCCAACATTGCAAAAAGACTGAGGGACCGTGGCATAATGTCTTCGGGAGTGTGGACACGCCACGACAAAACGGATTTCGGAAAAAGGGCTACAGGCCCATAACTAAAAGTTGGAAGAACAATAAACTTTTATCACGAAAATTGGTTGTGGCCGGTAACCTGCAAAATAAAATAACACTATATATGTGATTTTTGGGACGCGTGTAGCGCAGTAGTCGGAGGCGCCCCATAATACACATGGGATCGATCCCCGCGCCCCAGGTTCGCTAAGGTTCCCATCCTTCTGGGGTTGGCAAATTGGTGCCAAACTTATCTTGGAGGATAACAGCACTGGTTCGATACATCGGTAGGCCACCACGAGTCATTGTAAAAGCCAGATATGCATTCAGTCGCCTATAACGATGCGTAATGAAGTCGAATGCATTCTCATCCCTCAAGGATTGATCAGCGTCCAGAGATTTATCTTAATTCTTTATGTAATTTTTATAAGGATTTTGGCAGAATTTGTTATTTTTCCTCGTGATTCAATTGCAAACGTTTCGGCGACTTCGCCTTCTTCAAACCTGTTTAATTATATGAGGCATCACCGGTGTGTTGTAGTTCACGTAGGATGTCGGGTGCTACCTCACCTAATAAAACGGCTCTGAAGAAGACGAGGTCGCCGAGACGTAAGCCATTGAATCACAACAAAAACAACAAATTCCACCAACCTCGCTTCAGATCAACAATGGCAGTCAGTAATAATTAAAGCATAATGGACAAAACTCTTGGCGTTGATCAATCCCTCAGAGATGTGTCGTGCATTCGACTTCATTAAACATCGTTGGACTTGACTGAATGCACATCTGGCCTGTACAAGGACTCGCGGCAACCTACCGAGATATATCGAGCCAGTGCTGCGATCCTCTCAAACAAGTCTGGTACCAATTTGTCGACCCAGTGGGATGGAAGGCTTGCTAAGCCTGGGATGCGGGATTCGATCCCATATGTATTGCAGGGCGCCTATGACCATTGTACTACCTACACACGGCGGTTCCATAAGAATTACGAATACTAAATATTGATATCGAGGTCTATAGAAAAGTTACTACAAAACAACATTGATTTTCAAATTTACGTAGCACAGACAAAATCAGTAGAATTCATTGTAGCGTGTATCAAAGGAAATCTTGAGTAGTTACAACAAAACGACGCGATTTCAGCAAGCTTTTATCTAGAACAGACTCATTACCATTGTATCACTGCCTCCAATAACGAATTTTCCGTATACTAGACAGAAAAAAGCATCCTACAATATCTCAAATCCATTAAAAACCTTATGAGAACTCAAACCTTCAAGCATTTATTTGATTTGTTATTACAAAAGCGTGACCTGACGGTATAAAACACGTACAGGAAACTCCCGTCCATCATGCGGAAGCCATAGCAAGACAATCCACGCACCCCAATTTGCTTCGCCTCAGTCATCTCCGTCGACAGGAAACTCACTCTACTACGCTGTGGTACGTCTGAGTCGTTCAGAGGAGTCATGAAGAAACCATCGAGAACACCTGAATTCAGGCAATAATACTTTAATGTAAACGAGTTTGATTTACTATAGACCTATTGAGGGTAAAATATGGTTGTTCCATGAACCCAATATTTTCCGACTTTTCTGTAAATTCGCTAGAATTTTGGGTTATAAACACTAAAATATGGCAAGACCAACCAGTTCACGATTTAGCTGGCCGAGAGTGTCAGTGGGTATCGAATAACACTGTACAGCAACAGTTCATCTTTTGGAATGTAGCCACTTACACGTTTTCATTAAGACTATATTTCAGCAAACAGAGAAAATCTGACCCGGCTACTGACAACAATCTTTGTTCAGTCTTAGGTAAGGCATACTTCCTTTCCCTAATTTAATACCTCTATCCAAATTCCCGTCTTAAAAATACTGAAGCTCAGACGACATAAAGAACACAAGAACAATAAGTTTCGAGATGTGATAACATTGCAACACAACGAAATTAGAATAGAGTTAGCTAATAATAGGCAGAGAAAGGCTAAAAGAAGGACGTGTATGGTGCGGTGGTGAATGCGTTATCCCCCGAAAGGGGTAGTACCGTGTTCGCTTCCCACATCAGACACTTCACCACCACACCATCCGGGTCCTTCGTTTTGCCTGTCTCTCGGCTAGTTCTATTGATCTTTTGCCATCAGCAATTATCCGTCAACGGGATTGATCTGGTGAGCCTAAATCGGCATTGAACCAAGTTAAGCTGAGGCTTTGTTATAATCACAATCTTAACCGTTTTATTTACTGCCTTTTTCTTTTTAAGGGCAGAGTATGTTGCGAAATATAACTCGTATATAATGCTGAGATATTTGCAAAACTCCGGCAAAAACTATTTCGCAGCATACTCTGCCATAAAAAAGAAAAAGGCAGTAAATAAAAGAGTTAAGATTGTGACTATAACTAAGCCTCAGCTTAACTGGGTTCAGTGCCGATATTGGCTCCCCAGATCAACCCCGTTGACGGGTGATTGCTGATGGCAAAAAAGATCGATAGAACTAGCTGAGAGACAGGCAAATCGAAGGACCCGGATGGTGTAGTGGTGAAGTGCGCTGGTCCCCGGTAAGGACAACAGCGCGTGTTCGTTCTCCATTGCATACACCTGTGGTGCGGAGTTTTGCAAATATCTCAGCATTTCATACGAGTAAGAAGGCATTTTATTGAGATGACCTACGGCATGGCAGCTCTACTCGTCATCATAAGCCAGCTGTATCCACAACTAGATTTCTAACCGAAATTTCGCCACATGGTAATAGTTCGTGAATGATGGCGGATGAGAAAAATATCGTTATAATGAAATTAGAGCCCGAAAGTCCTCCAAAACAACCCATATAGGGCCCGTTCAAGTGCTATTTTGTATAACCAAACAACAAATGTTTATTTACCCACGCTCCGCAATAACAGCGGCTCATCTTTTGAATACGTCTATTCCATAAAAGAAGTACAAGGCCAAACCTGTATCGCCTCTTCTTGAGCCTGCATCTGACGTTAACAACCGATGTGAGAGTACATGATGTATTCGTCGAAGATGAGAAGCTTTCATCTAATTCTACAATCTACTCAAGATCAAGATTTCTCTAATCTAATGGACCAGGTTAAGTGGAGTAATATACGCGTGAAATTGTGCTAGAAAGAGGCAAATGCAATCACATCCTTACTACGGTGTATGGATTGCACTAATATAAGTTGCCAGTGGATGAGCATATCCACATAGGTGTGCTCTTACGTATTTAAACGCTGTATTATACACACCTCCCAACGGTTTAGCGTCTCATTGTGGCTGGGAAGTGTTTCTGGGTGTCGGACTGCGATGCACAGCAGGGCATTCGTCCCCCCAGTAGGGTCTCCTAAGCAGAGGAGTCCGGCGTTTTCATCAGAAAACCCAGCTAAGAATAAACCAATACCAGCCACCACCATCCTGGTATTAAACTAGACGCATGGTGGCATATCCTCCTCTGATCTACATGGGCTGCGACTGTTTGTGGTGGTCAACCTAGAGCGGACTTCGGCCAGGCTGTCCTCGGGTCTCCAGGGAACCGCAGTGGCTAGACCGACTAATATCCGGAGAATGGAAATTGTGCTGCGGACCGCACAACCATTGAAGATGGGCCATCCAAGTATTCAAGTATTATACAGATCGCACGAATCCGACCAAAAACTACCATATGCATCCCTTAGACGTCGGTCGGTCTAAGGGATAGACTCCCTGTTTCTACTGCGCCAATTTGGCACACGACCTTTGTTCCTATGCAGACATGTCCACGTATACGTATAAAAGACTACTCTGCCTTACTTTCGTCAACTTAAGAAATACCTTTCATTCACTTGAGATAGAAGCAATCACTGAAGCTGCCAAAGCTGGACACCCAGGGCAACGCTACCCAGTACGTAAAGATCCCTCATAAGCTGTTTAAGAGCGTGTTCGAGAAGGGTATGTCTTCACGCTAAAACTGGTCACCACCATCCTCTAGAACGTTGTGCAGTACTAGGATCACTGTATCGCCAGTACCACCTATCGTCCGTTGGTCGTCGAGCGACTAGAGCAAACGCCAGTATATTTTCCACTTTTCCTCACCGCAGGTAAAAGTGGCTCAGTAGGTTCTGCTCGCTCTAGGGACTCGTCAAGCATTATGCCTTTATTCTATATCGTGATGAACTCAATCCATCGGGTGGGTGGTCTTCCTGCAGCACGTTCGACATTCGATGAATAAGAAAATAAAAATAAACCTATAGATATGTGCACCCACCCACCAACACGTTATATTAGTCTAGTCCATGTCTTACAACAAAAATATGCTTAGGTTTCGTCTGTCTGTTAAGCTTATTGAAACGGAGGAAACGTTTATCTTGGAGGCACTTCTAATAAATGGACCCCATGATCGTCACACATACTACAGTGCGAATTAACTTCAAATGCTTCCACAAATGGTGAAAAGTAGGCGTTGTCGATCGAGCGTTATTCATCAAAAGACAGGTAGGCAGGCTACCAAAATCGAGGGGGGCTTACCAGTCTTTAACTCTAATATCAAAAATGCTTATGTTCACAAATAGAACTTTATGACTGCTAACTATCAACGAAAACGCGAAAAAATTTGGTGTTCACCTAATGGGACTAGATTTAATCTCAAAAAGTTGCGATGTGGTGGGCGACCCCAAGTTGTTCTCCGGTCGTGGTAACTCGTATTGTTACAAGAGCTTCATGATTAAGAATCAATAAATATCCCATCAAATGACGAGATAAAATCACTTGAATGCGTTGAGTACTTGTGGAGGTACCGAAGCACCGTGCTCCATAAAACAAGATGAGTGATGACACCTTTATTATTTCAAAAGATGATAAAAAGTAGAAGTTCTCCTCATGCTATATCAGCGATATATCATTAAACTTTGATAAGAATAAACTTCAATACGTGGATAAACTCTCGTGAACTTTGGAGAATTAGTTTGGCAAACAAAAAAAAAGAATGCAAGGAACGACGTTGAAACGAAAATAGGCACTCGTACAGTAAAATTCAATTGTGAACTTCCGCAACCTTTTTATCACCACAGAGCTCTTCAATGGCTTCCACACCATTAGCTGGTGGCGTCGAATAACCAGAACTGGCAGTCAACGCTGAAGACGATTCAACCTGAAAACCATAAAAATTCAGCCTGAAAAAAAGCATTCAAGAATAGGATATCATCCCAACCACATTATGTTTCAAAAGACCAGGTTACCTGCTGCCAACAAGGAAGTTCGGCAGTTTTAGCGCTTGGCGCGAGTATAGGAGCGAAATTGTTATGACTTAACAGCAAGCTCTTAATAGTGGAAATACCATCCTGTAAAAAATATCGGTAAAAAACGCAAATGACAAGCACGTTCTCTTCGGTTTAAGCTTTTATATTTTTGTCCAACTATGGTTTTCTACAAAGATTAGTGAGCAACCTCTAATGCCAAACAATCGTTTTACAGCCTCATGAACGTAGACCCGCGATAAATGCTCCGCTAAAAAACAATTCCGGTGTAAGCCAAATGTTTCTTGTTATTGACGGTAACTCAATCCTATGTTCATTTCTCAGTTTCCAACACACACAACCCGACACAGGGCGTGTGTAGGTCAACGGTTACAGATGTCCTGCAAGACACAGTGTCGGCCGTCAGTTCGATCCCGCTCACCACCACCAACATCCTCTCTGGATTGGTAAATTGCTATCAGACTTGCCTGGAAGTATAGTTACACTGATTTCATACATCGTTATGGGCTCGCAAATCATTACATGGGCCAGATATGCATTCAGTCACTTCTACTACGCGCGATGAAGTGGACTGCATACGCTCCCCACACGGATTGCTCAAGTCCTTTATCCTCTGAGAGCAAGACGTGCAATTCTGTGTAACCCTCGTTTCTAATTGATGCGCAATTTCTCAGCACACTCGCTGTGAACGAATTTCATCAATTTGTCCCCACTTCACTAGAAGTGGAAAGCGTAGTAGATACGAAATAAAATAAATAGCGACTTCTCAATCAGAGATTTGGTTGCCTCGCAGACGATAGTCGTGCCCTTCATGATGGATTAGCTATCGTGTTTTTCCTACCTCCTATACCCAAAACAGTTTCCATAAAGTCTTGCGTCCTTTTATATATATAAATAATCCTCGTTAATTTTTACAAATAAAGCACTATTTTGGTTTGTTGGTTTAAACTTATTTACACGGGATAGGAACCAAACATTACTTCAAACGACACAACCATGCTCTCCATTTAAAGAACAATGTGCACAACGACATTACTGTTGCCAATGAAAAGATTTGAGCACAAAAATTGTAGCACAACTAGCATTATTCTACTAGGACAGTGCAGATGACGAGCGTTATGCTTATTGTAGAAGTAAACCCCAAGTGCCTTCTCCCTCCCTCATAAACGATATTCACAAATTAAAATGAAGTAACTATTTCGGTCACGAGCGCACCTAGACTACTTCTCGTTTCCACACGGCAATTCCTCAAAACATCAGCATAATAGACTATGGAACAAAAAAAACCCTTCCGAAGTTTGCTATCAAGGATTATATCGATGCTACCTCGACCCTGCTGATATCTGTGTCCCGTTGTCCAACGGTCAACAACGCACGGTTGACCTCTTGTTGTTGACTTAAAAGCACAGATGTACTTTGTGATATGCTATCCAGTACAAACTTGATGGAGTTTTGTAGTTCGTTCACTTGCATCTAAAAAGAAATCTCTTTTATATCACATTGGTTTCGCAATACAGTAAATCGAACTTATTTCTGCATGTTCTAGAGAGTTGATGAGGAGAATACGAAGCGTTAAGAATACGGTATGACTAGGCACGGTTTCAAAGAACATAAAAGATATATATATATAACAGTCTCTTACAGATGCTGACAAGTGCTTGGTGGTTTCACTAACCTGTAACTGTCGTACTTCCTCAGTAGCTGGATCGGCGATGTCAAAGAAACGAGGCAAAATAAATGAGCGTAAAAAACGATAGCCTGCATATGAAACACAACCAAAGATGGAGGCCGTTTGGATGATAGACATGAATCTGAATAGACATAGGACTTTAACGACTGAGCACTTCTACACAAACCTTTTCGGGTGAAAGTCCACTGAGCTGACCTACCTACTTAAACTACTTTGAGCATTCATTTGTCCCTCATACTGAATAGTACCTACAGAATAGACCCCACCTTCTTGTAGTACACATGATCTAGCTTCAGCGATTTCAGATTCCGTTACACCTCAAAATGCAACATCGATATAAGCCCTAAAAACTCTATCAAAGACAAATGATCCATATAGATACCTTTTGAAAGAAGAAAAACCCTCTGCTCTTCATATGATGTATCACGAACCTTGGGCGTAAGCATAAATTTCCTAGCAGCTTCCACCATGTCGGGACGATTAGCAGTCTCGTCTCCCATAGGTCTTTAATTGATAAATGAAACAGTCAACATCAATAAAATGGAAAAACACAATATGAGAGAGTCTCCTAACAAGTTTGAGAGGATTCAAATAGGAACGTCCTGAGAAGTTCAAAATTTGAATGACTCTCCCAATTTCTGGATAGGTGTATTACAAAGTACTTGTATAATATGAAAACGCAGTACCACTACGATGTCAAACCAAAGCTAGTGAAACACTAATGAAATGTATAACCATAGTGATGCCGAGATCATTGCAAAACTCCGGACCGCAGGTGTCTGCGGTGAGGACCGAACACGCTATTACCCTTTTTGGGAGATAACGCGTTCACCACCTCACCATGCGGGTCCTTCGTGTGAAGAAAAACGGAAAAAAAAGGAACCAAAAACTCGTATGGTGTGGAGTTGAACGCGTTAGCCCGCTGAAAGCGGTAATAAAGTGTTCGGTCCCCATCGTAGACACTATGGTTCGGAGTTTTGCAAATATCTCAACATCATTATGGTTAAATTTCACATAATACCTTGCCATTAAAAAAGGAATAGGCATCAAACAAAAAGTGACGACTGATGGGACGTTCTATGAACCATGTATGATAGGAATATTCCATTGGAAAAATATGCCACCATAAGCTTCGTAAGTAGCAGGGATAAGTAGGACTTGTAGTCAAAAAAATGACATAACTCCGGCCAAAAGACCATTTGGATGGAGTAACAAACAGAGGCTGTCAAAGTACATGATTAGTGATAAATGATTTATTAGCATGAGCCGAAAGTCTCAACTTAAAAAACCGATATAATATCACAAATGAAATAAACCCAAATTGCATAATTTGAAGTCGAGGACACGCGGTAGTGTATCTACAGCCGAAGATCAAATACATAAATTAAATAGAGTGCATAAGTGATACGCAAGTCTGAAGAAATTCCATACCGCATTACCAGGAAGCTTTTCAGTTACGATAAAAAGAAACTGGGTTAGAATTGCAAGGTTATGATGATCCTATTGCAATTTCCTTATAATATTACGCAAGATATCGAGAGTTTTCAGCAACGCTTCACCGAACTCCTTCGCATCTCGATGTTTCTAAACTATTTTTTATTGGTTAAATTAATAAACTGAAACCAGTCTTTAAAAATGTTCTGACAAGTAGCACAACGCCTTGCGGAACTTATCGATTACCTTGTAACTAGAGATAACGGCGCCCATCCGAGAGGAGGAAACGTTGTACCCGATACCGAAACCATCCTCTACCACGGGACCAAAACCTGTAGAACATAATAATCTGATTGAAAACGTAGGAGTCGGATATCTCAGCACTTTAAAGACACATTGACGTTCACAAACCTCCAAGAATGATTGTGTTTGTTGAGAGAGTACTCGTAGAAAGGAGGAAATGTTCCATGCGGAGAAATCCAGGATCCTGCAAGGATAAAATGGTCTCTTCTGCAATGAAACTCATCTCTGAAACCACTATGTTAACCTTTTATTCTCTCCCTACTATAATTTTTTACGGCAGGGTATGATGTGAAATAAAACAACAACGATGCTGAAATATTCACAAAACTTGGACCCCGACCCAGATGGAACAACGCGTATTACACAGCGCTTTTCTACCTAACGCTACCATCAGCAAAATCACCCGTCACAAAAAAGCCATACTTCGAAAAGCAACGGATTTGGCTTTCCAAGTCGGTTAGCCGTAATTTTCAATCCAAGCATGTGACGATCAAATCCTTGACCTGCAAATAAGTTTGTTAACCAAATAATGAAATAAGGGATATGTGAGTGATATATTTGCTTAACACAAGCTCAACAGATCAATGGAGATCGATATAGTCGCGATAATGCGCATTGATTTAACTACACATGCAGGGCACGATGGTGAACGCTCGTCGGTCCCAATCCATTTTAGGAATATGAAGGGCTACTTTTCGAATATAAATTGTTCCTAAGACCACAGATAAAGTTACATGGGAGGATGGTACAATGACATCTCTACAGAGCCCCACAAATGAGGGTGCTATTTTGTCTCTGCAACATGAATACAAGTACGTGATTCTCATAGGAACTAAATTCCTCTGTAAGGTGAGAATAACAAAAAGGCTGCTCATGATAACTTGTACAGTATAATTCCTCCTCTCTTTTTTTTGTCAGAGGAAGAAAACAAATCGGATAATGCGCGCTGGTTTCAATGCAGTCCCCAACCAACTATGAATCGGACATTGTCTCATGGGCACAGAAAATCACGCGCTCTCGTGAATGTGTTAGCACCTGCTTCGCACAGCTTCTGCAGTTACCTTTATCATAACAGATGTATAAACTAGCGGAAAAAAATTAGATGAGCTACAAACCCATTGACGCCTCTTTCACCAGCTGTCCATGTACGGTAGAACAGTTTAATAACAACTGTTCAACATTCGTCGCACCACCTCCAAGTATAGCTAAAGTAGCTTCTTTAGTAGCAGCCGTTGCAGAACTGAATTCAAAAGTTATGCTAAGCCAATGACTTACTATCGGCAAATGCACCAATTTTTACATTTTCGCCCTTTTAGGAAACATATTTTGACGTCGCTAGAGAATCGAGCGATGTATCAATGGATACACAGAGTTTTCAATGCTGGCCTAATCGGGAACATTGCAATACTAACCTAGAAACCCGTATGAATGATAAATACGGATTTGTTTCAAGTTCCATATACACCCTTTTGTGTGAAGAGCCCTCAAAAAAAAAACAAACTTTACATGTGTTTAAAGTGCCCTTGATAAAAGAACTGTACATCACATAGACTTCGTGCTAGAATACTTGCGCGAATTATTCACGTCAAGCTCAAATATTTGACCCTTATGTGTGATATGAGCACTAACCGCATGCACTCTGTCCGTCCTTTCAGAAAGGCTGCGGTTGAGCAAGATTCATAAGTGGGAACTGTCTGCTTGTATAGAGAGTAGAATGCTATCTGAATATCACCTTGAACTGCATAATGTATCATGGATTAAAACGTATATACCCTGAAACAAACTCTCACTTGAATGGCCAGTTGCATAATGGCGTCGGGTGACATTTTGGACTTCTTGATCATATCCTTGTTCATATCAGTGTACTCCATCGTTCCAAAACTCAGTCCACTATTTCTAGCAATATGATCCCTTTGAGCAGACTTTATCCGTGATCGCAAAGAGTCAGTAAGAGTAAATTCTACAATAAACACTTATTATGCTGATCAAGTTACGATATAATAGAAAGTTCAACCTACCTATTTCTTTCACCATAGCAGGATTTGCAGGCTGTGGATCAGTATCGGGTGTGACGAAATGGTGAGTATTGGTATCTCTAAAATACTGAAGTTTTCAATGAGATTTTTAGTTACAAAACACCCTTAGGAAACCTACTTGTATGACTCCTCCATCAAACGCAAAACAGCAACTCCGTCACCCCAAGAGTGTTCAAAGTTAATGGTGGCTTGACCATTGCCTGCAACACATTACCTACTTGGATAACCCGTCCTCACTGGTTGCGCGGACCACAGCATAATCTCCACTTTCTGAAGAATTGCTGGTTTAGCTATTGTAGTTTGCCCCGTGTCGTCACCATCACAGGCAGTCGCAGTCCTTGCGGAACAGAGGGAGATTTCCCACCATGCGACTAATTTGATACCAGAACGGTGTATCCTGCTCTTGGTTTACTTTTAGCTAGACTTTCAGATGGAAACACCAGACCCCTTCTCAGTTTGGAAGGCCTTGCGTAAGAGATGAAGAGCCCTGCTGTACATCACAGCCCTGTACCCAAGAACACCTCCCAGCCACGATGAGATGGTAAACCTTTAGGGGGATCGTTAGACGGTCGGACACATCACTATTTCGGAAACATATACGCAACAATGAACGTCTTCATAACTTATCAAGGCGGTAATCAAACTTGTACGAATGCTAAACATGACGCCCTTCTATGATTTATTTAAAAAATAACTGAGTCAACTATGTAAGAGCAGTTTCGATCTAGCATGAAGCCCCACAGTTCGAGATACCTTTATTCAGATCAAACTAAGCTGTCTACAATTGAAAACTCACCGTCTACTATGAGCTGGAAGCATTTGTCAAACCAACGATTGCTACCATCATCCCCCACTAGAAGAGATTGGACTAGCCTGCATAATAGTGATATCCAGAAGAAAGTAGATGGAACGATAGCAATACTAAGCAACGGTAAAAAACAGAGGACAACAGTTCATTGAAACCCAAGATGGCCTTAATCGTATACGAAGCGCTTAAGAAATGCTGCTAAGCAGTTTCAATGGGAAAACCCCAGTCTAGCATACTGATCACACATAAACCATGCAAAGTAAAAACAGATCAAAGTGGAATGCCCAACAAAAATGACATACCTAATAGGATCATCTGATTTTAAGTCGTCTAAACAAAGCGTGAAGAAGGCACCATCAATCAAGCGAAGTTTATCCGCATTACCAGCCTCCAGCATTTCCTCACGAACACTCGCCCATACGTCCCGTCCCAGAGTTGTGAGCGAACCTTAGAAAACTTTCTGACAGATTACAGCATTTAGTCGTACCTCATAAACATTTGCAAATGCTCTAATTATTAATCTACAAAGATTTCATTGCAAATCTTGCACCACCATTCCGCTACACAACCAGCTTGAAGTTATAGTGGTTGGATTTCGAAGCACGTGAATTTCCTCAACATCATATCCAGTACACATAAAAATAAGTAAACCCAAAGAACAATAAAATTGCCATAATGGCTAGTATAATTAAAACATTTATCAAATGCATGCTTACTTTAGAGACTCCAACAGCAAAAGTACAACCCTGAAATATAATAGATGGTATCCTCACCTACACATTTGTCACTTTCTTGTTGTTTCCCATTCTTCAGAATATGCGATAATGAGTTGTGAATATCACTGGCAGGAAGAATATCACCTACAATTTCCTTATACCAAACAATTCTTTCCTTACAGACCATTCTGAAGCAATGAAGAATGTTCATTTTTTATTTACTACCTTTTACAAGTTTTCACGGCAGAGTATTATTTGTGAAACAACCACAACGATGCTGAGATATTTGCAAAACTCCAGACCGCAGCTGTTTGCGGTAAGGAACGAACGCGCTATTGTCCTTTCCGGAGAGTAACGCATTCACCACCACACCATGCACGTCCTTCGTTTCGCCTGTCTCTCAGCTATTTCTATCGATCACTGCCATCAGCAATCACCCGGAATTGATCTGGGGAGTCCAAATCGGCATTAAACCCAGTTAAACTGAGGCTATAGTTGAAATTCACAATGTTCACTCACATATCTCAGCATCGTTGCGGTTGTTTCACAAATAACACCCTGTCGTGAAAACTTGTAAAAGGCAGTAAATAAAAAGTGAATATTGTGAATTTCAACAATAGCCACAGCTTAACTGTGTTCAATGCCGATTTGGGCTCCAAGATCAATCCCGTTGACGGGTGACTGCTGATAGCAGTGATCGATAGAAATAGCTGAGAGACAGGTGAAACGAAGGACCTGCATGGTGTGATGGTAAACCAGACACCTGCGGTCCGGAGTTTTGCAAATATCTCAGCATCGTTGCAATGAAGATATTTCCAAACCATTGTCATCAAAGATGTCCACTATGTACACTCTGCCACGGTAGAGCACCATAAAGTGTTTCTGAGTTGAATCCTAGAAATACCCTAAGAAATGAGGATTTAAAGAAATATCAAGAATGATTTAGGCTGTCCAACCTGATAGAGGATATCCCTATCGTGTTTTGGAATGCGTGTCCCATTGAATAGCGATTTATACTGACTCATGTCAAGTGGGAAAGCTTTGAACATTACCGCTCCGAACCATGACAGGCTAGGAGGGAGGGCTCTAAAACCAGAACACGATGACATAAAAGACATAAATCTCCTAGGCAGCCCTGTACGCCACTGTTGTACAACATACCGGCATACGTTCCGAAATAATTTGGTGTCGCTCTTCTTTGGATTTAGATGAAATACTTCAGGAGCTAGGATATTTTTATCCAAAGCCCGTCTAAACCTTGCAAAAGAAATGGCGAAGTTTGTCGAACGTGATAACTGAAAAGTTACCACAGAGTGTACCGTTAAGTATCTGAATCATAGTGAACTGAAAAACATTTCATAATTCAACTAGCCCCATTTTGGTAGCTTAGTTACCTGGTGGTTGTATTTCGCTATTGGGTCTGGAGCATACATCATGAAGGGGTTAAAATTGACAGGACATGGAAGTCGAGATCGCAAATAGATATCAAACCAAGGCTCACAAATATAGCTCGTGTCTTTGTGGTTACGATCGTATTCCAAAAGAGCGCTCTGTAGCACTGAAACCAGTAAAAAAAGTTTTTAATCTCCGAGGAATTTCAAGAAACTACAAAGATACTTATACGAAAGACCGAAGCAGGGATTGTGAAAGGTTCAACAGGTTTCAGTGATGACAGAAGTGTTACAAAGAGGTATAAGGAAAAAACTAAACGAGGATATTCCACCTGGTCCTTCATTGGTTTCGAATTTACGAACCGCTTCTTGCGTACGTCCATAGTCCGAGTCACTCAGAACTACCTTTGCTGATTTGAGGAATCTGATGGTATCATGGTAATGAGGAAAAGTATCCAAGAAACAATCGATAAGACATACCTATTACAGGAATCGGACAGTTTTGGAACAGGCAGACGGCGAAGACTCTTTTGAAAGTGGTAGGTGGGTATGGCACTGCGTTGCAGGAACTGGTACTGATCGCCGACAAGGGTATTCATGCTGAAACTCAGTACATATATACTAAAAAATCTAGGCTAAAGATAAACCAAACTACAATAAGTACTTCCGTAGGAAAACAGAAAAATCCTCACCAACGATAATTCGAAGGTGAGTGACAAGTCTTCAACCACCTGGATCCAGGCCGAAACATTTCTACTAGGCTAAAACATGAACTAAAATGTGACTAAGTCACGATTTTTCGAAGAAGTAGGTCAGTGAAAGAGCTTAATGCAGGAATGAAACTACAGGTGACAAATATCCAACAGAAAAGGACACTTTGACATTCACTCTGAAATGTACTTTGAACCCTAGACGACGGCACTTACCGTACTGAAAGAGTATTTCCTTTAAAGAATTCACGTCTTCAAAGTGAACAGTTTGTCGAAGGGAAGACGTCTGATCAGCTACGGTTAAAGGACCTATCAAAATGAAACGCAAGAGGATAACGTGCCGTGGAAATCAGGCTTCTCGATTTGGGAAGTTAGGAAGAACAAACCCGACACGAACTACAGCACAAGAAGTCCTTCGTAGACTTGGAGCTCAAACAACAAATGTAACAAGCAGGAAATCAAACACATCTCAATAGAAAGCCAACTGAAAATCTTGCTCCAAAGTGCAAATCCATTATCCATAGGTTTCTGAATGCGTATCCCCTCTACAATCACTATTCTTGACTGCATAACAAGCACACATTCATTTAACTGTTGAACCATGGCAATAGCAATAGTAACTGAAATTACCATGACCAGTTTTATATTGACCTCGGTATTGATCGCGTAACTAAAAGCTTAAAATCACGCTGGAAATCACATATCATTTTCGCGTTGGATCCTAAAACTGCACTGGAACATATAAGTTCTCAAAAACTTCTCGAGTTAACGAAACCGACATTCTGCTGAATTCACTGTGAGACGATCAAAAAAGCAGACGTCATCCGCAGTTTTCTCGTCGCAATTTTACAACAAAGCCAACAAGTAGTGAAGATGTGCATGACGTCGTTCACACTATGGTTTCGAGCCGAGCTCTTACTTCATTGTTAATAACCTAACAACCAAATGTCGTCTTTTGCTTAAAAAGTGCATTCCGTATTCTAAAGAAACGTGCTAAATAGAGAACCTAACTTTCGGCTGGCGGACTGCTATCCAGCCGGCGATGCTGATGGAGCGCTAAGTGGACGGCACGAGTGTGCTTTCGCGTGGGTTATTCGTCCCGCCTGATGTCGATGGGAACACGACTGTCCATGAAGGGGAATTTCGCAGAGCTGTAGCTAGGCCAAGAGATAAGGAATAAAACGGCCGAGTTGACCAATCTCTAAGTGACGCGCCATGCATTCGACTTCATCAAGTACACTAGAGGTAACTGAGTGCATATATGGCCTATATAGTGACTTGTGGTGTATTCTAGCGCTGTATCAAATCATTCCCGCCTATCCTCCCAGGCAAGCCTGGCACCAATTTGCTGATCCCGGGGGGAGGGGGGGATGGATGGCCCGGTGAGCCACAGGCGCGGAATTCAACCCATGATCATCACTATACTACAGAGCACCTGTAACCACTGCGCTACACACGTCCGTGCTCAAGCATAGCATTGTTAAACAAAGTGAAGAATACAAAACCAAATTTTTTCGAAACAAACTGCATGTTCACTTATTCCGATAGCGTAGAATTCTGAGCTCTAGAATCGACAAGATTTCTTCACTTAAGTTTTCGAAATGAGTGAAAAATTGTACCACTTTTGGGAGACGCCTGCTGAATATAGTGGATGGTCCAAAGTTCGTAGATAAATTCGTTCCGCTTCTGCAGTCTTCGTCATGGCCAAACTTTGCCGTGAGAGTATTTCTACATCATTCGCTAGGATTCAGCAAGTTCTCGTAGATTAATCCATTGCAGGCCAGCGAATGACTAGCATAAGCTTCTGGCACAGATTTAGCTTAGGAAAGTACTCGCGAGCTTCACCTTGGCAGTGTGTGTCCTCTAGGAGCCATTTTTCACCACTCTTGGCAATACCACCACGAAATACTGCGGCTTTCTGACAAAAACGAAGCGCAGAGCAGTATCTTTCATCTCGTTGCTCTTCATTTTGTTCGTGTAGTGCTCACTTATCGAGCTGTTTTCATTTTCCTAATATCTTCCAAATGGCAACCGATTGTTAAATTGTGAGCATTGAGTTTTAGAACCTCTCGAGTTGTTTCTAGAGGGTCAACTTCGATTTTCGCTTTCAGATGTTTCTTGTGGACTTCTGATGGTCGCCCACGACATTCTTTTTCGTCAAGGCTCAAATCTTCGGCACGAAACTTTCCGAACTATCCACAAGCTGCACGTCTAGAACCGCAGCGCAAGATCCAGAAAAGTGGATTGAGAAAGCGTATTGGTTCCAACTCACACCATTTTCAGTGGTTCATTATAACGTAACGAGCTTTTCTGCTATTCATTCCATACCTCATCGATAGCTTATTCTACGTAGATGTTTTGGCAGACAGGAGCCGTGAAAACCGCGTTCTTACTTTGGTACTTTGGTGACTTGTCCTTCTCATATCATACAAGTCACAGCACTTCTGTTCGGTTCGTTGTTTAGAAAATGTCATCCACAAAACTAGTCATATTCGTGTGTTGATAGGGCTACAACTTGAGGCTTTGAAGTCCTCTTCCTTCACTAACGTGTTGAATGCTGGTCGGAAGTGATTTTCACTGAAATTTCGGGATGGCCGTGCTGCAACGTTCCTAGGTGTTCACCACAGGCATTTTCCAGTACTTTTAGGTCGTAGGCAGTCTTGCGTTTGCTATCTCGCGACTTGGATTCTTCTTGGACAACAGCGATTTCTTAGATGGTACCGAAATCTGCTGCTATGCGGTCGAAGACGACATAATAAAAGATAAAGGATAAAGCTCTCGGCGATAATCTATCCGTGAGGGATGTGCTATGCATTCGACTTCATTAGACGTCGTTGGAGGTGATTGAATGCATTCCTGACCTTTATAATGACTCGCGGTGGCCTACCGATGTATCGAGCCAGTACTGCCATCCTCCCAGACGGGTCTGGTACTAATTTACCTACCCCAGAGGTATGGAAGGTTTGGTGAACTTAGGGCGCAGGATTGACCCCATGTATATTGCAGAGCGCCTACGACCACTGGGCTACACGCTCCCCTGGGGACGACAGATCAAGTCATACAAGCAGTATTCGCTATCCGCTCTTCGTTTAAATTAATAAAAAGCTTTTTCTACTACGAGTTTGTTTGTCTGGCTGTGAGAGAGTGAGCGGTGAGGAGCACAGTGAGCCACTCCCACGCGGCATGCCGTCATCCGTGTGTTTTGTGCTACCGGTCCATGGATCGCCGGCTACATTAGAGGTCCTCAGCTTCGCTTTCTACAAATGAATTCATTTCACAGTTTGAAAATCCTACAACTAGTTGAAATCACAATGCTAACTTTTTATTTGCTACCTACTACAATTTTTTCACTGCAGGATGTAATGCGAAGTACAATCATAATGATGCTGAGCTATTTGCAAAACTCTGGACTGCAGGTGTCTGCGGTGGGGAACGAACGCGGTATTGACCTTTCCGGGGGCTAACGCGTTCACCACCACACCATGCAGGTGCTTCGTTTTTTACACAGTTAGTGCGTCTAAACATTGTTGCGACAACTAAAATTTAATATTTCTTTAAATATTGCACTATTAACGACAATGTTAATTCCTACATTTAGCCACTGTTCTTGTGGAAGTAGAATATTAGAGTTGAAATGCTGAAATATTGAAGTGGAATATTGAGGAATGATGGAATACTCCAAAAGAATTCGTTTCACTGACTGCACTTAGTGCAGAAACGTTCTCATTAAGCACCGTGAACACCACAATAACATGTAGCTTCTCATTCCATTCGCACACGCCTCTAATGGCACATGTACTGCCGAGGTGCAGCACTTCATCTGTACTGCACTAAAAACTCATCGAAATCCACGTCTGCTCCAGCTAGGTCTGTATAAGTAAAGGATAAAGCTCTCGGCGTTGATCAATCCCAGAGGGATGCGCCATGCATTCGACTTCATTGGGTATCGTTGGAGCTGATTGAATGCATACCTGGCCTTTACAGTGCCTCGAGGTGGCCTACCGATGTATCGAGCCAGTGCTGCTATCCTTCCAGACAAGTCTGGTAGCAATTTGCCGACCTCGGAGAGATGGAGGGCTTGGTGGGTCATGGGCGTGGGGATCGATTCTACGTGAGTATCGCAGTGGCGCCTCCAACCACTGTGCCACACGCGCCCTCTATATAATCTCTATAATCTGATCTAATTCCTACTAGAATGTGCGACAAAGTGAATTAAAATGAACTCATCTTGAAGGTTTTTCCTGCTCACAGCAGTTTGTATTCTCTGCTGAATAAAGATGAAACAGTGGCTTTTCAAACGTCTCTTCTGATCACATTGCACACAATAGAATTGCTTCCATAGGTCTAACATGTGTTTAGCAGACTCTCATGTGGGAAAATCCAACAACTTCCACCTAAAAGCAGACACCCATGAATCATTTCATCTCTTCAACATATGTTGGTTCCCACAACTGGTCTTTCTTTTATCCACCTCTATTTGCTTCATACACAGACAGATGCCAAAGATCGATCACAAATAGTTTATAGAAATGTGTGTATCTACATGCATTCAAACACTTCCATTGAAACCAGGGTTACATAGTACCTGTATAGATACGTGGATGACCCGTCATCACGAGTAGTGCGAGCTACACCACATTTTTACAGTTGTGACTTCCTCACACGATCTTCGTCCATAGGGGTGATCTGCGTCGAGTATGGTGATGACAATTCCGTAAATAAAATATCGTGCCCACCCACGAACGGAGCTAATTGTCATCAATAACTAACGTTCCTGCCTAAGTCGTAAGTAGTCGCCCAATAGAACACTTGCATAGCCTTGGTGAGAGTAGGAATGCGATCCAAAATTCTTGTTTGAGAACATGATTCGTCTTCGCCACAAACTTTAACTCTTTCGACGGGTGTCTTCCACTGCTACGTCAGGTTTTCTTGATCTAGCTGTCGTACACGGGAAGGATTTCGACCTGAACGTTGTTGTGTATGGTCGTCTTATTCTTCTTTGACGATGCAGGAATCTTTTATTATGCTTATAACTGGACGGAATCCCGTGAAATTTTTCGATTATGCTGATGCTATGGCTGTTTTGCTTAAGTCCTAACTGGTGCAGATCGCGGTCGGACAACGAGCAGCATCTCACCACCACGAGATAGTAAAGCACGAATAATTTTTCGGGATAGTTTGTCTACACCGTGACTAACCAAGCATAGGTCTCCATTTCTCTGTTAATCGAGCAATTCTTCAGCGATTAATTCAAGTTGCCACCTGTGGAATACCGATCCATCGTTACGCTTCGGAATCAGTCAACTCGCCATGGTCGAAGGACCAGAAAAGGACTTTAGATGTGAAGGCTTCTAATTTTAGCTCTTTAAAAGTTTCTTAACGAGAAAGTAGTTATGGATATTTCCTAAAGTTTTACTTGCTACTTATTGTTTCTTCATGGCAGGATGCTATGTGAAATACAACCATAACTATGCTGAGATGTGGGCAAAACTGGGTAGCTTAGGTGCTCTTCGAACTTGCGACTACCCTTTCACGAGCTCACATGTTATTCACTGCACTGTCCGAGGTCCTTGCTTTGCGTTTCTCTCAACAATTTTTTTTCTAACGTAGCGATGCCATCGGCAATCACCCGTCAACGGAAATGGTCCGGGGTGCACAAATCGGCGTTGATTTTGAAGGATAAGAGAGTGGATAACACATGAGCGCACAAGAAAGGTAATCACGGGTTCGAAACCCACCCGAGACCGAAATTTCCAGTTTTGCTCGTATCTCAGCATCCTTGTAGTTATGGATAGTTCGAGGAAGGAAACATTGTGCACTAACTCCCAGGACCGATTTTTTTATTAACCACGGCATTGTTCAATAAGTTGTTTTCGTGATGAGCAGACACAAGATTGTTTAAAAGTTAATTCGTTCAGTAGATTAGGTATCACATGGCCTTCCCAGGATTTGAAGAAGGCCAAATTCCCTAAAAGCTAGCACCTCGCATCTGCCTATCAGGAACATTAGAAACAATACGAGCAATATACGACTCATTCATAACAAGAAATGATTTTACCTTATTACTTCTAAACAGACATATTTCACCTCCACCTACAATGTTTCTTGGCATATCTTTGAAAAAGCGCAGTAAAATTTACGCCATGGAGTGAAACACCAGAATTTACATATCTCTGCCAACGAGATGAAACTCTACTAATTGCATCATGATGAAATCTTAAGTTTCCAGGCTCACAAATCGTGTTATCTCTTCGATTCTTGACGCCAAGGCTACTACCTCGAACAGCGACGCCAATGAAGAAGCACTTTCTCGTGAAGCCAACAGCAGAAAGGACTCTCCGAGTGGAAACCATCATCGTGTGAATACGTGCTGATCTTCGCAGCACAGCACAACATGCTCCTCATCTCGATGAGCTTCACGATCTCACCGTGTGGGTACTCACTTGCAGTACCTGTGTGGGCCCGCAGCTCACATCGGGACTACCTCTTGCACAAACCGAATTGCCTGCAGTAGTCATAGTGACGCCGTCGGGCGGTGACAGCCGTGCCTGCGGCGCGCGCGCGGTGCGATCTGCAACGCAGTTGTCGCGATGGCGCGTCTTATCCATATGTATAAGCTCTGGAGTCTTTATGGTCTTATTTGGGGTCTTTAGACTTTTTCTCTTTGGCAGAGTATTTGTTCAGTACTATACAGTCTTGAGCCGATATGAGGTTATCAATTCATTAGGTGCCTTTCCATTGTTCAACTTGCACGAGGTTATACAATTTTAATTCCGCTAACGCCTCGACATTTTCGTCTTCCTTAGGGCTAATGATCCAATTCGATGGTCCACAGTTCTGCCTCTTCTCGATGTTGTGTCCTAATTGTCGTGTCGAGTCGGATCTTCTTCAGTGGAGCATCGCTCGAATGAGGCAACCTCACCCGGTAACGCTGTTTTATAGAAGACGGTTGTTGAGTGGTTGTCTGTCGACTAATAGTGTTTTTTCGTGTCGACAATCCATGCTGTAGCAGTCAGTATAAGAATAGCTAGCATTGAGCGTAATAACAGTGTAGTAAACCGGTTTTAATTTAGCCTCGGCGTAAGTAATCAATAAATCTCTTTGGATTGCCCGGCTTACACTGAATTGTTATAAATGTTTTATTCGGCTTTCTTGCGTGTATACAAGAGCGCTACCATTTGAGGTTGCCTCATTTGAGCGGTGCTCCACCGAAGGACATCTAACTCGATACCATGGCGAAGACCACATCGAGAAGGCGACCGGCTATGGACCATCGACACGGATCATTGGCTCTGACGAAGACGATAGCGTCGAAACGTTAGCCGAATCTAATTTATATAACAGCCTCTTGTAAGCTGAACAATACAAAGTAATTTGCTGGTTGTTCACGGCGAGCTTAAGTGAAAGTCGATTTAGTATGGTGTTTTTGATCGCGTTGGTTTGCATCGTTGATCAATCCCTAAGGGAATCCCTATTGATTATAGCAGATTATTAACGCTTCGCGTGTAGCCCAGTGGTCAAGAGCGCACTGCAATACACACGAAATAGATCCCCGCGCCACAGGCTCATCAAGCCTTCCATTTCTCCGGTTTCGAGAAAGTAGTACCAGAACTACCTGGGGCGATAGCAGTACTGACTCGATACATCGGTAGGCCATGGCCAGATATGCATGCAGTCACCTCCAACGATGCTTAATGAATTCGAATGCGTGACGCATCCCTTAGGGATTGATCAACGCCGAGAGTGCTATTCTTTTATTTTATTCATGGATTGCTGCTGTATTTGCTAGTATGCAGAACAAACACCATGCGCGAAATGAGCCAACAATCAAAGTTGTTTCGTTGCCTCATAACCCTATTTTTTATATCTCTTTCTACAGGAATTTTTCCGTATGAATCCTTATCTGTGCAGTTAAATCTTTCATTTTTACCCTGAAGCGTTATTTCTTTTCCGGTATGAACCACCTTCCTCTTATCTGTCGTAGGTACGTCTCTGCGGCACCGAAGACGACCACAGGCATCGAGCATGCCAAGGCAATGACGAAAATTGCTGGTTAGGTCTCTGTTATATCATATAGGGATTTATGTTTAGCGCTCACTTATCGCGTTATTGTGACTTCTATAACCTTGCTAATGCTACAGGTGGAAATGCTAACTGGAGTTTGTACAAAGCAGATGATTATTTGAAGATGAGCAAGTACTCCTTCTATGATGCAGAGGTAATGAAAGGACTCTCTCTTTGTGAGTTTTACAAAAGAAGTTTTTTCTGTGAAAGTTTCGGTTTTCTAGATTACCATGGCAAAGCATCGCCTCCAACAACCAACAAACAAATCTCCAGATGTCATGCCAAAGACGAAATCTCAATAGGATTGAAGGAATTTTCTGTCTTGTAGAATAAAGAATCTTCTTACGCCTGTGTTGGTATCATGTTCTGGTTTTCTGTCCGCGTTTTATATTCTTAATAGGAAGAGTTATATTTATCCTCCTGTCGCGTTGTTGCACTAAGCTTCTATCCAATTTGCTCTAGTCGAGATGAGTACTGTTATCGATAGTGAGGAAATCAAATCTCTTCTGGCAGTTCCTGAAACTGAGGCTTACCAAAAAATATCCGAGCTCAATAGACGGCTCGGAACATCGACAAGTTTCCAGTCAGTTGATACAACGACTCGTGAGGTACGATATCGAGATATTTTGGATGTTTCATCTCCCTTCTCCGTACGATTGTTCGTTGCGCACTTCGCTTTTAGTTCCATCGGGGTCCGCTTAGTTCAAGGCCAATGAGGATACCTCACTCTTACTCAGATGAGATCTCACATTTTCTTCCCATATGCATAACCCTGGGTGGAATGATGGGCAAGAAGTAGTCCGAGATTGAAGAGAGTTTTAAAGATGCGTAGCACTCTTTACTGGTGACGATTCTTGAAATAACTACATGCATGCGCTGTTGGTCTTTCTGTGCGAAGCTGTAGTCAGTGTTTTCTGTTCAGAGTGTTAGTGTTAAGGGAATCGCGAAAATGGTCGAAACTGGCCTGAATGACAAACCTTCCTTGTTGGCTCCCGTTCTTGAACTAATCCGTGTCCTTGGTGAGTTTTTTTTTGTGGTTTCTTAGAAGATGTCAAGATGCCATTTCATGTCACTACAATTGTTTAAATTAGTAGGTCCTTCTAGCTCGTGACAAGAAGCAGTTGGATTTCATACTTACGGAACCAGTGCGACTTTTCATTATACGCACAAGCGGTCTTAGTGAGAGTGGTTCGGAAGTACTTCAGGGCAAGTCTTTCTTTGAGTCCTGCTCTCACCCACATTGTAGCTTTTATACTGTTTATCCTAGATGTGATCGAAGCCGACAAATGCCTTATAAATACACTCTTCAATTCTACATGCATGCGGACAACATTCGAGTTAGTAAGAGCTCTTCCCATATGTGCATCTCATAGATATTCACGCATGTTCTGTTTCCAAAGTAGGTACGATATTGAATCACATATACTCCAGAAAACGATGTTGACATATTGGAGTAGACAGTAATATATGTTAAAAACAGTCCTATTTCTCAAGTGGTCATTTTTTAATTTTTATTTTTATTCCATATGATCCGTCTTCATGTCTACTGTGCGGATCCCAGCACTTCTCACATTCGATTCATTTCCTCACATCCATTGCCCACGAAGGTCTTCCAACTTTTACTCGTGGCTTGGCCTACTGCTTGAGAATTTTCATTTCATCTTGAATTTCGTGGAATGCTGATTGAGTTGATTCTTCCTGGAATCCTGAGATAGCGGGCTGGAGCGTTCCCAATTGGATTTCAGAAAGTGATTTTTTTCTCGGACAAGTCCGGTACCAATTTTCCGAGTCCGGAGGGATGGGTGGCTTGGTTGACCTGGAGCAGAATCGAACTAGCACCATGCTCGTGATGACCGACATCACTGTCATTGTGCCATCCGCCGCATTTCTCAAGTAATTCTAGCTATACTTGATACTTAATACTTGAACGGCCCGTCATCAGTAGTTGTGCGGGCCTTAGCATAATCACCATTTTTCGGAGATTTCCTGGTTAAGCCATTATGGCTTCCTGGAATCTGAAGGGCAGCCTGGCCAAAGTCTGACCCAGGTCTTCACCACCACAGGCAATCGCAGCCCTTGTGGAACAGAGGGAGATTTGCCACCATGCCCCTTGATACCAGAACGGTGGTGGATCCTGGTATTGGTTTACTCTTACTTAGACTTCCTGATAGAAATGCCGGACTCATTAGCTTAGGAGACTCTGCTGGGGGGACGAATCCCCTCGCTGTACATCGCAGTCTGACACCCAGGAGCACCTCCCAGCCACGATGAGGCGGTAAACCGTTGGGAGGAATTCTGGCTATGGAAAAGCTAAATGATGTTTACAGCTGATGAAGTTTTCCACCATAGAATATGAGTCAAAGCGCTCATCCTAGACCCTCTTTCTGGTAATTTCGGGTGAACTATTTTCTGTTTAAGTCAATTAGCATACTAACAAATCGTGAAACATGCAGATCTTGTCACAAACCTTATCACGATAAATTGGCTCTCACCTTGGGTGCAAAATCTCCTGTAACAAACCGAATCCAGAAATTTAGAGTTATGCAAGATCGTCTTTGTAGTATACTAGGTATGTCCGTGGGTTTTTCTTTTTCAGAGCTGAAGCAACACCTTATCTGTTGGAGCGTATCATAGCACTGACGGAGTCTGATTTCTCTGGTCGATATGAATGGATGAAGAATATATCCGAAGAGTTACGCAGTGATATCCTGTTATTTGATTTAAGGATAGCTTTTTTGATGTCAGCACATTCAACTCGCATACAGGTATATAACTTCAAGGTTTTCTGCACGTATTCCTTTTCCGCTCATGGGTTTAGGTCAGTTGCAGTGATATGACATAATTTGAGAGGTATCTCTTTAGTTGGATTGGGGTAGCTCACCAAGTGCTCTCTCTGCTTTCCTCAAAGTCATTCATCAATATATCACTGCTGCATGTGAACTCGAAACGGTTGTGCCAACGGAGCCTGGAAAACGTCTAACAAGTGTTTGTGATCGTGCTGGGGAAGCTGCTAAAGTACTCTTCAATATTACTTACAAGCGTAGTGATAGGCTCGATGAGGTTCGTTCGGTTCACTCTATTCTTTACCTCCCGGGTTCTGTTTTTCGGAAGACTTCTCAGTATGTTATATTTTAGCATTTCACGGATGAAATTACTAAAGTTGTTGCTGCTTTAATAAAAAGAAGGAACCTTTCACCAACAATGGAACAGCACTCCATGAACTTGCTGGCTACGTTAAAGCTGAACATAGATATTCTCTGTCCTGTGGTAACTTCGTTGTTTTATATTGTCGTTGTCGACAATATTTTGTAGCCCTTTTTAAAAATTTTTTTTTTGTCTGTGGATGTAGTAGTGTGCTGTTGTTTTAGTCTTGTTTGCAAACGTTTTTCTATTTTTTTTATGCTTGTTTGGTCTTCGGATAGCTTAATTTCACAATATTAACCACTATCCCGGATAACCTTGCAGTTTTACTGTGACATAGGTTACGTTTTTAACGTCTTATCAACTTCGTCATTTTAGGTGGACTCAGAAGATAGCGGTATTGAGCAGTACAACCACCATGATATGACCTTTGCGCAGGCTTTATTGGATGCTATGGAAAGGAAATTAGATGATGTAAGTGGGATTAAGCCTGTTCCCTTAAGCTTCAGCCTGTTTTCCGGCTGATATCCACTTTTGTAACAATCGTCGATAAAAGGATGTGCTTGACACTAGTCGACAAGCAACCTACGATTCTGTGAAACTTTATTAATCGACTATTTTTTTAGCACTTTTAGTTTTCTTAGTTTTTATTTTTTTTTGTTATTAATTTCTTACCGATTTCTCTTACTGATTTATTTTTTACTTGTTTATTTTTTCTTTAATAGTTGTTACCGTTGCCGTTACTATTATTATTATTTTCATTTATTTTTGTTATTATCAGTTATTGCTGTTACCATTCATCATTCTTGTTCTTGCTCCTGTTATATTTGTTCTGCGATAGTTCTTCTAAAGAGTTTCTAGTTCTTCGGCTGAGAGAAAAGCGAAATGAGAGACCTGCATCGTGTGGTGGTGAGCACGTGAGACCTCCTAAATAGTAACAGCGTGTTCGATCTCCACAGCAGACCCTTGCGCTGAGGAGTTCTGTAAAAAATATCTCAGCATCATTTTAGTTATATTGACATTTTTTTATGGCAAGGTACAGATTTGTTTCTTCCGATAGCCTAGAATTTTGATGCTTTAGGGTGCGACGAATTCTCCAAAGGATTTTTTAGCAGCGGTTTGGTTTTCGAATATTTTTTCAGTTTGTACTTGTCAAATCTCTTGGAAAAGTGGAAGCTGGTTAGCGGGGAGTCCAATAAGTGCGACGGTTGAGGCAGGTTTCGTAGCGCAAGTCTTCAAACTTTTGCAGCCAGCACATGTTGCACAACACTTGGTTGATGGTTGTTATGAGTAGCCAATGAACACTTCGTTTTAAACTGTTTTGAGCATTACAACAAGTAATATAGTCTTCCATCTTTGTGGAAGTATCCGTCGAGGACATCGCATATTTCGATATAGATTTCAAATAAACCCTAATAGGGAAGTTCTTTGCAAAGTTATCTGTAGAGTGATCGGCTAAACTCTTCATAAGTTTCTCAAGTTTACAACTCTCGAATTGTTTCAGTTGTTGGGAAATTGTTTGGAGTTGTGAGAAATACGGTAATGCTCATCATGTGTTCAATACGTAGGAATCAATTTCGACCAGTAATTGATTTTTGTTTTATTTTGCTTCACTAGTTGTTAGTGATACTTCATTGTTATTTTATGAAGTGGGAGGGTATAAGAAATGCCGAAATGTATTCCATATGTTTTATAAGCCCGACGGCGAAATGGCTGCGAAATGGTAGTTGTTTGGTGGAGTTTTGTTTTCATCACGCAGGATTTCGAGATGTTTCGAAAATATGAGATAGTGCACCAGAAATTATATACAAAATACGTAGAAAAACTGGATTGTAGCGCAAAAGCTACAACAGGATGTGGAATGGGGTCATTTTATGAGGGGTAGGTCAACTGATAAAAAAAGCCCTTGGCGTTGATCAGGTATGCGCCATGCATTCGACCTCGTTAAGCATCGTTACAGGTGATTGAACAATGATTCGCGGTGGCCTACCGATGTATCGCCAGTGCTGCTATCCTCCCAGACAAGTCTGGTACCAATTTGCTGTCCCTGGAGGGATGGAAGGCTTGGTGAGGCTGGGGCGTGGGGTTCGATCCCACGTGTGTTGCAGGGCTCCTCAGGACTAGCTGATATGACTTTTTATCAACTCATTGCGAATACGGCGAAAAATTATACTTCGGACTCTAAGGGTTGAAAACATAGTTGGGAAAATGATAATCATAATCTGTTCCAGTGCAAGATATGCTCGAATTTATTATACGTGAAAAATGAAATTTAGAATAACAACTCGAACTCAGAATTGCTCAGCACATATTTCGGTTCCGCTCTTAAACTTTGCACTGCTAGTAAAGAGGCTCGTCGATATTGTAGATTAAAGGTAAAGTCTTTCTTGTGCTAATTTTCATTATCATTGTACTTTTCTTGTACAATTGTTTTCTTCCATGTCTCGTTTTACAGGTTTTGCCTCCCATGGTGGCAGCAGATGTTACTAGACGTCCTGAGGAAGGTGACTCTCTCAGGAATAAGATTATTAGAGTAATGATGAGCCCTACGTTTTCTAAGGACCTCGCATCTGAATTCATGTTTGTGCTTTGTAAGAAATCAGGTAGGCCTCTCAAATAATTCTTATGTATTATTTTGTCTCGAAATATTTCCCTCAGTTGCATGTTGATTGCTCTTATTTTTGTTTTTAGTGAATCGGTTAATCAAATACACCGGGCTAGGCCATTCCGCTGGTTTGTTAGCTAATTCTGGCCTTCTGAGTCAGATCAATCTTCCGAAAAGCGCTTCAGACAGTGAGGATTCAGAGACAGAGGATTACAAAGCTGTTGAAGACAGGTTTTAGTTAAAGTTGTTGCTTTCTTTAATTTTGCAACCAACTGTTCGTACATTTCCATTTCCATTTTTCAGAATAAATCCAGTCACGGGATACCTAAGGCCGGAAAGCTCAGGTGTGTCTCCGTTTGAGGGGATGAGTGAGGAACAGAAGGAATACGAAGCAATGAAACTAGTTGACGCTATGAGCAAGCTTATGGATACCGGTATGCTCCTCGATTGTGAATGTAACTAAGAAAGGAAATTATCATTCATAGAAATTAGAAGGAATATGTTGCGGGAAGTATTTCATGCCTTTTTAAATGAGTGTTAATTACTTAACACATTCGCGACAGCGTACGCTGCGGAAATATTGGTCGCTATCTATTTTCAGCCAACTCGAAATCGCACACTGTGCAGATCATACCACTTCTTGTCGTTTAATTCGTTTTATGGCGTGCATCATCCACGAATATATTCAGATTTCTGCTGCTGCCTGAAGATTTGGTGTTTGTCGGAATCACTGCATACTGATGGAGTAGATTCTCTCTAGAATCCTGGTGTAGCTATCCTAGAGCTTTGCTAAGCCTTTAACGCAGACAATAACCAGTTTTTATAAATTGGAGGAAGCTATTTCCATACAAGCTTGCTTCCACTTTCCCGACCTCGGACGATTGAGATGTCTAGTTGGCCTGGTGCGTGGTCGAATCAGGGTCTTTCGGGTACTAATAAATGGTAGTCTTAAAGCCTTGAATTCGTATCGTTTCGATGGCTGACGTTTTGACGACTTCATCTTTTTCGGAATCTGGACGTGTTCTATATTATAGACTCGATTTTTAGAGTTCGGTCTATTTCATGCAGTACTAATTAATAGCCATTGTACAAGTAAAACGCTGATCTGCTCAGAACAAATCACGTCTCCGTTTTGCAAAGAGTGGGACCACCCGTATACTGTTCACATCGGATGACAAATGAACTGTACCCAGATCAAAAAATTCATTCGAAAAAAAAGACGTTGCGTCAGTTGTTATAGTGATGCATTCATCTTTTCGATTCATTTTTGGATTTATGAATTTTATCCAAAACGCTTTAAACGTTTTGCACCTCAAAATTTCCGCCGTCATGTTTTTTGTCTTGTGTGTACTTGAAGGAGTACTTTATCGGATTTTATGATTTCCGTTTAGATGTTCTTTTACGCGGGTACACGGTGGTCTATCCATGTTCTTAACCGTTAACGCTGTGATTAATTGAAAGTTGGTCTTTGAAGTTATCAAGAACCGATAGTATCTACACGGTCTATCTTTTTCAGTTACAAGTTTTTTTTCTTATTGTCTTAAAAAACGAGCTCTGATTTTCCGGAGTCCACAAAACACATCTTTGTTTTTTCGTCATCCTTTCGTTTCGAACACAAAAGTGATAGAGCAAGCAAGATTCTATCTAGCAAGACACGATGATTTTCTCCGTTGCTCTGTGCGGTTACTGTGCATGGAGGATTTTAGAAACTTCAGTACTCTTTTTACACGAATCTCCCTCATAGAGGGACCGCTCACCGGTTAGTTGCGTGGCAACGTAGCGCTTCCCCAGGTAAGGAATAGGGGGTTATTCGTGAACAAAAGCGACCTTTGCTTCCTTGAGATGCAAGTGGATCTGTCGTCTAATGTGTTTGCTTTCCCTTGTCTACCAACTTTTTACTGGAGTTATTCTAAACAGGTGTAACAGAGCACTGGACGATGGTCAGCCAATTGAGCAAGCAGGTTTTCGAAAAGAATTTAGTACGATGAACCACATTCACACGATAAGAAGACCCACTGAAGCATGGCGAGAGTACGAAAGACCGCTCTGTCTCACTTTCATCGATTTAAAGAAGGTCTTTGACTCAATTGAGATAGAAGCAGTAATGGAAGCTTTTGATAGTCAAGGAGTCCCTACTCAGTACATAAGGATTCTTCGTGAGCTGTACAAAGATTTCACAATTAAGATATCACCATTCTGCAACGATATTAACGTCGACGTCAAAAGAGGGGTTAGGCAAGGCGATACAATTTCGCCTAAACTATTTACAGCCATTCTCCAGAAAGAACATCATGCGAACATTGGAATGGAATAATATGGGAGTGAAAATCGATGGTTGGCAGTTACACCATCTTTGCTTTGCTAATGATATCGGTCTTATAACACTAAATATTGACCAAGCGAAACGAAAGTTTACTAACCTTGATAAAGCCTGTGGAAAAATCGGTCTTCGACTTCTCCGAAGAAACGATGTTCATGAGGAACGGATTGGTTTCGTATGCCCCATTCACGCTCAGCGGAACGTATATCTCCGAATGCTCCAGTTACGTCTATCTACTTAGGGAAATCAACATGATGAACGGCTTAGCTCCAGAGTTGGGAAGGAAACGAGTGGTTTGAGAAGCTTTCAAGAGCATCGAGGATGTAGTGAAGGGAACATTGAGCACCCGCCTCCGTGCCTACCTTTTCGACTCAATGGTACTTCCTACGTTAACGTATGCGTCAGAAACCTAGTCGCTACGTAAGCAGGATGAAAGATCACTCAGCGTTATTGAATGCGCAGTCGAAAGGACTACGCTAGGAATATCTCGTGTCACACAAGTAAGGAAAGGGATCCGAAACTCCGATCTGCGTCTACGATGAGAAATCAAAGTTGCTGTTCTTTACCCCGAACAGTCGAAGGCAAGGTGGACTGGAAACGTAATGCGTATGAATGATAACCGATGGATAAGAGCCGTTAGTGTCACTGCGTAAGCAGGATCAAATTCCTCGGGATGTCAAACATGTCAAACACGCTGCAGGAAGACTACCGACCGATGATCAGGGTTCTTCACAAAAATCCTAGAAGAAAGACATGATGCTGAGCGACTCCCTAGAGCGAGCAGAACCCACTGGGCTACTCTTGCACGCGGCAGGGAAAAATGGAAAATTTACTGGCGCCCGGTCGAGCCGATCGACGATCAATGTGGCGATAGGTAAGTACGTTTTTAATATTGTGATAACTTTGCCCCTTAAAATCTAAATTTGCTCGTGAGGGAACATCTTGCCGAAGTCGTGCAAACTTTTAATCACCAGAGTCTCTTCTGTGACGTTTTATTTTTCTCAACTACTCTAGTAATCGAGAAACTATCGGCTTTTGTCAAAAAACAAGGTTGCGAATGCATTCTTTGTAAAAGACAGCGTGCAGCAGTCCACCGTGATTCGCTTTTGCGTCACAGGTACTACGCAGGTCAAATTAAATTCAGTGTTATTCACGAATCTGATATGATTGTAACAATACACATCGATGATTCGAATGCACTTTTATTTTATAGGAGTGGTAAAACCAGGAACTATTGGAGATGATGGCCGACCAAAAGCTGTTGGTCACGTGCTGGAACTTGTTAAGGACATTCCAGGCGAAGAGGGCGAGCGTGACAGTGAATGATCTCTAATACATCTGTTTTTCACTTTTTTTAATTTAGTGGACACATCTGAAAGCTGCTGCGTGGGTGAATTTCATATACATTAAAGTACGTTCGTCAGTCGTTTTGCTTATTACCACGTTTTTACATCGTTACTCAGACTTTTTTCATACCTTTTCAACACCGATCTCAAATTTCACTGCTTTAAAATTGGAAACTGATGGACGATTCGCAGTAATACCTCCTCATAGCTGCTTCGATTTTCAAATAGATTTTCTTGATCTAGTCACTTTTGTGATGTATTTACGATGATGGATAAATTTGTTAGTGACTAACTTCTAGGCTACCTGGAAATAGATTTTTAGATTTTGTTTATTTCTCTAGTTTTACTTAAAGCACATCCTTATCTATCTCCTTTCATGTTTAAGTTGGTTGTCTTCCACAATATTACCCATGAAGACAAGTTACGTTGCTATCAGCATCATTTCTTGTTTAAGCACATGAAGCTGAGAGCTTATTTGGCACTTCTCTGGAAGAATGTGCGTATATTTTTGTACAGTCATCGGTGATTGCATCCTTCCAACAGTTATGTCCTAAACCCTTGACCCATTTAGTAGGAGAGTCTCTAGTCAAGAGACTATTTCATATGTCCTCGGTTCAAGAGTGGTTTCACAACGTTGGCGAAGATGCGTAATTTTCACACCATATTATTAGATAACATATGATTAGGGAGTTGGTAACAAGAGAGACTTTAATTTACCACTTCTTTTGTACAACTGATCTATCAATAGAGTATTTGCAACTTTAAATTTTTGTGGAACTCAAATTTGCGAAGAATGGAATGCTAGGCTTAAATTTTTAGCTTTTTCTTCATAACGGAAAAGGTGTAGCTCAAAATATTTCGATGTGGGAGGTCGTATTTGTTAATTCACTCTTCTTTACAGGATGCGACCCTTAACGAGAAACTGAACAGAAGAGCTATGTTCTATGGACTCGGGAAAAGTCAGGGTTTTGTCACTGTAAAATTAGAAAAGTTGCACGTTATTGGCAAAGACCTTTAGATTTCGTTGGCTTCTATCCCAACTAATTAAGTGCACTATGAGCTGAATTATGATCATTTTACCCTTTCACAAGGACACATAGTCGGTCGTGTCGGCTGCCTGAATTTCTGGTAAAAAATCGCTCCAGCATAAGACAGTAGCAAATTCCTGTTCGGACCATGTCGATAGTACTTCGAATGTGTTTTTTCGTGATACTAGATATTGTACATCATCTAAAAACTTAGTAAGTATATCACGGTCATATTAACTGTTCCTCTGTAGTTTTCCTTTTTCGATGGCATTTATGCCTTTCCCAACGGTCTTCGAGGATCACGAGACATGAAGGCCAACTTTTCATTGCTCGGTAACCTTTTATTGGTGTAGGAGATCTATGCCAGGAAGCATAAACAAGACGTTCTTGTGTTGCGCCTTCGTATTTTCAGTGTCAATTGGTGTTCAATTTCTCCACCTTGTTTTTGATTATAACATCTTTTATTCGTTAAATACAGTATGAATTTCATTGGAAAAAGAGCTGGCAAACAATGATGCTCTCGTGACCATTCTCCACGCTTACTTTTAAACCCATGATTTCTAACGAAATGGATTGGAGCTATATTGTTATGGATGCCTTACAGGACAGTAAAAAGAATCACCGATTAGGTGCCTCATGCATTCCGCTGGCTCAGGTTTGCAAGCGCAAGAATTCAATTTGCAAGCGGTGTAGGCACGCGGAAGCGATACCACAGGCCAAACAAAAAACACAGGACACGAATGTAAAGGATTATTCTGTTATTCCTCTATCCATGATACAAAGCCGGATGTCATTGCCTATTAGCTAGGAATACGATGTAAACAGCGCGGAACCTCTCATCTGATTCAACAACTAGCCGAAATGCATACTGGACTAGGTAGCTTCACAAAGGTGTTGTTCCGCGAATAGAAAACATTTGGCGCGAACACTTTTCTACGACGTTTCTTTTAGTTATATCGAAATGTAGGGACATTGTTAATTTACCAGTAAGTCCCTTAATAAATGTATTTCATTGGATAAGCGATATACCCGGTGAGCGAAATCCTCAGCGAAGAAGTGGATCAAGGGCTGTTGAATAAAAATAATTATATAGTGGGTTATATGAATTGAAATTCTCGCCAAACGATCACATGACTGCATACAGTAGAGGTACAAGTGATGGGATTGAGCATTTCTTATAGTAGATATGTACATGAAGAAAATTTGGCTATAGAATCATTGTCTAACTTCTGGTTTTTTCAATCCAAGTGAGGCAGGCCTTGATAAAGCGTGTACTATGGCGACTTCTGGACGGGGATATGCCTGAAATACTCTAATTCGATTCATAAGATTGTGAAAATAGATCCACTGGATTTTTAGTATTGTCTCAATCGACCACTACAAATTTGAGCGTAAGAAATTGCAGCTCGCAAAAAGTGTACAGCTTTAGAGGAATGCTTGGTTGCACGAGCGCAGTGCATTACAGAGGTCTCCTACATGATATGGACCATTTAGTTAAAGACATTTGGAAGGTATTAGAGTGTGTGGTGCACAATATCAGAATCACCTGAAACAACGCAGAAAGGCTAAATATATATCTGCGCTTGTGAATAACATGTTAATGAGTACCTTATGTCGAAAAATATTTCTTTTGAAGTAAAGAAAAAATGGTTCAAACACTAACCTGTTCGCCAAGCTCGTGTTGGCTCTGTGATCGCCGCACTTTGCTCTTTTTCTTCATGACTGTGTGGAAAATCGGGAACTGCAGAAAAATAGACTTGATTGAAAAAAGGACCAAAAGGAGCATAACAGAGAATTTACCTGTTCTTCATGGTTAGAACTGCCAGATGCTCCTCGAGAACTGTGTGCAGCTGTTGTGCTTTGAGTCGATGATCCACTGCTACTGGCCGGTGAAACAGCACGGTTCGAAGGTAGGTCATCGTCTGAGGAAAAGCCGATTTAGTCGAAAACGTTAACGAGTTTCTGCATTTCTCCCAAAGAGAAACTGAGACTACTAGGTCAAGCATTTTGCCATTTTAGAGGATAAACATACAATACAAATACAAATTACCTTTCTCAAAAAGTGCTACTTCCTTGTTCATTTGGTTCTCCTTATATTCCACCAGTACAGGCTCATAGGATAGAAGTATATAGATTTTCGGGCCGAATAGCAAACCCAGTAAAATCGATGCGCAGAATATCAGCTCCAGAACGATCACCTTTTCCTGCAAATAACGCGTCGACAAGACATCTAGCCTTCACTACCCACAGCACTAAGTAAAATGTGGAAATTTTCGATTCCTGCATAACCTAGGCCGTTGTACGGCCGCCACCATGAAGTTAGCTCATATCAGTTGCGCTACTTAATTTTCCCAATCAACTGATACGTGGTTTATCGTCACCGATGTAATCACGATGATGTTGGTGCAGCAAAACATTCATTGGATAACGTCCGAAAGGGCATAAAGTGTACTTCGTCGAAGGCTGTACAGCATTGCAGATCAGGATTTCTACGATTGATTTTTCAAGGGAAAGCATAAAAGGTAGAATCAATGTCTCACCTTGAACTCGTTTGGCACAGCAATATACGCCGGTATCCAAGACAACCAAACCAACGTGCACAGTATTGACGAGACGAACAACCACTTTGTTTCCTACAATTTCGTGCTTGGCATCATATTTTCGACTTTAAAAAATACCTTCCTAACATATTCGAGACAACATTCGTAGATTTTCAATGCTACTTTATGGGGTGCATTTTCTTTATGACCGCTTCATTTTAACACGTACAGTCCGTCCGACATGAATTGAGTTCCACTCAAACTTTCTGCAGGTACTCTGGTGCAGCACACTGCTTATTTGCCACACTTTTTAACATTCAATTCGTGGCTTCCGTTGGATGCAGGAGACGCCAGGTAAGGGAAGGTTTTCTGCAGAAGTTTAAACTCGTAGGAGAAAACAGCTTTACTCGTCTTCCACTTCTTAGTGCTTTCGTACATTGTGCGTTGTCGGTTCTCAAGCGCCTTTTGGAATCTTCCAGTGGTTCTGTGAACATCATGCACAGGAAGATTCATTGCTCTCTCGTTTTGCCATAAAATCGTTTCTATTTTATATTTTTACACCCATTTGTATTGATATTTCGGTAACCAGTTATAACAACCGACACAAAGTCTTCATTTTATGTTGACGATGTTCTTTTCTCTTTTTCCAGGACACATTTGTCCTATTGTGTGTAAGCACTACGAATTTGATGATAACCTATGTGCTCTTAAATGTTGAACCAATTCATCCGGATTTTCTACAGACTTTCAGTACAAGTCATCGTTCCTCAAACAAGTCGGATTCACTAGATGGAGGAAAAACCCTGCGGACTTCATGATCGGGAACTCAGCTATATTTTCAATTCTTAAAAGATTCCTCCGGGAATAACCCATATTTCAATAAATGTTGCCACTCTTATGACACAATTTTAATAACCAGAAACCATGCTTGCACACCTGGTGTAATATATATTGCCATAATTCTTTTAGCCAAGTCATAATAGTCAAAATGGGGTTGATAATGCACCAAGAAAATCTAGGGTCACCGTGATTGGGACATAACAATACCTGAGAATGCGCGCTCGCTATTAGAATTGGGCCCAAGTTTTGCACCATCACAACCCATTTCTAAAACGACCCTGCGTAGGATAGCATGCAACCTTTATGAGCTTCAAGATCGACTCCGCTATCAGGCCAAGCAAGAAACATCAAACAGAGCTAAAAATCAAGAGGCGGCGGCACTACCACCATCTCCTTTCCCTAAAACGTTTTTTAGACAGCAGGACCCTAACGATGGA